CCTTTTGCTTAAGAAGTGTAAGAAAGAGAGGCTATATACTCTCGTTCAAGAAGATAAAGCTCCTTCTCATGCGCATCACTCACAACAGAAGGTCTTTAATATATTTGAGGTAGCTAGGCTACTCTGGTGCGGTAATTCACCTGATCTTAATGCAATAGAGTGCTGCTGGCCATATATGAAGAGGCTTACTACGAAAAAGGGAGCTCCAAGGAGTAAGGTTGAAGCTATCAGAGCCTGGACGAAAGCTTGGGACGAGCTACCTCAGTGGAAGATTCAAGAGTGGATTGAAAGAATACCAATTCATATTCAAAATATCATTAGATTAGAAGGTGGCAATGAATATAAAGAGGGTAGGAGAACAGGAAAGGGCACTGAGAGGGAGGCTACAGCTGTAAAGGCTATCAAAATTAATGTAGATAATGAGTGGGAGGATATCAGTGAATAAGCTGTCAAAACAGCAAATGCCAAGACCTGCGGTGCGTCAGTGCGCTGCCTACCCCTGTCGCGAAGACTTTTGACGCGCTCCTCCGTAGGGCGAACCATTATCCATGGTGCCAAGAATCCCTGTGGGTAACTCAGATATACCGCGGGGGATATACGTATGCAGATACTAGAGATGCAGTGATTTGCACCGTCTCCGAGAGATGCAATTGCACGAGCAAGCAAGCGAGGGAGGGGCATTATCAGAACTCCGAGTTGGGCTAGTGATGCGACACAAAGGCGACCAACTAAGCATGTAAATGAGAAAGGGACATGAAAAAAAAGTTGCACCGTTTTGACAGTGCTGGGCTTGGCACTTGGTAACGTGGACCTTGCATAGCCGGCTACGCTTATTAGGCTGGTGAAGATGAGGGATCTGGCGAGGCGAGGATAAGTCACAATAGACTATACTGGGCAGAGCACGGAAAGAGGGTTGTAAGTCCAATGGACAGAGCGACGGGTCGGAACAAAGGTTGTGAGAAAATGGGCCTTTTCCTACCGGTCCATGTTGATAGTAAGTATGCACATAGGATGTTGGGTTGTGCAGACGGAGTTAAGCATGTGTGGGCCGGAGGTGACAGCGGACAGTGGACAATACCCCCAGCCGAACGGGCCTTGGGCAAGTGCAAGATGAAAAGGCCGTGAGAGGCGGTGCAGTCACAGTGTCAAATAGCCGCTTGCTGCAATGATCGGTCTGGCAGGACACGACTGTAGTGTAGTGGCCGATTTGCAGCCGGGGCTTGCCAGTTACCATAGACTCGAGGCTACGGCAAGGCATAACGGTTGCTGGTGATTGGCGGACCGGGGATGCAGCGCGTGGGCTCTGGAACCGTACAGTACGTGGCTTTACTTTGCGCCTAGTGCTGACGGGCAGCACTTGATCGACGGGCGCTGTAAAGGTTCCCCTTGTGTGCCAAGTTGCCTTGCTGAGCTTCCACCTACCAGAGGCCAGCCGTCCGGGGAATATGCTCGTCCAGCATCGCTGCTCACCACGACTGCGCTGCCATGCCTCATGGGCAGGGCGGGGTATCGCGGCTCCTCTGGCCTCGCATCTATCTACTGGTCTGTACATACCAGTGTTGCATCTGAGTATGTACATACTACATGTGTACGAAACATGCATCTGTGCGATGATTGCGAAGCCGCAGTAAGCAATGCATCCGCTGGCTGGGAATCCTGGGGTTTAACAACTGCGGCATCAGCATCGGTGTTGCTGGGCTCATCAGCTGTAGGCGCAGGCGCAGGCGAAGGCAAGCGACCCGCACAGCACAACACAGCGCAGCGCAGCGCCCGCTGCTGTCTAGGTGTACATAGGTACTACTTACATGCGTAGTTGGCTGGCCAAATGGGGCATGGCCAGCTGGGCATGCAGGCGTCGCACGCAGCCCATGTGGTGGTGATAGGGCAGAGCGGCGAAGAAAAAGCTACCATGAAATAAGCAGCCATAGTAGCAGTTGCCTCGAAACCGTTTGCTGGGGTGGGAGATGCATGTGGGCTGCCCATGGGTAGTAGGTGCAGCAGGGCGGGCGGGCGGGCTGTAAAGCAGCGGGAGTGAGCACCTCCAAGCTCAATCCCTACCGCTTGAGTATAATAAGAGGCACATGTTCAGCCCTCTGAAGTCAGTCCTGCTGCTGCTCTCGGCGCAATTACTTTAGGGCGTATGCTCGTCCTTCACGACTCTTGCTTCCCTCCCATCCCATCCCATCCCAACCACACCATGGACTACAACTTCTACACCGCGCCCCAGCAGCCATACTCGCACCTCATCGGCGTTGGGCCTCACGCCTTTCCTCACTCGGGCCTCGAGCAGGACACGACACACAGCACCGTGAGTTTATTTTGTTTTTTTGCTTCCTCAGTGGTGTGATGAAAGTTGTCGAGTCGGCCCTGCTTGCGTACGTACACACTCGCCATGACTAATCGGGTGTGTACAGGAACCTCTTGACGCCGTCCTGTTTCCTTCTGCCTACGATGCTACTGGTTTCACCAACGGCTTGCCGACCCCGCAACAGGAGTCCCCAGAAAACGCAGCAAACACTCCCATGGCTGTCGGTAGCGTAGACTCGGGCATTGGCGCCGAATTCGATGATGGCCGGATAAGCCGGGCGAGGAGCAGCAGTGAAGAGAAGGATAACCTAACGCCTGCTCAGAGCAGGCGCAAGGCTCAGAACCGCGCTGCGTAAGCTCCATCCGCCCTCTCCCACCTGTACCGCCATACACTGACCCTCTGGCCGCCTACAGTCAGCGTGCCTTTCGTGAGCGCAAGGAGCGTCATGTCAAGGAGCTCGAGACCAAGCTCTCCGCCCTCGAGTCCAGCACCCACTCGTTGCAGTCAGACAATGAGCGCCTCAAGGCTGCCCTGCAGCGCGCCCGCACCGAGAACGAGATCCTGCGTGCCACCAGCGGCCACTCGCCTTCGTCCCCACCACAGCCAGTAACTGCAAGCTATCCCTCGCCCGGCGCCCACCTCCTCCTCGAAGGCCATGAAAAGGCCGAAGAATACAACGTTCAGCCCCTGCCCAACGGCTCCGTTATCAACGCCGCTGGCAAGGAACACTCGCGTCAGGGCGCAAGGGGCAAAGAGGTCCCTGCCGCAAAGGCCTGGGATCTTATTCAGTCACATACTCTCATCAAGCAGGGCCTTGTAGACGTGGCCGATGTCTGTGAGCGGCTTAAAGGCTCGGCCAAGTGCGATGGCCATGGCCCCGTCTTTGAAGAGAGTGCCATTTGGCAGGCCATTGACGAGTCACGGCGCTGCGGAGGTGATGAATTGATATGATCCTCAGCCAGGCACGCTGAATCCTTCGTTTCTCCCAATACCCCCTTTTCCTTTCTTATTACTTTCATGATTTCTGGTGTTTTGGCGTCCGGCACATGACTGGCTGTTGGGTTATCTACTAAGCTGGCCCACAAAATCGGACACTTTCGTATGGCGGGGAGGCACATTTCGGGCGGTTTGTTCATACTACGGCACAGAATAGCGATAGGCTTGGTTCCTCGAGATTCTACATACACTTACACAATCAAACAAGTACGCATATCTGATCGGTATATCAGTCTCACGCATCCTTCATCTAGCTCATAAGCACGTGTTGCAATCTGACTGCCATTGTGGCTTCTGTTCCCTCTCAGGATGCAATACGAGACGTCTGAGCAGCTGAAAGTTTATCCAACACATAGTTTACACAAGGAACCGGAATCACAAAGCCCGAGCAGCGCGAACAAGGATCGGGACAGGGACCTCGGAGGCGCACCAGGCGCTCGACTGGGGTCCGATCACGAATTTGTGGTTCTGCACCGGGAATAAAGCTTTCCAGGACATTGGTTGATTATCACCGTATTAGGGCATCTAGGCATGAATACTACATGGATTCTCGTTTCGGGGAGCATCCGGCAGCACACAGCAACACTCTAATCATCTGTCATCGCCCACCTCTATCCATAAACGGCAATAGGAAGTGACCCAAACTTCATGTCCCAGTCCAAGACCCGCCGCAGCAAAGCAAAAATTCCAATGATTGTGTAATACTGACATGGTATGTTGCTTTGTGCTAACACGGTAAGCCGGCCGGCTTTACTGTCTGTAACCAACCGCACACAAAAAAGATGAAGGAACTGACGCCACTGGTAGCCAGCCAATTGCATAGCAGGAACCATGCAGCACGGCGTGGGGGGAAAGTCTCGATAGCACAGTGACCAGGAACGCACATGCTACTTGTAAAACTTCATTTTGCAGAAACCAAACCCTACAATAAGACTCTTCTCTTTTTTTCCCACTTCAACCTTCATCCAGCGTACATATGTACACAGCAAGAAACACAGTAATACATACATCATTCCACAGCCCATTCTTGCCCCTCTTCTCCTGCTGAAATTAAAAAAAGAAAGAAAAGCACCCCACTTACTACCATCCACACTCTCCCAACCGAATCCGAGCATACCCAACCCTCCATGTGTGTTGCATAATGCAAGCCACATCTCGCTCTTCTTGGCCCCCACCCCCATGTCCCAAACAACCAAAAGCCAAGTCTAAACCGTCAGCAAGTGTACACGCACATCTGGCGACATGTCAGCACAGCATGCTGCCAGTGTAAATGGTGACATAAGCCCCCTTTGGGCGAGACTACGGATGACTAGACTGTGTGATGTATGCTTTGGGGGGAGTGTTGGCATGCGGGGAAGCGAAGGAAGGGTGTTAGCTGTAGGGGGTGGGGGGGCCTTGTTCGGGGGTCCAGTCCGCTTGGAGTCTGGTTGGCTGGATGTAGGGAGCGGTGGTACCGATGCTGCGGCTAAGAGGGTAGCTTTGCAGTTTTTGTCGGTTGCATGCACTTTGTCGGTTGCAGGAAGTGGGAGGGGTGTGTGAGATTGGGGGAGAGAGGGCTGGACTGGGCTGGGCTGGGCTGTTTTCTACAAGGCAGACAGTTTTCCAACTCCTTTTCTCTCTGATTGATGGGTGGGAGATTTAAATGTCTGTGTGGAGTTGTAAAGGTGTGGGTATTTCTCACTGTTGCTACGGACTCTTACTTTCCGTCTTGCATATGATAGTGCTTGTTACACATGGAAGACGTCTACAATATTATTGGCGTGCATTGATCTAACCTCCCCTTTTTGTGTATCTATACATGTACTCCTACCTCTTCTTGTGCAGGAACTAGCTTTCTCCAACCCGTCTTCATCCTAGCTATTGGCCAGGTTTCTCATTTTGCAGTGCAAGCCTGCATATCTCGCAACATGCCTCTTCATCTAGAGCTCTCTGCCATTGCAATACTCCTACGTACGTGTTATGTGCGGTAATTCCACTCGTAGCAGGAATGGCTGGCCTGAAAAAAAAAGATCGTGATTATCGCCCCCTCAATCCCAATCGCTATCGTCGTCCTCTGCCACGGTCTTGCCTTGCCGTATCTTGTTCGAGCTTTCCTCTCCATCCTCCTCCTTCTTCCGCTGCAAACGCGAATCACCAAGTTTGACAGCCCCAACATCCACCAATACCTTTTCCAGATCTAGCGTAGCAAGCACATAATGTCAGCACTTTATCTCTCCCGTGATACACAACTTCTTCAATAAAAGGAAAGAGGAACCGTTTTACTCACCTTGCACACTTGTCCTCGGCCCAGCCAACTGCATAAGCGTAACAATCTGCCTCTTGATATCCCCATCCTTGTAAATCAGCACCGTCGGCGTATTCTTATCCGGATACCCTTCTATACACAAGTCCGCTCTCATCTGGCAAAACTTGACGTCACCAAAGCGCTTTGCTAGCTCCCGCCAGTGCTCAATCATGATTCTGCTCTCGGTATTCGTTCCCGTGGAGCTGGTCAGCAGCACGAGTACGTATGCGTCCTTGCTTGCCTCGGTTACGTCGCGCGAGTAGTCGGGTTTTTGTAGGTGGTACACTTGGTTGTAGACGGATGCGGTGTTAATGCTCGAGAGTTCCGCCATGCGCTTCTGGCGGTATGAGTCGAGGAAGTCGTCGTCTTCAAGATCTTCGAGTTCGTCGAGTTCGTCGAGGTCTTTGCCTTCGAGTCGGTTCTCGTGGGCTAGTTGTCGCGCTTGCTCCAGGGCCTCTTGGATCATGGGCGTGGGCGAGGGCGGCTTCTCGGGTATCACGCCGTGTTTGCGCAGGATGTCGTTCCTGGCGCATGCATATTAGAAGACTGCGCCTGTTGTTTCGCCATGATTGCATGCTTGACTGGCTTACCATTCCGTGTCGGCGTTGGGGTCGTCGACTGCGACATTCACGGGCATGTCTGGCATCTGCATGGCTGCGGTTTGGAGGCACAAGTAGTCAGGGTTTTTCTCGGACTGAATCTTCCCAGTGAAACGTCAGTATTTTTAAATTTGTGCTTGTATTGCAGAATCCTGCTGCCTGCAAACTGTCAAATCTTTTGGGCAATGCGAAGCTCGCCGTGAACCCTGTCGATCTGCCCCGCCCCCACTTCATGTCCGCGGCGCCAATCTCGATTATCAAGAAACACAATCAATTTTCCTATGGCACTGTGCACATTCAAACCTATTGTTGTAACATGATATGTTGAAAAGCAGCTACCGGTGACTTAAAACTTTTATGCATATATTCCCTATGGCCCATGATCAAGTTTCTGGGATTTTCAATCGCGGATATATTAAATCTACCTTCCTTAATTAGCACACTCGACCATTAGAAATGAAGAATTAGAATAATGAGACCATGCGCCATTTAACAGTGTATCGATTGAGGGGATTTTGCTTGCCAACAAATCTTGGGGTCCCCGTTCTAGGAACCAAAGTCAGAGAACAGGAGCACGTCATTTTCTCGCTATCCTCACCCCTTCTAAAACACGACAACAGCGAGTATTCTAATCTTGGAACAAACGCATTATGTCGCACGTAGAAGTTGGCTTGAGACGTCCTACGACCAGGAGGTTTTCCAGAAGCAGCGCTTACTGTGTACTGCAAGGCTTACCGCTCCTGCCTATCCTCTGCTTGTTGTGTAATACTGACTTCCTTAATAAATACAATAGCGGAACGAACAGTATATCCACAGAATATATACAGACAATGTGATTATCCTTGCATGGGTCAATACGACAGCAGAGGCTTGCAGCACACTCAGCCATGCTATCAACAAAGCGCAGCGGTGGGGTTGGTCATGACGAGAGAGATAACGATATTTATCCATTTTTATATTCTCATCGCTTCCAGTCCTGCTATCAGCCTTTCATCTTATGATCACTAATAGCACCGTCTTGCTGTGAACACTTATTGTTTCTTGTAAAAGAGAGACTTCCTCCTCAGTGTTTAATATAAGAGTATCGGGACACCACTTCATTATACACCCATCAAATCAACACTAAACAGTTCCTTAACAGGATCTTCCACAATCCATACACGAATTTGGGTTATGGCAGTAGCATGTAGCCCAAAAAACATGATTATGACAACTCGGCGCTTCATTGTTACACCCGCCGCTCGTGTAATCAACGGAGGTAGCGTGCTTATTGACTATATTCCATAATTTTCTTTTGTTTAAGAGATCAGCCATTGACGTGCTGGTAAGTAATGCAATGACTGCAAGTTGGAGGCGCATGGCTGTTATTTAGTTTTTGCTTAACCAAATCCCGATTCCAGCCACTTCAATCATTACCGATATTTAAACGGGAATTTCATAATGGCGGTAACTTGTTTCCCTATTCATTTGTCAATGAGTATTCTCTACACTTCTATACTTGCGGATAGCAGTATCTCTACTAAAGCAGTTGAACTCTAGCAAAACAGAAAAACATGTCTTGATGTGAAGGGAATTGTCCCCACACTATCTAGGGCAGTTAGGGCATGCATGTATACTCACTAGAATCAAGGAAACGTAGAGTATGATTGATAGAGAATCTCGGATTGAGAGTAAGTTGATATAGGTATTGAAGGTTGATGTGTACAATTGCTATTTGTAAAGAAGACTGGAACCGTTTTGACGCATAAAGGGCCGTCTTCGACTGTCATCTAGCATATAAGAATGGATAGTTCCTCAGGAGCTGACTTATTAGTAAAGTTTATTTCTTATAGTGTAATTAAACTGAACTGAACTGTATCACAGCACAAGCTGAGCAGCCAGAGTGCGCATGCTAGATGTGCGCTTAGCGCTTGCAGGATTGTATACTGTTAGAAAGCCAGCTCTGTACTACTGTGCTAACTACAAACAAAACATTACGAACAATCAGCGTTCTGCTAATCGTTTAGTAAAAAAGGAAATACTGGATTGAACGGCTAAATATATAGTGTGCCTGTGCATGTCTGATACAAATTGCCCGTCCTCGCACACCACTTTTGATGCATTTTATGTAAGCCGTAGCTCCAATTGAAGATAAGATCCCAGATTTGGAATTGCAAGGACCAGAAGAGAAACGTATACCCGTCTCAACGGCGGCTGTAGCAGAATTTCAATAAAATTGCACACAATCTGCATGGGCCTATCACTCTTATGCGTGCATGATTGCGGGAAGTGAAATAGTTATGTTCTATCCGTGCGGTAGTGCCTTAGTTAGGTTTAGGATAAATATTGATGACATCACGTGAGCCCTCTCAATAAGACTTAACCAACACCTCTTGGCATTCGACTTCAGAAGAGCTTCCTTCACGCGTTCCATGACTTCCCCCAGTGAAAAATTGTTGAAAAATCTTTGCGTTTGGTTCAATGATGAGTTTGTTGGCCATAGGAACTGGGGCTTTACTATTTACTGCACGGGATACGGACCTTCATCTGACCAGCAATGGCAAAAACTTCTCCAAACGATCCAGGTTAAGGCGCACGAGGGAGCTCTAGACAGAACCGAAACCACCGAACAAGACCCCGGCTTCCAACAGATATGGTCCCTTTTCCGTCTTGATGCACGCTCAGACCCTGCTTTAGCTAGCCTTGGTATAGATCGACTTCGCGACCTATACAATCATGGTGAGGGTGGCCAACCAATGAATACGGACTATAAGTTGCACCGGATCTTTCTTTTCGCCGATGACGAGGTCCTGTCAGACCCCGCTGGTTCTATTGTTAAATGTGTGGATGCCGACTACCGTGTAGAGGACTATATTCCGCGCAATACAAGAATGGGTGGACAACGTTACTTTGGGTGGATGCCAATGAGGGCTGGAAGCGTGGCGGAATTGTGGTTTCAACTGGATACATGGGAACTGGAGCGAATTGCCCCTCTTACCATTGGCGGAAGTCACTTGGTAATCTGGGATGGGGATCACTGGTGATGCGAACGAGCGGGGAAGGTCTTGCACGTGCAAAAGATGAAGCCGGCTGAGATCTGAAGTCACTTCGATTCAGTTTGCTTCTCTTTGATCCGGAATACAGTGCCTAGCGAAACCGGCTTCCTCTCGAACGCAAGCTCAACGAAGTGTGCGCCACACTATAAGCAAGGATTGTGTTACTCCACCTAACAAACTTGGCATAGCGTTAACATGTCAGAACATGTGCAACAAATTGCTACCGTAATACTAAAAATTGTAATTCAATTGAGTCTGCATGGGGTCATTCCAGACTGCTGTGTTGTTGCTTCCTTTTATCTCGTGCTTTATGCGACGTATGTGCTTTTTCACTGTTGCCACTACTGCTTCTTCCCTTCGACTTTCCTCGCCTGCGCACGATCGCCCACTCCTAACGTTTCATTCTGCATTCGAATATCCATGCTCAATCGATACATCATCATACCCACAAATACCGCGGCGATGACAAGGAGAAAGAGGGTCAATATCAGTATGCCGATGTAAACTTGAGTTTCCGCAGGGAAGACGATGTACTGCTCGAAATAGACCATGATGGCTAACATAATCAATCTAAAGTTCTCTAAAGCTTCTTAAGGTCCTAATGGGCGACTCACTTTAGAAAGACGTAGTTTTAGATACGTAAGAGTAAAGCTTATGTTCTATTTACGTTTAGCGTTACTTGATTAGCGGAAGTGTTGATTATATTCTTACGTATCGAAATGCCAGACCTATGCTTAGAGCTTGCGATAAAGGTGCGGAGGGGACTGTTCTCCTAGCAGCGGATAAGATATAAAGTGGAAGCTTTGTACTGATGCCTTGCTGCACGTGTGCTGATAGGACGGTACTATGCTAGTTCAGGCAGGTGGGGTAGTATAATTCCTGCCTGTTGTGTGGCGCACAACTTGTTGCTACTCCGTTCGAGAGGAAGCCAGTTTCGCTAAGCACTGTAACGGTTATGCTGTTGTATGCAATACGAGCCATTTATAATAGTCTTTCACCCATTCACTTCAGAAGTTGCCGATGAAAAACGTGCTCATTGGGATTGACCAACATCGATTATGCCTGTATATTCAAGGTATCTGATTACATCTATAGAATCCCTGAGTGATTTGAGTAACTTTACGGTATCGCAAATGGTGAATAAGTCGCATAGAACTTATTGTATTGGACTTTCTGGCGCTCTTTAGCTCTTTGGCTCCATCGGGATACATCGAAAGTTAAATTATCAAGACTGCGATAGCCAAACAACAGCAGGTGAAGTGATACAGGACGTTACTCTGAGAATTGTGATAACTATCCTTTATTACAGGCTACTTGTATTGCTCCAAAAAGCGTGTTGGTGTAACAGTGAGAGAAAAGATAATTAGATTAGGCGACAGGCGGTCAAAAATCGGCTCTGGCGGCCTATAGCAACGCGTCGGACCAGCGTTTGCAGTGACCTAATCATGCCGACGCCTTCACTTGCGAATTGCTGGCGTGGCCCAGACAGACATTTATTATTGAGCCCGACTTGAAAAGTTCTTCCTATACATCTACCACACTCTCACCCACCAGTATCTCCCTTATTCACTTTCTACCATCCATCGAGATACATTTCCAGCATACCGAGCGACATTTTTGAGCTGCAAAACCTAAGAGAACTCGAGCGCTTCAACTCTCCGCTTTCTCCTCACTGATTCGCTGAGCCCACAGCCATGGCGTGGCTTCCCTCGGGCGTTAACCACACTATACTGGCGGATGTATCGGCAGAGACATGGAATAACTGGGCCGACGGGGGCTCATTGGACATCAGCGCTGCTCTGCACCCACAAGAACCCAATACATATGCATGTCGAGTCAACACAGATTTCTAAATCAACAACGGCATTAAATATAAGAAGGGAATGCAAGGTCAACTCTTAGAGCTGAAACAGGCAAAGGGAATGGCTAAGGTGTTTATCCAAGGAGTTACTGAAGGACCAGGTTTTACCAACCGCTGGGTTCCGATCCAGTTTATCGAAAGGAGTAAACCGTGGCAGACCAATATCGACAAATGGCAAGTAAAGACCTAGCTCTCTAGTCAAGTCAGCTTCGACAAGCAGAATTGGGCACCTATCTCTTCACCTGACACAACTGTCCTCGGTAAGACGGTCATCCGTCTTATAACAGCTCTACGTGAATCGGCCCCACCATTTACGCCTCAGAAAATCGTCGATTATCTTGGCAGCGCTAATATTGCGGTGCTCACAAGAGCCGTTATCGCTTGGATTAAGGAAGCTGGCCTCTATGAAGTCCTTTCTTCTAACCGCCTATTCTCTGCTCAAGACCTCGTCACCGCTAGTCGCTTTGTGATCAAAGACGCTGCATCCTCAAATGACTCTGGTGTATACATCAGGCTTCATAAGACTGGAACCCAGGGTATAGCAGAATAGAAGCCGCATTCGTCGTACATCTACACTGGCAAGGCGAAGAACTTCGCTGAACGAAACAATCAACATAAGACAACTGCATCTAGGTACGGCGACCTCACTAGAAACTCCACGGGTATCACCATGATTGCGCTTTACATCCTTCCAGTTGCTAGGGATGATGGACTATACTATCTTACAGAGCAGATAATCATCTGCCTACTGGAGACATATAGACTAGATGCAGCGTATCTAGATTCTACCAGGCCACATATGCTGAGATTCTGTCGACCCGCTCGGTACTTTATGGAATTGGCAGAAGAAGTGTTTCGCATGACTGGTTGGCAAGGTTTTTGCGACGCGGAGTCAACTTTTGCGGAGTTCAATTCGGCGCCAACTGCAGCTCACCGCTAGTGGAGTTCTCTTCTCAGACAGACAAATTCCTCTTTATTCGCACTGACTACAACGTCAAAGACGGAGAAACTGAATCAATTGTACCTATGGCTTTCTATCGACGTTCCGATCGTGTGGTGGCGAATAAGTCAGGGAACGAATCACATGTCTTCGAAAAGCATGCCAACGTGAACGGTTCCAGGCAGTCTGTCATGCTCTTACGTCTTGAACGAAAGCAAGCTGTAACCGCACTTAACCTTCCCCCTCCAGGATCGCATTTCGAGTTTGTTATCGAGGTACGGAAAGATGGAACACCATACCCCAATGCATGGACACAGCTTCCGAAGATCGGCCGGTTCCAGAACTGGGATCAAGAAAACTCGTTTGCGATTCGCATTGAGTGGGAACACCCAGCTGCAAAATGACAATTCATGTATCTTCAGTCCCACCGACTCTTCAAGCAGATGGATCCTCAGGTACCAGGATAGCTCATCGGTTATGTTAAAGCCATCTCCTTCCTTCAGTGGCTCACAAACGCCAAACCGAACCACAACTATCCTTGGATCCCCAAGCTTTCTGGATCAGCACGCGTACTACAGTGTGATTATGATTTCATGAACCAAGTCATAATCTACCGACACGTCACGGACGACATCCCCATGCATCCTGGCACTTCGCTCTCTGCTGAAGGGATCAGGGCTATCATGAACAAGCCGGAATATGGTCTTGCTCATGTTGGAGGAACCTTCGGCGACTTTGGCAACTCTTCTGTTGGAGGACGCAAAATTTGTGACAACTGCTACCTGTTACCTGGTACAAGATATGCAAGAGGGATTGCCGAAAAGGGGTGCATTCCACACGAACAGAACAATAGAGTTTGTACGAACTGCTTGGCGTTTGGTCGTCCGTATTGCTCATGGACAGCTGATCTCTCTGCCGATAGTCAGCCTATGATCGAAAAGTTTCGATATTTGCTGGGCTATCTGCCCATCAAGGATGTTTCTTCAAGCATGCAGGGATTTACTCAGCAATTCATCAGCCTTCCCGACGAGCCTATGTTAGAAGATGACGGCAGCGAGGGTGGCAATGTTGAGGATGAGAATGGGAGAGATGATGAGTAGAGTTAAATTCCCTTGCGTTCTAGGTTTCATGGGGATCATGCTTTGTCAGAGTGTTCCTTGCAGGATGTTCTCATCCGCATGTCGGGTGGGTCCGGGGGTTTCTTTTTCTTTCATCTTCTCCTTTTCTGAATATCTTTTATATAATGATTTTCAAACACTTCCCTGGAATGCGGCCTAGATTCAGTCTTTATTAAGAATGAAACAATTGCGCTCTATCAAAAATGGGAGATGTTCACGTGAGAAACCACGCCCATAGATGTCTTTACTGATTATACATTCAATATATATATACTATAGCTAGACTATACAACTGCAGAGTTGCTTGTGTTTTTTCGTCATATCGTTATGCACTGTATTTCCCCAAATCTCTACTTCTCTTCAGATGGCTCCCCACGTCCAAGACCGAAACACTCGGCCATCTTGTAAAAGATCTCAATGTTGTTGTAGGTTCCCTGGAAAAGATCCTGGCAAGGGCCCATTGCGTAAACGGGCACGTCGGTCAAGGAACTATATCGGTTGTTAGCAAGAGCTAAAATTCGGGGGTAGGTGCAGGAAGCTTACTGAACGCCCTGGTCGTTCTCCACTGGCAATGTGCCATTGACCAAAATACCACCCTTACCATCTTTGGGGTTGGCGTAGAAGTCGTCGCTACCCTTTTCCAGTTCAACAGCGGGCTTCCTAGGACCGTCCTTGGTCACTTTCCAGTTCTCACGGCGATCCGGACCAGCTGTGAGACCCTGATAGAATGTGTAGCGAGGATCCCAGTTGCTGGGGAAATGCGAATCTGGGTAGGTAAGGTTTCCAGTGTTGATGTATTCAGAGAGACCGGACTGCTCGTAGACGCCAATCGCGTCACGCTTCTTGCGGTCAGACTCCTGCGCAGCAAGATAATGCGTGTCGACGGAGCCCATAACATCAAAACCATGGCCATGATCAGCGGTAACGACGATCAAAGTATCTTTAAGGCAATCCTTCGACTTTAGGTGTTCAACGGTCGCCTTGACAGTGTCGTCAAGCTCCAGAAGCTCGCCAAGCGCTCTCTGTCACCACCACCTGTTAGCGTTTTATAAATCGCATGGAATCAATAACTAACCAAACTATCTTGTGCATGGAGCATCTTATCTATGCTTGCAGCTTCAGACATGAGAAACCAGCCTTTGTCACCAGAGCGGCTTTCCAGAATGTCGATGGCCTTGAGGGTCATCTCCTTCAGCCCGGGCTGATCGAGAGCGGGCTTCTTATCACCAGTTGGCGAAAGAGTTTGATTGAGATTGTCGCGGTATACATTTCGGTCGAGCCACTTGGCCATGTTAGAGGTTGAGAAAATACCTAAGGTCTTCTCGTCGGGCGATGCCGCCAAGAGACTCGTACGGTTGTGCACAACCTGATATCCCTGGGCGGCGAACTCGTCATAGTAATTCTTGTCCTCATAAGTGACTCCGCCGAGCTCAGAAGGGTAGAACTGTTCGCCTCCGCCTCCAAATATGACGTCTATAGGGGTCTTTGTCCAGTTCTGTGCGCCGTTGAGATATGTGTCAACGATGACCCCATATTGGTTTCTGAGACGCGTGTGTGAGACCAAGGCAGCAGGCGTCGCATCGGCGATAAATGCTGTCGACACAATGCCAATGTGCCCTCCAGTTAAACGATGGAAGATTTCAGCGATCGACTCAACGCGAGGATCATCCAGTGGGTCCGGGGATGAATCGGCATATACATTGAGGGCGTTGACGGAACTTTTATGTCCTGTATTCAAAGCGGCAGCTGAGTTTGCGGAATCGGTAATGAAAGTCGCTAATGAATGGGTCATTGAATGGGAAACTCTGGGAAACTTGTCCATAGCCAAAGTGCTTTGAAATTTTCCGTTGATGGACTTATGACCAAGGGAACGAGCCGCAGTGATCGAGGCCGTCGACATGCCGTCTCCAATGAAGAAAATGATATTTTTAGTCTTGCGCTCCTCAGCCAGATCACGTACAGTCCATGTGGCTTCCGTTGTGCTCCCGTTATTGTAGTGCAATGTCGCTGTGTACTCTCCTGGCTCGTATAAGGCGATACGACGATACGCCTTGGCGGCTACATTGACTAGGGAGGGCTTTTTTGCGTCGCGAGCAAATAGATCTGTACTTTGGTCAATTTTTATTCCGAAACAGTAGTAATGAGATGATCTCGACAGGACGTAGAAGGCTGGGGGTGTTGCCCACGTGACTAGTGTTTCACCCGGCTAATACTCAAGTCCAACCATTGAAGTGCTTTTGTGTGCAACAAAAACTCAATCCAATAGAAAATTATCGGACTCCCTTTCTCAATACAGGATATATGTAGCAGTTACGAAAGTTCGCGTTCAAATATCCTACGTACCTTCAAAATAGGTGAAATTCCATTTCTCCAGTTTCGGCTCCTCGAGCTCGAAGAACTCGGTTACAGATTGTGCTTCCTCGCCCTTCTTTCCGACGGTAAAGGTGAACTGTTCATCCAGCGGTAGTCCAATGGCCTCGGAGCCATTGATCGGCTGGTGCACCTCAAGTCGAATGTCGAAGAATTGGCCAGCAAGGAAGTCAGCCCTGGATTTGTTATTAGCAAGTGAGCTTCGGTATTCTTGAATAGATTATGGACGTAACTGGTCAGGTGGGAACACGCAGCCTGTCGTTTAGTTAGCTGAGATACATAAGTGTACACATAAAAGAGGACAAACTTACCAAGCTCCGGGCAAGCTTCAAGTCTCCTGAATGTCTGCGCAGAAACAGAGCCCACCAAAAGGGCTGCTGCCACGACAGCCGAGCATGTGCACTTCATGGCGAACGCGATTGAGAGATGTACGATTACACAAGGCTCTCAAAGATTGCGATGAGGCAAAAGAATTAAGAGCTGTGCCTGGCACTTTTATAAGTCCTGGTAGGTGCCTGGTGCCGGATTCCTGGAATACACCATACGTAGTCATGGCATGCATATCAAGCTACCAGGTACTGCATTCAATTCCCAGGGATGCTAGTTTGTGGAGAGGAATGCATGTCCAGCCGCCCTCGTGCGATAATCCAGCAATCTTACTGCTCGAGAGAACACATCCAGCGCCATGGACCAGCGCCCAGTCCGCTGGGATGGTCCGGTTATGAGCCAATGTCATCAATCAACGTTTTGCCGAGCTGCCTGTTCGGGATCTGGCAGACAGTTAATGTGAATGTCTTGGCATCACGTTGCGAGCACATGGCGTGTGATTGGCTCGACGCCATGCCATATAGGATGTATTCCCACGCAACACAGACTTGGCGCATGGTTGAGAAACGGACAGCTCCCCGTTGTGCTCAGTAGACTGCATCTCTATTCGTCATGCTTTCCCGCCTCTCGGCCAAACAACGTGAGAACAGCTTTCTTGATCCACACCCCAAGCGGACATATTGCCGGCGGCGATTATGGGAAACGACGTGGCTGGGCAGCCTGTCAGGTTTCGCGGGCTGAAAACCCTCCCTGCGATCATTCCATCAATCGAAATCCCAGCGCTCTGCCGGGACCAAAATCTGTATCGCGCGAATTTGATTTGTAATATGGTCATCAACATCAGCCGTTGTTTTTGTGGACTGCTGGCTGTCGCGTGTCTTGCATCCACAAACCCCTTACAGCGCTATCCAGGCACGACATTACCAAATCCAGGGGAGTGGATATAGATCGCATGCTGCAGCGGAAGCCAGGGAGATCCCCAGATCTTGCATCTGAAACAATGATAGCGATGCTTTCGATTGGTGTTCGATGTCGGCTGCCCATCATGGTGTGGCCTTGAATCGGCCGTAGTCTGGATAGTCCGGTCCTGTCGACGTCACCACTTGAGACCCTCATGTAAATCTGCTTGTGCATAGGTACAAAGACGCAGCCATGTATTAGGAACGCAGCCAATGTATTTTATCAGCAGCGCCCTCGTATCGCATACTGTCCGAATCTCTGCTGCCAGACTAACTGCGGCCTGCAATACCAGATTCCCACTTCTACCAAATCGCGCCATCAGTCACGCGACGCGTTTCCAAAATCAGACCACACTCAAGAAGCCTGCCAAAACAGACATGTCGAAGAGAACATCTTACGAGCGTGACGAGCTCGGTCATACATCTGCAAAACGCGCAAAGCAAGTCGATGAAAACCTCCCTTACGACCAAGTCCAGGAAGCACTCGTCGTGCAAGATGAGGTCAAAGACGTGACAAAAGTCGCTCACTGGTTCCACCCCAAGGACCTCCGAATCCAGGACAACACCGCGCTTCACCATGCTTCTGAGCTTGCACAAAGCGCTAAGAAACCTCTGGTGTGCTTTTACATCAATTGTCCTGCCGATGAATCATGGCATGGGACCAGTCCAGCAAGAGTCGATTTCATGTGTGAGGGGTTGAAGAGTATGCAAAAAGAACTCAAGGAACTAAACATACCATTGGTCTTTGTAGAGTGCGAAGACAGAAAGAAGATTGTGGAGACAGCCGTTGAGTGGCTAAAGAATCACAAAATTTCCCATGTCTTTGGCAACTACGAGTACGAGATTGACGAGATGCGCCGAGATCTGAAGTTAGTCAAGACTTCTGGAAAGGATATCCAGGTCTCTCTTTTCCACGACCAGACTGTGATTGAACCCGGTACAATGACTACCTCGTCCGGATCGCCGATGAAGGTTTTCACGCCATACCACAAAGCCTGGCTCAGCAGACTGCGAGAAGAACCCGAACTCCTTGATACACGCCCTCCACCTGCCGCGAACCCTTTGTCAATGAAGAAAGAGCTCAAGGATCTGTTCGACACACCAGCACCCAAGCCTGCCAAAGATAAGCAATACAAGTCACAAGATGAGAAGACGAGGATACGAAAACTTTGGCCGGCTGGCCACGCCGAAGGCGCAAAACGCATGGATTCATTTCTCAAACAGATCTCCCATTACGCATCTACGCGCTCCAACCCGGCCGCAAACAGTACATCGCGCATGTCCGCCTACTTCAGCGCGGGGATGTTTTCCGTACGCGAAGCCCTCCGCAAAGTCGTCGACTACAACCGCGGCAGCACCGACTTCACCGAATCCAAAGCCTCAAGCGGCGTCTACAGCTGGGTCCGAGAAATCGTTTTCCGCGAGCTGTATCGACAGCACACAGTCTGCGTGCCACACACATCCATGAATCTGCCGCAGAACCTCAAATTCAACTCTGTACAATGGGAAGACGACAAGGAAGGCTGGGAAAAATGGTACAAAGGACAAACCGGCGAGCCCTTCATCGACGCAGGCATGCGCCAGCTAAACGCCGAAGCATATATGCACAACCGCCTTCGTATGAACGTATCTTCGTATCTCTACTGCAACTTGCTTCTCGACTATCGCCGCGGCGAACGCTACTTCGCTGAAACCCTAATCGACTGGGATCTCTCCAATAACACGCAGGGCTGGGAGCCAAGCTACACCGTCTTCAACCCTGTGTCGCAGGCTGAGAAGAACGATCCGGATGGCGATTACATTAGGAAATGGGTTCCTGAGCTCAAGGACGTAAAAGGCAAGGCTGTATTTGCGCCGTATGCCAGGTTGTCAAAGGAAGAGTTTGAGAAATTGGGATATCCCAAGCCGCATGTGGATTGGAAGGAGACAAAGGCTAGGGCCATTGATAGGTTTAAGAGGGGATTGAGGGAGGCAGAGCTTGAGTAGTATCTTTGAGCTGCCTAACCCTGGCATATAGGTTGCTTCTCTCTTTCTTCTTTTTCCATTTACTAAATCACTGTACCAATGAACCGTGCCTCCTTGCACCTCGGCAGGCGCACCTTCCTTCACCTTCGCGCCTTCCTTCTGAAATAGCGTCTCACGTGCAAGTGTACAAAACTCCAGAACTTGAGCTCCCACCCCATTCCTCCACAGCAAACATGAAGGTGTGAGTAATTCGACATTTTTCTCTGCGCTGCGAGGTTATTAACATAATACATGTAGTTTCTCTTCAGTACTGTCACCCGGCATCGACAACCTGGCCATCGTGCCGAAGAGAGGGTCCGCCCCTCTGCTCCAAAAAGGGTATTTCATATGTACGTCCGCGTTCTTTCATCATACACCTTCAGTCGCTCTTACAATGCACATTTGTGTGCGTCGTGACTGAGCACTTTCGGACGTCAGTAGACTGGTGAAGCCGGATTGTGTTTGAACCCAAACACCTCTCAACTCCTATCTATTGTAATTTCCTTGCTTACTGAATGCGTTCTCATAATACGGCACGGTTTAGCTAACTATTCCAAGTCCTCGAAGAAGAAGATATGGACAAGGAGAAGAAGCGGCTGCCGCGCCCGCTGAAGCGTGTTCAGCAGACTGATGGTGTACCAGCAAAGCGGCCGGTAAGTGGAATAAACATACTCTGCGCTCGAGAAGGCATCTTGAGGAATTGCTAACATTGGCATAGTGAAAGAAATTTGTCATTTTCGAAGACTACGACAACGACGATGACGACGACGATGAAGACGAAAGTCCCGAGGTCGCCGTCGCCCTACCACCACGCTCGCCGCCGAAAGGCAAAGAAAACCGTTGTCCTTTGCGCGGCAGCATAAAAAGCCAAAGATATCATCAAGGGATATGGTAGTTATTAGAAATCTGATCACAACTTGAGAGTCAATTCCTGGTATTCTCCTTGTCTACTCATCTCCACCATACTTCGCAATAAGACTTTTCATGATTCCTACTGCTCCACTGCGGTAGCTTGCCCCAAACATCGCATAGTGGTTGAGGTGATGATACAGCTCATACAGTTGCACGCGATCCTCATACTCGCCTACCGGCTCTGTCTTAGGACACAATTGATGGTATTCCTTCACGAAGCTGCCGCCAAAGCCGCCAAACATTTTCATTATGCCAAGCTCGAACTCACTGTGAGCATAGCAGGCCGATGAATCATAAACCACGTCTTCAACCTTTCCTTTGTCACTCCCGATCATGCCCACGCTCGCGTTTCCGCTCCACAGATCCCCGTGAACAACCACGGGTGTTACTCGCCGGCCATTGTTCAGGTGGTCGTCGCCAATCAAACGCGGGACGACTTTGTTTGCGGTCTGTTCGACAAGCTTTCGCAGGTCATTGTCTTTTCTGCCGCGCTGTTCTGCATGTCGAATAATGAACATGAGGCGATTCTCGGCATAGAAATCGGCCCAGCTCTCTTTGTAGCTGTTTTCCTGCGGAGTCTCACCACAGCATGTTGTGACAGGAAAGCCAAACATGGGAATGTTGTATCCGTCAGGTATAGAGGCGGGTGTCGTATGTAATTGCGCAAGCTTGGCTGCTAGTGATGCCGTCTTGGACGATCGGGAGGCCGAAAAAGAGTTGAGATGAAGGAACTCAGTCACTAGGAACCATTTCGAAGGTTGCGTTTCGAACTGTCCATAACCGAAAGATTGCGGACAAAGTGTAGGAACGACTTTGTGGATGGCCTTTAGAGACGCGTCTTCACCTTTTCAGGGCGCTGTCAGTCTACTTATTGGCCAGCTTACGACCACCAAATGGGCCACACACACCTGCAAACATAATTTCAGACGCGTTTCCACTTCCCGTTTTCATGAAATATGCCTTTTCTGATCCATCGTCCAGCTGGGATACTATCTTGGATGTGGACGCGAAGCTGCTGCCCCCAACGGATGACATCGTGGTCCTGTCAGAGTTCAAACCAAGAAGTTTGACAACTGCTGGGTCGACCTTCATTATGGCTATATTTCACTGAGTGAGATGACGCGAGCTTGAACATGCCTCAGTATGTAATAAAAGTGGCTTGCGGGTGTTGGGGTGTGGGCCCGCGGTGACGTCAGCCACGTCCCAATGCGACAGGGTAACGGGGAACGAGGGGTAGAAATGGGGATGCTGGACATGTTTTTTAGATTTTGTGATGAAGCTGGTGTGTGAGTGTGGCATACTGACCCTCCTTTCGAAAACTATGAACCCGTTACAAATAAATATGACGGTATCCATCACGACTTCTCCTTCTTGGCAGCCTCGGCCACACCCTCTCTAACATCCAAGTCCGTGTCAGCCCTCGCCTGCTTGGGCTTAACCAGCGGCACGCTCTCGTCAATCTCATGCTGCACCACCATTCTCTTGCCCTTGACCAACTGCACAAGCATGTAGTTCATAGCGCATTGGATACCCAACTCCTCACCCCTCTTCACTACCCACCCGTTGATGTAGTCAATCTCCGTCTGCATGCCCTTTCTCGTATCCGCCAGCATACTGCTCACATTATCTCTGGTAAGATTTGCTACCGCGACGACTACGGTTTCCAGGCGGCCGGGATCAAAACGCTGTTGGACATTCGGAATGTATTGGAGTTCGGGTAGAGAGCGAATGACGAGGCTGATTTCTGAGAGGAGAAGACGCATTGTGCGCGTCAAGGCGTAGTTGTTTAGAATAGCGCCATTTCGTGCGTCAAGAATCACGGTCAAGGGATTAATGATACAATTGACTGCAAGCTTATCGAGCTGCATTTGCAAGAGATCAGGTGGTGAAAAGGATGTTGCGCTAAGCACTGGTGTGCGGAGAAGAGTCCGCAGTAGATGGCGTTGGTTTGGTGTAAAGGAAAACTTTGCGCTGCTTGGAGGAAGGTATTCGGGATTGAGTTCATCAGGAGGACTGGTATATACTGGCGGGCTATCTTTTGGAGCAGTAAACTTCGGCTTGGGCATGTACGGCGAGTCTGGCTGGCGATCTCGTTCATGCGGCAATATACCCAAGGAGATGGTCCCGAATCCAGCATGAACAGTCGTAAATTGACCATCTGGTGAGGTATGCATTCCGTGCGAATTGATGCCCAACATGTAATGTGGTCTTGTCGCTGGATCAGGAAAGATTTCTCGATTGACCTCTTCAACAATCCCCATTCCATTTTGCAAGAATAAAACGACAGAGTCCTTGTGTAGTCGATGTTTTACAGATGACAGCCCTTGCAAGACATACGGTGCCTTGGAGCAGATTATCAAAGAACTTATAGGCTCTGTCGATTCTCCTTCCAATATAGTGACGTTTCCTGCAGTCTCCGTAGAAGAAGCGTCCAAGCCCACCTCTTTCCCGTGATATCGTATGCGCGGTATAGCCAGTTCGGCGTCATATCCTTCTTGCACCTCGACGTCCCCGTCAGTGATCAAGGCCAGCTTTTTCGGCGAATCATTCCACTCCTTCAGCCTCTCCCATCGCGGAAATAACAGCGTCACTGGAGGGGGGTTGGGAATTCCCCGTAGCGCATGAGCAATGAAGCTCCCCACATTTCCAATGCCCATGATATGAATTCTCCGGTCCACTACAGGCTTAGCGCGATAGAAATCGGCGGTATTACGAGAAGCTGGCGAAGCGTCGGGTTCGTCTTTGCTGCAAAGCGTGAGTTTCGCAAAAAGACAAAGTTGCTCGCACCACTTACACATCCAGCGACTTATCCTCCATAGCCAAACTATCCTCCTTTTTCCAGCTTGTCATGAGAGTCCTCGAATGAGTGTAAGCCACCCGGCTTGCGCAATTGCTACCGATGTTGCATCTTGCACGTATATAGGGTATCCGAGGCCGCAGCCTGGGGATGAATTGCGAGACGAAGAAGGAAGACAGTTTGATCGATTTTATTTTCCCATGCGTGGTAATTTGGCGCGACTAGCAGCGAAGGCGGGGTAGTACTGGGGTTTCGTGAAGATGGGTGAATGACGCTGTGAGAGATCGGAGGGTCGACAACTAGAGATTCAGAGTCGGAGCTAGCGCGGGTTTACGCACGGCCCTTTACTTTTCTCTAAACTCAACTTCGCGACCGAACCGTACCAACCACAAAACTATAACCCCAATAGCCCCGTCGCGCATAGTCGCAACCCACAGTAATTCCATCACTACCAGCGCGACTCGAGTTCTTCAAAAATGGACCCGCAAATCGATCTCCCGGACCTGGTAGAAGACCTCGAAGTCGACATTGACGAGCTCACAACCGCTCTCGAACCACTACTCTCGAAACCGCTCTCAACAACCGCATCATCCCTCCCCCTCCTTGACAAAGCCAAACTCTACTGCCTCGCTGCATATGCCATTGAGTCGCTTTTATTCGCCTCGCTCACTGCATCCGGCGTCAACGCAACCGAACACGCCATCTTCAAAGAAATCGCGCGTCTACGCCAGTACAACAGCAAAATCAAAGAAATCGAGGATCGCGGCATAAAAGGGAGTGCAGAGGGACGGGCGCGCCTCGATGTCGCAGCCGCTGGGCGCTTCATCAAGCACGGGCTGTTAGGCAACGACAAGTACGATTTAGAGAGGCAGGAGCGCATGGCCAAGGAGCGGGCGCGGGCACATCTCAAGGCACAGCAAATTAACAAGAAGTTTGACAATGAGGGAAAGGAGGTACAGAAGGGACAGAATGTAACGCCTAAGAAGAGGGGGGCGGAGGAAAAAGAGGAAGAGGATGAGGAGGATGAACAAGTGCTCGAAGGACTAGAAGAGGAGCCAGCAGTTAAAAAGGCACGTGTGCAAGACGGAACCGAAGCAGATATACCACAACCCAGGAAACGCGGCCGACCGTCTAAAAAGGATAGAAAGGCTGAGGAAGCGCAGACTCGCACCACAAGAAAACGCAATACGCGTCTTGCGAATCAAGACGCAGAAGAGAACCAAGAAGAGGAAGGACAAGCAGAAGAAGAAGGCGAAGACGACGATGAAGTAGCAGATCAAGCGCCAAAGACACGCAGCGAGACATTTACTGCGTTACTCGATGGCTCGTTGAGTGAGAAGCACAAGCAGAAAAAGGCAAAGGGGAGGGGAGGAAAGAAGAATGGCAAAGGGCGAGGGAAGTAAACCGTCTGTGGTTCCTTTTTCCTTGTCTCTCTTCTTCTTCATAAAATACATTACTTAAAAGCGGGTTATTTGTACGAAATGCAAAACACGACTGGATGTCTCTTCCATATCTTCTCGAAACAAGAAAACAAGGAGCACAAGCAACATGAATAATAATATGACAAGTCTGTTATGTTTGTAATTTCTCTCCTCCTCCTCCTCCTCCTCCTCCTCCTCCTCCTCCTCCTCCTCTGCCTCGCAGTATAGATATAGTACATTAGATGGAAATAGCGCGGAAACCCGAGAGACTGCAACTCATCGGTGTCAACAAGACAACAACAAAAAAAAGACCCTCGACTTTGTGTCTCCCTTGCCTGCTCTCCGTCTCCCCTCCCCAGCCCTACCACGCTCTCGCAATGCCTAGTGTAAATAGATGTTTGTAACAAAAGATTGGTTGACAACAACAACACAAAAACTCCTGGTATATAACGCCCAAGTTTCCTCATTTCCCTTTGTCCCTTTCCATCCCTTTCCATCCATATCCATCCATCAATCCCATTCCATATCCTTCCCATTCAAGCCCTGATGCCAAGACTTACGGCCATGTCAAACCGGAGTATTTCCCTTTGCATTGCCTTCCCTTCCGGGGTTTTTTATGACACGCCACAGAACCATGTTCTACAAGTTGTAGAGAAAAAAAAGAAAACAAGAATAAAAATGCTGCTATTCCCTCATAAAATCAGCATATCTACCGCCATTTGCTGCCAATCCAGACATACTAATGATGACGCGGTTGTTGATGATAGGAAAAGTGAATTATTAGTACAGTTGGTGCCGAACCATTCTATTCAAAAGCCCCTGGCATGGAGCCGGGAATCCTCAAACTGAGTCGGTCCTCCTTTTTCCGTACCTGAATCGGGGGTGGAGGGATGGACGACGATCGCTGACGTCGTAGCGGCGGCTGCTCGGTGACCCATTTTGTGTCGAGCGATTTTCGAACCTCTTTCTGGAGTTGAGCTTCGGCTTGTTGCTCAATCTTTTCTTCTTCATTTTGGCTCAAAGCGAGCGTTGGCTCAGCATCATCTTCCGCATGCTGAGTTGGGGTCGACTTGGAATCAAGGTCTGCATTTCCGCTGGCATCCGCCGAAATGACAGTCTTGCCAATGGAAATTCGCTTCAGTGTTTCATCTCCCTTACTCTGAAACGGATCTTCGTTGCTCTTGCTTGGCTCGTTTGCGGTCGCTGGGCCATTGACCGTGATATCTCTAGGTTCGAAAGATATTTCGCTCTCTTCGCTCATTCTCTGCTCAAGCGAGGTGTCGCTGTTGGCAAATGTTGGACTCCTGGGACCGTCGCGCAGAGGAACAAAAGACGGAACAACACCACCCCCAATTCTTGTCCAGAACATGCGCTCGCGTAGACGAACGCTCTCTTCCCAAGCCGATTTCATCTCTTCGTCCGTTTCAGCCCGCCAGTGGCCAGCAGCGACCATGCGCAAGAAACCAATATAGTCGCATGTAGCACGGACTCGGCCTAAGCAATAGTCGCATAGCGGGTACCGCTGAGCATCCTCCGTGTCGGATGGCTTGAATCGAAACTTTCGAGCATACTGCTCACCCGCCCTTGACTCTCCACAGAGCGAACAGGGGAAGATTGGGACTCGGAACCTCGATGTAGGCGTGGGATTGGGCTCAACAACCAGAGAACCGGCACTGATACTGCTGAGAACTGTTCGGCGTGCCATCCAGGATAATCCAGGTGCGAGGTCCAAACGCAATGTTGGTTCAATATCTTCTACCAGAGCGCGCTTATAAAACTTGTCGTCCTTTAGATTTGGCATTCCAGCGGTAGAAACATTTTCGCGGGGAGAATTGTTGATTGATATCGATGACTTGGACGGTAGGGAAGTGGTGGAGCTGTTCGTCAGGGAACCAAGTCCGAGGACAGTAAGGCTGCCATAGTTGCCGCTCGAAGCGCGACTTGCCGGGGCTGATGAGCGAGCGCTAATTTTGAGCATGTCTTGGAATTCTTTGAATGCTGTCAGGTCGGAACGTAGTACGGGGTGGATCAGATGCGAAAAGTGCAGTGGGTGGTCAGGGCTGATATCGTCCGATCCGGGCGTGCTGGGTGTTAGGTTCATGGCTTCGAATAGTTTGCTCATCTTGTCCGCGGGTGAAAGGCCGGGTGTCGAAGGAGTAGTCGTGGTTGTCAGAACATGGCTTTCGTTGTCGTCGCCATATGAGCTCATCTTCTCCACGACGCCTTTGAGGTCTTGCAGCTGGTCCTGGAGAGAATGCTGGAGCACCTCTGCGTCGCCCAGTTGCTGTCGCAGCTGTTCACCGCGCTTCTCGGAAGCCTCGGTTTCTTTACGTGCGGCTGCAACCATCTGTTCTGGTCAGTCATGACGCGTCACTAGCGCATGCAATGCGACTCACCACATTGGCCTCCTCAAACAAAGCAGCTGTCAAAGCCTCGACCTCGCTGTCTGTCTTGCGCTTGGCAGCCTCGGCCTGGGCCCTCCGCTTGCGCTCTTCTTTCAGCTCATTGGTCATTTGCTTCTCCATCTTGTCATAGACCACCTTTTCGACCAAGAGACCTTTTGCAATCTTGTTTTCATGCTCCTTGACCTGGGCTTCCAGGCGCATAAGCTTTTCCCTCGCAGCTTCCAGCTCGTGCCTAGTCTGCTGCAACGAGTCGTCTAGCATGGTGGAGTGGTTGATAGCGTTGATGAGCTTGGTGCTAAGGGTTGACACCTCCTGACTAAAGTCGGGATGGGAGTCGTTCGAGTCATGGCGCAAAAGGGAGGGTTGGGGAGTCGCTGAGCGGGGATCGGGAATCGTGTTGATGCCTTCGCTCTCGGCTTCCGACTGCGACTGTGACTGGGCGGTTTTGGCGAGCTGGGGTGTGGAGATGGAGCGGGTGACATGGTTCTTGGGCATGGGAGATAGGGAGCGGAGGCGCGAGGGCGTCATGGCACCTGAGTTGTGGACCCAGGGAGCCGAATGTGCGATGAAGCTGTGTTACGACGACATGTCAGTAGAGTACTTGGGTAGTAACGGTAGTGGCAGGGGTAGGGCAGGGCAAGGCAGGGAGACATACGCGTACTCAGCCATGGCGGCTGCGTACAGAGTGACGTCGGTCCTCTGTTCAGATGTTCAAAACATGGCAGTAGCAGGGATGGTGGTGGTGCTGGTCGTAAGTGGGTGCTGGGTGGTGGGCGGAAGGCGCGCGACGCAGCGACGGAGGAGGGCGGGCAAAGGAGTGACGACAGGCGCGAAGGGGGGTGATGGGACTATAGCGCACACATTGAAAGCCAAGCGGATCGTGCAACAGCCCAGGGATCGAGGGAGTGCGGTGGTGGGGAAGCAGAAGAAGACGAGATGGGATGAGATGAGAGAGAGAAAGAGAGAGAGCACACGGGCACAGCAAGGAACGGCGAGGCGGGTGAAAGCCAGGTTTGGAGAATCAATAGGCGGCTGGAGGATGACTACATTGGAACGGGCAGGTGGTGGTGGCTGCAACCGGAGCCACGGTCGGCGGAGGCGGCGCTTACGCTTAGATCGCACGCTGCCAGGCTCTGACGACGCCCACGACGCCCGACGAGGCCGCGAGCACTGCCACACACGCTATTCTTCAGGCCTGCCTTGCATTCCCACTGTGCAAGCACACAAGCACAAGCCCTATGAATGCACGCTCCCCTTGACATCATCGTGCCGCCCAGCCAAGCCCGTCTTGTCCATCCTCGCCATTGCCATTACCATTGCCATTACCATTGCCATGCCTCCTCCACGGCCATGGTTCACCCAGTCCGAAAACAAATAAGACGCACTTCCCTCTCTGTGTTCGTCTGTCGCCCTCTATCTGTCTCTCTCTCAAACAAGAACAAGAATATAACAAACCCCAACCCTGGCGAGAATCAATCGCAGACGTCTCATCCCTTGCTCATCGGCCGAATTCTGTCATGGTTTCCTCACCTGTTTATTTTTTTTCTTTCTTCGCCGTGCTCTCGTCTGTTCTCTGTCTCGCCTTTGTCCGTGTTCCCTCTACGAACCGAGCGCCGCCGTCCGCCCCTCGTACGCACTTGCTTAGTACACATACTACTAAAATACCTCTCTCACTTCACTTCATGGCCCCTGCACCTGCACTCGCAAACCACGCTCGCAAAGGGGATACGCATACTCCATTTCGAAACTACTAGCTTACATCCTCATCCCCAAAAGGTTGCTGGTTCAACGCGGCAAACGAAGAAAAAAAGAACAAGGAAAGAAAAAATGACAGACATCATCCCGAGTAAAAAAGCCTCTGACTTGCCCAAAGGACAAAGTAGTCCACACGAGTCCACAAATGCTTCAATAGCCTGAACAAGCCCAATCAAAGGCCACTGATAGCTTCCCACCATCCAGCCCGCCTTAGACAATCCAGACTATCCTAGCCACAGAGACCCTTTTGTAGAACATGCAACAACCATAAAACGTATCCAGGCCGTTAGTCATGCCCCTTGTGCTTTTTTCTCCTGATATCATGTTTCTTGTCCGCATCTCTGTTAGCCTACCATCGCGCACCTTTTTTTCTTGCCCTGCTACAACCTCCAGCTCTTCTTGTCGCCGGCAAGTCCAAAAAGGCAGAGTCGTCAAAGGTCGCATCGTCCGCCACGGAGCGTCGATCGCAGTCTCCCTTTGCATCGCGCGCAACGGTACTCGAATCACAAAGAATGAAGGACAGGACTGTGTACAAATCGTCAAAGGCCGTCGGAAAGCCAAAGAGTGGGTAACGAAATCGAGATCGAGTATATGTTTCGCGTCGTGAGGCATCGGACTCGGGGGGCTGACCACTGCCATCATCTAACGGCGCCCAAACCTGCTGCACAAGAAGTTGGTATTGATTCACAATGAGTAGAGCAGTCACTGCCTCTAGCGCTTTTTGCCGCTAGATGCAGGTCTACCGAGACTGGGGACATACTTTTGTTTCTTCTCTGCAGGCTTGAGAATCTACAGTAATTTGTCAGCACTTGCATACATGGACGCACATGCTCTTATCCTAGACTTACCTGGAACGAGCACAACAGACTCTCGTCGACGCTCATCATTGCGCCTGCATTGTCGAATTCGCCGCAGTAGTTGGGTGCACTGAACAGTGTCACGAGCTGACGCTTGGAGAAGAACTCGTAACCGTCTTCTACGACTTGATGCGCACGGCAAATCAGGTCCATGTCGTGCTTTTGCAGGAAACGAGACACGACATCGGGCCCAAACGTAAAGCTCACACCACGGTCATTCTCACTCCATCCCGTAATGTCCTTGTCTGGGTCAGACCACAGCAGATCGCACAAAAGACCGCAATCGGGAATCTACAGATGTTCGTCAGTGTGTGCGTCCTAACAATTGGCTCGACATGTGCGTGGATCAAACTTACGTCGGTAGGTCGCATGACACGCCTAATCTGCTCCATTGAGTTTAGATCTGGGCTCAGGCCACCGTGCATGGTGAAGATCTTCTCGTCAATAATGGCGGCAATGGGCAGGCAGTTGAAGCAGTCGGTAAAAGTCTTCCACAGCTTGATGTTGTATCTCCGTTTGCACTCGTCGTAGAATCCGTAGATACGGTTGATGGAGGCGCACTCGTGGTTGCCACGCAGAACGAAAAAGTTCTCAGGGTACTTGATCTTGTACGCGAGGAGGAGGCATATCGTCTCGAGCGACTGCTTGCCACGGTCGACGTAGTCACCGAGGAAGAGGTAGTTTGCCTCTGGGGGGAAACCGCCATACTCAAACAGCCGTAGCAGATCGTAGTACTGGCCGTGGATATCTCCGCAAATCTGGTGCATGCAAAGTCAGTAGGTGCTCTGAAGCCAGATACTGGGCTTCGCAGCACTACGCGTTGTGACTGACCTTTATCGGTGCCTCGAGCTCGAGCAGGATGGGCTGTGAGATGAAGATTTCGCGAGCCTTGGTGCACAGGTAGCGGATCTCGGTTTCGAGGAGCTGGACCTGCTTGCCGGGTCTGCTGCCGCGGACCTCGAGCAGGCGGTCTATGATAGAGTCCAAGTCCACCTCGGTTTCGGCCATAGCTGTGACTTGCTACTGGCGCTGAGTTCGGTGGCTGAAGGTGCAAGGAAGAACCTCGCGTGGGTGGGTGAGGAAGATTTGCGCGTGGCACTGGCGAAGGCTTTGTACGGAGGGCCTCTTTTTTTTCTCTTCCCTTGCTGCACTGGCCGTGTTAGCGGCGCTCTAGCCGTCTGTGTTTGGCAGGTCTGTGGGTGCCGTCGTGAGGCCTACGGACGGCGGCAGGAGCGTGTCGTGGACAGCGACTACCACGACGACGGCGATGACGCTGGCTGGGTGCCGAGCGATGCATCGCGTGCGGCTGCAGCAAAGAGGAGGAAGGGGAGGAGAAGAGTGTCACGTACCTCTGATGTCAACGAATCGGATGGTTAGAGTGGCAGACGGGTGCAGGCTGTCGCCGTGTGGAGAATGGCTCAAAGCCCCTCAAGAAGTGCCTGTTGGCAGAGCTGGGATCACGCGACGGGTGGGGCGGCTGCAAATTGCGCTGGTCAATTGTGCGTGTTGATATGGGGATACCTGTGTGGGCTGCGCGGTGGGCAGTTGAGCGCGAGGGGAGCGGGGGCGCTGAGGCGCTGAGGCGTTGTTGTGGGCGGGAGCCTGTCGAGTGGGATGCTGGGAGTGACTTCACCGCCTGGACGAGCGGGGAGTTGGCAGACAGGCGGGCGATGGACGACAAAAGTAGGCTGTGCGGGCGATGAGCGAGTACGGGTTGTCTGCAGCGTCGGGACTTTGTGGCAAGACAGGAGCAGGCAGTGGGTTGATGGTAGGTAGGCCGGGTTGGGTTGCGGTGGTAGAGAGGATCACAACGCCCGAGTAGTTTTGCAGAGCAGGCACGGTTTCAGACCTAGGCCTGGCTTGGCGCAAAAGGTGTGCTAGCCCAACAGAGACGCGCGTCGGGGCTGTGGGAGAGCAGCACAGCGAGCCATGATAACAAAGGGCCTCTGCCTCTGCCTCTGCCTCTGCCTCGCCCAGCACCCACACTCATACCTACACACCAACACCAGTGCCAGCCTCTGCACGGTCAGACGCTGACATGGACACAGGCCTCAGCTGCTCGTCCCAGTCCAGGTACCGGGCGTGGCCAGCATCGTCCAAATCGCACCTGACCGGCTGCAACTGCCGCTAACACACCACACACATGTCTAGCCTGCCCTCGTCCACGCCTGCCACAGCGCCACCACAATCTCTTCGACTCCCGCTCGACTTGTCCTCAACTTGTCCTCGACCCTTTTGGCCGGTTGGGTACCACTGCCACTCCAATCCGTGCGGAATACGACAGCCCGTTAATGTCATGTTATTAAACAGTCAGCACAGTCTCACTCTAGACTGCGCCGGTGCCTTGACCGTGCTGCACTTTTTTGCCCTAGCAGCCTGCCTCGAACCCCCATCCACATCCCGCTTCAGCCGGCGAGGCTCTCTTTGCTAATACTGACCTGCTCATGACATCCGCTGTACATGTATGCACTTCGTCCCGGACCGCCCGTTCACACACTGTTCATGTACGTAGCTCGGGAGCTACCATCAGCCCTAGCCAGTCAGCCAGCCAGCCCATGGAGCCGGTCTTTGCTCCACGACCATCCAGAGTATATACTTGCATACTTACATACATGCATTACATACCAAATACACACATACGTAGACCTCGATTGAAAATCACGTGATATCATCCATTCATCCATTCATCCGTATATACCCATCCATTCTCGTATAGGCCAGAATTCGTCTTCTATTCATGTAGACATCTACCCGAACATGTGCGCTCATTACGCAATAGATCAAACAACGCCCCAACTCTCACTGCTGCCTGCGCCCATGCCTGACGTCGCTTCCTAGTAGAAACCCAATTATGTAGAAAAAGCAAACAAACGTCAAGTAGAAAAGAAAGCAAAGTTGGAATAAAAACAAAGAAACAATGACAGCCCGCGTATTCCTAGCAAATTCAACAGCGCAATCCACGAGCACATCCCAGACGCACCAATATTTTTACAGAATCCGACCCACAAACAGCACATCCGCAATATGCTGTCAACCAGAATCTCTTATCAGACCAAGACTTTGACCGGTACAACGAGCGTAGCGCATGGCGCCATGTAATCTCATCGTCGTCCGTCACCCATCCAACGCCTTGCACAAACTTATTAAAAAAAAAGAACAAAGAATAGCCTCTCGTACACTCCGAGCAGGAAGCCATTCCCACGAACCGAATTTGGAAAAATCTTTTGGGTATCGCAAAAGTGTCGAAATCACACGGGCGTTGGCAGTCGAAAATTGCTGCAAGACGCTTCGCCCCTCGCCCGCCCATGTCTCCTGCTAATCGTCCAGCCGTTTAGCCAAGCGTACGCCCAGACACAATACTCTGGCTTGGGGTACGAGGCAGTGTAGGTTGCATCGTCGGAGAGTTATAACCTCGATCAGATGGGAAGCTCGTCACAGATGTCGAGTCCCACCCTTCGTCCCCCAGCGCACTCAGCCACGTATTGCCAAAATCTTGCCGAAGAGCCTCAATCTTCTTCTTGTACAGCTCCTCTTCACCAATCTCAAAGTCGTCTGCAGATTGTGGCTCCGCTCGCTTCTTCGATGCCGTTGTCGTGTCAATCGGAGGTAGTTGCTGATGACTTGTGTGCGTTTCATCAGCAACCGCCCGCCCGTCTGGCATAGTCTTCTTGCCTGCATCTCCAACGCCCTTGCCCTTGGACGGTTCCTCCAGTCGAGGTGCTTCTGCAGCCACGCTGATCGGCTTGGTAAGTTTAGGAGCCTGTCCAATGGCAGTATCCTCATAAGCAAGACTTGTTAGACTCGACTGGGAAGATTGCTGCATCGACTCATTCTGTGAAAGTTCGACAATTCGTCTCTTGGGGCCCTTCTTCTTCTTTTGGGATTCTTGCCCACTCTTTGTTCCACTCTTGGTGCGCTGTAGTGACCCGGCGCGTTTGAGCAATCCAGGCGATTCAGATGGTGTGTCCACAGCTTTCACTACCTTAGGGGGTACATATGGCATAGGCTGTAAGTCGTCCTCAGGTGGGGGCTTCACAACGGGGACTCCCTTCAACTCGGGCGCCCGGTCAATGAGTTGCTTCTTCTCAGCCGTGCTTGGCCCTGTGGTGTCAATAATAATGTCTTCAGTGTAGCCCGGGGTCTTGCGGAATAAATTAAATATGGTAACCCTGTAGTTGACGTGCGTCTTGCAGAAGGGATTACGGCTAACGTAAATATCCGTTATATCGGGTACACCAGTGAGGCGCGCCACTTCGGTAGGATCAGTCAATCGATTGTCTCTAAAGTCTACACGCTCTAGAGATAGGAGACGCTCGATACCAGCCAATGATGTAAGGCGATTGGATCGGAGATTGAGAGTTGTAATGGCCGGGAGGGGGTTGCGTCCCAATGAGTGCAGCCCATCAATCATACAGTTGGAGAGATTCAATGCACGGAGACAAGTAAGGTTAGCAAGACTTTCCGGTATTTCAGTGAAGAGATTAGCCGAGAGATCCAGCGACTGTAGTGTGTTTGTCAAGGGGACGAGACTGGCAGCCGGAATGGTAGTCAAAGCATTGTCAGCCAAGCTCAGATGTCTCAAGAACCGCCACTTGGTGGCAGGGAACCAGCCCATAGAAAGTAAGTTAGAGGAGCTTCCTCGTGGAGTGGTGGAGCGCACGCTCGAGCTGGAGCTTCCAGACGATCGGCGAATGTTTGGGGCGCTCGCTGTGCTCCTACCGTAGACATGCGAAGAGCCATGGCGGGAGCTAGGTGGGCGCGATGGAGATGTGCTTCGCTGGCGTTGAGCAGACCTGGTAGAGTTCTCGCGGGTTACTGCCGCCCCCCTCGGGCTTGTGCTCTGCTTGCCGGCGGCAGTGGGCGACGTTGGCGGCGACTCTGATCGAGCGAGCTGAGCATGCTTGGGGGGTGGGCTTGCAGTAGACCAAGGTGCGCTTGTTTTGGCGGAACGTCTGCGACGCTTGTCAATATCATCCAAAACGATATTGATCAGCAAGTCAGCAGGATCTTCAACACCTGCTCGCTTAACAGTCAGACTGCGAAGGTTCTCGGCCAGACGGTCCCAGCCATAGAACTGTCGAAAGTCTACGTCGTGAATCTCAAGTGCTGTGACATTCTTAAAAGCGAATAGGGGAACCGCAGTGTCGAATGGAAACTCTTCATATCCCGCAATCAGACGGGCTTTATGGTCAGGAGAGAGCCTCAAGCATGGGATCTTGGTAAAGGCAGAATACAGATATCTCAAGTCTTCCTGGAGCTGGGCCTTTTGTTTCTCTGCTTTTGCTTCACTGGTAGATCCGATACGGAAAGTCGACCAAAGTGAGGACATGCCTGACATCACGCTGCGAACGCTGGACACTGAATGTATGGAGTCGCGATCGGAAGACTTTGTCTTGTTGCGCTGGGCGCTACCAAGGAAGGAGACATAGTTGGTGGGTGAGGCATCGGTGTGAATGTTTTCTAAACGCACGTTCATAGGGCCGACAGGGATGCCAAGATCCTCGAAGCGGGAGAGGATGTAGAAGAGATGATGAGGTGTTAGTGTGAGCTTTGCTGGCTTGATCGACTGCGAAGTAAAGGTTAGGGAGGGCAGCGATAGTGCTGCTGCCCAGACGCTCGACGACGACGACGCGGATGAGGGAGGGCTGGCAGGGCCACTGGGCGACGAGGGAGAAGCAATGGCTTGGCCGTTTCTGGGGTTTTGGCGCTGCAACTGGAGAGCGTTGGCAAGAGCCTTTTCGTGTGTTCGCACAAAGTACGCCAAGTTCTGGAGCCGTGTCAATGTGTGTCTTGTTTAGAGCCAGGCATTGCAAGTGTGTCGCACCCTTATGAAGAGCTGGCCATCTTCGGTGTCCATGTTGATAGACTAGCAGACCGCGACTGCATATAGGGCCCGCCGGCTGTGTGTGTATAGCACGACGGTTCTTGGGAGAAGGCGCGGAAGGGGGGAGGGCGGGAGGCCGTGAGCTTCGGCGAGGGCTGCCCACTTGAAACTTTTGTGCCGCGGGGGAGGGAAATTGGTGAGGCGCCTCCACTGTCGGACGGGGCGACTTAGGGCCTGGGACCAAGTTAGCAATGGGCGATGTTTGGATGGAGGTGGGGAGGGGGAGGGAATGGGTAGTGACTGGAGGCGAGGGAGCCAGCCATGTCTTGGCGGTGGGGGATTGGAGTCGAGGTACGTACGTAGAGTACAGTAGGACTCGGTCGGATGCCCTCGACAGGTGGGCCTAGGTAACGAAGCAAACGGCGGCGGACAGACAGATATTATGCAGCGGCACAGGGGGTGCAGTGCACTGGCGGCAGACGGTAGCACAGAGGCAGGAAGCCAAGCGGCGTGTTCCAGACGTGGGCCAAAGAGAGGTGCAGCAGCAAGTGCAGCGGGCGTCCGGGACAGCGAGATAGTGGCCAGGAAAAAAAGGACGACCCGAGACGGGCGCACTGGCCAAAAGTGCAGCTGAGAGGCCAAACCAAAAAAAATCGAAGGGCAGCGCTGATTCGCGCAAGGGGAATTTTTCAAGTGTCGAACAACAGAGTCGGGAGAGGGAGGTGGGTGGACAGACAGGTGAGGAGGACGAAATTAGATGGCGTCCCAATATGGAATGCCGTCCTGTCGCGGCGGCGGGAGAGGTGGAGGGGCTAGCAGGATTTAGTCTGGCGATGGGGGTTTGGTCGTGGGACGGGAGTGGCAGAGTCGAGGATGGGATGGGATGGGATGGGATGGGATGTGGAGAGGAGTAGGAGCAGGAGCAGGAACAGGGTGAGGGCTTGATGATGAAGGGCGCGGGGAGGGCGGACGAGAGCACCCACAGTACGGGCGGTGGATGGGCAGGCAGCGCAGGCAGCCCAAAAGCAGCTGGAAAGGGCATCAAAAGCTGCTCGACACATTGACTGGGCTGGCATGGCAATGGAACCCCTGCAGGCTGTGATTGGATCCCAGCAAGATAGCGCTAGTGAATGTGCCTCTGTGGCATCCCTGCGTTGAATCTGACAGACGACGACCGCCTCTGCTTGCTCACCCTTGCCCTCGCCCTCGACAACACGCTCTCGCTCTCTCTCTCTCTCTCTCGCTCGCTCTCTTACCACGGCCGATGACCCTGGCGGGCGTTGCGACAAGAACGACAGCCGGCCCTTGCGGCGGTGCGGCCTTGCCGAGGATCTGGCGCATGAGGTGCTGGTCACTCGGGCCACCATGCGACGAGCCCTGACGCCATATCGCTGCACGACCAGAACACTTTTTTTGTTGTCGTGAGCGGCACGCCCGTTGGCTAGGCGTCACACGGCGCGTCACACGAGCAACGCCCACGGTGGAGTATATGTATGTGTGTAGTATACATGTATGTGTGGTGTGTGTATGTATGTATGTATGTATGTATATATGTCTCTCCAGATAGACAGACATGCATGCTCGCACACCTCGTCCATATATATGTACGTACTTACAGCGGCGGATATGACCCTGGTGATTTTGATATAGGCGGCACAGGGTCGGGCAGTCAGTAGACGCGTCCATGTGTGCAGATTCGCTGGACCCTGGCCCGCAGCTTCCATCGTGGCCAAAGTTTAATTGTGTTGGACGGGATTGCCCAACAAGACATGTGTATCAGCGTTGGTTGCGACGTTGACGGGCGAACTGAGCAGCACGCGGCTTGGGGTATATCAGACTTGCACTCGAGGGGCAGGGAAGCAGTAGTAGCAGCGCGAGATGATCCACTCGACTCCGTCTGCATCTGCGTCTCCGCTGAGCGGAGCCACCCAGGACACGCCCTCGTGCAGGGAGGCAGCGCACCGACTGGACTACCCGACCAGGGTGCCTGCGAGCCGATTTGATAGCAGAGAGCAGATGCTGCGACATGACATAGTATGCCCGCCGCTTCTGCGTCGGTCTGCGACTGACGACGTAGCGAGGGATATATATATATATATATGTGTGTGTGTGTGTGTGCATACGTAGAGGAGACGCATGTCTATAGGCGACGATTGGGTACCTCTGCCTACCGCTCCATCTCCCTCTGTCCCCGTCCAGCGGCTCAAGCCACGTTTTGTGAGGCTGACGTCTTGTTTGGATCCAGCGCCCGGCGCCCACCCCCACCTGCCCTTTACGTGACAGCTGGTCGGCCCTGCAGACCCCTCAACACCATGCCCTCTTCGTCTCGACATTACTACTACTGTACACCTACCGCTGCGACACCACCCGCGCTGTCCACCGTGACCGCACTCTCTAGCTACTGCCCTACTGCTCTACTGCCCTGCCCAGCGCCAATGGCTGTGCCGCCTTGGTGCACACCACTGGCCCATTGCAACGCCTAACGGTTTCACCCACACCCTGTTCTGGCAACCCATGGCTTGCCTCGGCTTTGTCTGCCCCTCACCGCCATGCGCGACCGAGTATGCAGACCATGTGTGCACATGTCCTGTTCCGAACGCCATGGCTTGATTGAAAAGCACCAGAATCCAAGTGGATGAGAAATACGTACCTAGCAATTGTATTCATACATATCCATGGATACTTACACATACACGCACGGGAATAGGGGTTGCCGAATCCCCGGGCCAAAGGGACCAAAGGGACCAAAGCACAGATGCATTAGCCATGATCTACTTAGCCTCCGCTTTTCTTTCATCATCGCCATCCCAACCAGCTTGAAAACCACCGCCGAAATGGCGCCATTAGCGGTGAGACCCTATCCAGCCTCAGTCCATGCTTGGCCGACGACCCGCACCGCCTCGGCTCAGAACAACACCCACACACAGCCGTTGCCAAAAGTGCCGCCGCAACCGTCGCGTCATCTGTGTAGTAGTTCGCGCGTTGATGCCCTTCAACACCACCACACCCGACAAACTATGTGATGTCTGACATCATCGCGCATCTGTCATGCCAAAACTGACCCATCGGCCCTTTATGCCCCACCGCCGAGCTGTCAGTCTCGGAACAAGCCTCTCCCAGTGCACTCATCCGGCCCTCCGCCCCCTTGTAGTCCAAGTTTAAGTCTCCTGCTGTTGGTCCCTAGCCTCGAGCAATGACGTGCCATCACCTACTACGTACTTACAGTATAAGCCATGTATCTACACAAGTACTTGTATATGTACACTATCTTGCACCCACTGCTATTCCAGGCCCGAGAACAATTGCCCAACACCAAAAATGCCTCGCCACTTCCTTGCACCAGCACTCTATGGTGTGCATAAACAAAGGTAGCGTTGCATGCCATTGGAGTTGCAAAGCCAAATCGTTGGCGGTAGCGGCGGCGACGGCGGCCGCACTGGTGTTGGCGTCTATCCGCGCTTCCTCTAAAACGGCTTCGCTTGTTGGTTCCAAGGGTTGGGTCACAGTCCCACTACAATGGGAATTGATACAATCGAGACATGCTGAACTAATTAACATTTATCCTCACAGCAACGAGGAGAATCTACACTACTCATGACTTGCAAACGCAAAACAACCGAAGCGAGTCGTGCTATGGTTTCGCCATTGTCGGCGGGAAGGCCCGTTCCAAGCTTATCTCATCGTCGGACGATCGGTCAGAGGCCGGGTACGGTCCTTTAGCCGAAACATCCCTGAGCTCTGTTGTGCTATGAAATTGGACGTCTTTTTGTACGTAAATGCCATTTGCCAAGGTAGCTTTTGTTTTGGCACCGCTTGCCTCGGCCAGCCTCGTGCCTCTGCTTCCGTATTGCATCGCACCGTTCGTCGTGTCCTTTGCGCTTGATCCCATCATATTAGGCACCACTCTCTTCATCAGTGGCCGAAGCGCCGGGATACAGGCACACATTATCCCCAGGCTTGTTTCTATTGTTGAAAAGTATGCGATGGTTGCTATTTTCCACGTTATGTCTCTCCAGTTGTGCTTACTTCCAACCAACATGTCGAGCCGTACGGCGGAGATAATGCATACACTACGGTTTGTTAACACCTCTCTACAGCTACGCATGAACGCATGTTACTAACCCCAAGCCCATACACATAACAACTAGCAGGTACGTCTTGCGCACCCAGTTGATTTGCAACCCAAGCACAGGCTTGATAGGGATGATAAGGATAAGGAAATCCGTCACCATATTGATAACGGCATTGAGTGCAACCGGTCTGCCTACTGTCAGCAACAAGCCCAAAATCCTCGTCGTATGTACACATGCAGGTGCACCCTTCGCTTACATGTCGTCGGGGACGCAGTTTTCTGGCGTCAGAGTGGTAACCGACTCATACGAGCAGATGCACGGTGTCAATGCCCTTAAGAAGTTACTTTGTTAGTATTGATCTTGGTTCAGTCTCCTTACTGCTGCAACTTACTGCTGCGCTATCCCCCATAAAAGAAGCAGCCCAATTCCCCATTGCGAGATGAGTCGCATTGATCTGCCTGGGAAAATGGTGCAGTACTGGATGAGAAGCGAGATTTTGGTCGCAATCTGCGCTGCGTTGTAGAGTGCCATCACAGCCACCATCAACTGTGTTGGGTTAGCATCAAATCTATCGAGCAACTCGTCTCCAGCGCGGCTTTGTATTACCCGGTTGAAGGTTGGCAATTTGTCTTGCACATGCTCAATATGTTGCCCTGCGCCACCAGCTATCACGATTGCGAAATTGACACCGGACTGCGCAAGGCTCAGAGTGTGTGCTACCAAGATCATGTAATCATCGGGCCCGACAAATCGTAGTATTACCCTCCTATCGTGCTTGTTAGACTGCCACTCTCTGGGTTTCTTTGGTCGATTTTGGTCACCTAGTGTAGAATCGAAGGGCTACGCAGACGCTTGAAAGAACTGTAAAGACGGCGACAATGGCGAGAGTGATAGGAGCCTGGACCGAATTAGTGACCTGTATATTTCTAGCGTTGATAGTTTTTTCCTTCTTTCACGTACTCGAGTCTCTTTACTAACCGCATCTTGGGCGTTGGCCATGATGCTCAATCCAGATTGAACATGCGCATATGTTGCGCAGACACAATCGACTTTAGATCGGATGGCTCAATAAGGCACAGGGGTTCCCGCAGTCTTAAGGTGCATACGGACACTTAGAAACCCGAGATCAAATTGGCAGGTACCCTTCTGACAAGGGCTCTTCGAGACCTTGTATGTCGCGCCCATGACTCGCCATGCAAACGACATCTCGGTTCCATTTCTGAGTGCTAGCCAGAGATACAGCCACTCGTCTAATGTACACTTAGCTAGCCATGTGCGCTATTTGGGACACATGTCCGACAAATAAGCTGACCGGCTCTCGTCCGAGGATAAAATTTAGGGGCGTCTTTACATCCTCGTAATAGATGAAGGTTGCCACTAGACGCAGCACGCTCAGCTTTAGTACGGGGCATCATGGCCTGTGCGTTGCTGCTAAAAAATCCCTTGCAAAGCTGAGAGTTCACGTTGCATCATCTTTATCCATGACTTTTTCCCTATATTAAGATACATATGTGGATATAAAACCCAACTTTCTTACATCCTCCACTTGGTCGATCTCCGTGTTGTGGTGCACTGTGTTGCAGCTTCGCTGTATTGCATGGAGTAGGTTACGACGCAATACAATCCAAATTCCTTGTCAAGTCTGTTCGTCATCCAGGGTGCCCATGTCAGATATACTTGGCATGCGGCTTTTAGTGTAGCCACCTGCCACCACAATCGCACCATACAGTTGGTGATGCTAGGGAATAATGACTGTCAAAACCAGTATAGACAAGCATCATCGCATACATAGTAGCTAGAGTGTCCCACAACTTCGATCGATAAGGGTATCTGTTCCCGCTGTCCAACAAGACACTAGAGAACATGCCATCAACTAATCGGAAGTCTCACCGTGAAAGGTTCCGAACTGCTACACCATGTCTGCAATCGTATGTTGCCCAGCCCGTCAGCGTTGCTCAGACCCATAAATCCCTCAAGATAATGAAAATAAAGCGAATCATAGCGACTGTCGATAGCTCTCGAGATTGGCACCCTGATCGCAAACCTAAAAAAATAGTAACTTTTACTATCGCTAGGAACGCGCTTTGGTTGGTACAAAGCTCTTCAGCTACTTTATTATCATCGGTAGGGCATGATACGTTGGCATTTATGGCGTACGTACCGTGGCGTCAGTAGCGCAGATCGCGCTCTAGTTCGTTCCCCGTCTCCCCGCTGCCCTAGGCCCCGTTTTCCATCGAATTGGCTTCCGCGCTGGCTCGCTTCCCCATTCGCTTCAGTTTGCAGACCACGTCCGCCCCTTAGCCATTGTTTGGGACTAAAATAATGTCCATGCAAGACGATAAGAATGACTCGACTTGAGTAGAATCGTTCGTGGGGTACGGCTCTTAGTCAACCAAACTATTCAGATGAAAACTTCGCCCACCAACAAAGCGCAATACCAATGAGGTATAACTGTACACTCGTATTGTAAGTAACGTATATATTCTTTTTGCATATTAATCTATACGTAAAGCCTAGTATTCATTTATATAGGATAGCATTTCTAACTGCGTTGTGGTGAATGTGGCTGATTGCAAGTGATAGCTTTGGTTTAATAGGGGCTGTTTGTATCTGGGCATTTCGGTCGACCAAGAGGGTGCTGCACCCTAAACGCTTGCTTCCATCCTGCTGCACTCTGCAGGGGACAACTCTACTAGTCATGTAGGACGCAATGGACTTTCCCTGCGGAACCCCGGAATTTCGTTGAATTTGAAAGAGCGGCATCACACATGGAAATAAGCATTGCTTAATGCCTGGCTTAGAGATGCGTTTTTGCTGCCAGGCTGATTGATTACCGCAGCCACGCTCTCCCGTTTAGCTCAGCGACATGGACCGTGCTAAACTTACGTACCCCACCACCCCACTTCAACGGCATTCTCAAACTCTCACGCCTACGCGTTGAGTAGACAGCAGACGCCACATACAGCCACGCTGAATTACCATCACAATGCTCATTACGGAAACACACAAAGATGTGCCCACCGAGGCAGGTGGTGACATGAGTTTGTGGTCCTTATGTACATTGGTTGCGGCAACTCAACTGACGTTCCAGGAATCTTCATCTTCCACCCCACCATTCCAAACTATCCCAAGACAAAGTTTCCTGGTGTCGTAGTCTTCTCTGAAATTTATCAAGGTAATTTCGATTATTCATTGTGCGTGTCATTTGATTCATTGAGAAAAGAGTTACGCTTGGGTTATGCTGACATTCTTGCAGTGACTGGACCGGTTGCTCGCTTTGCACGACAAATCGCTTCCCAAGGCTACATTGTCGCAGCGCCATCTTCCTACCATGAGTTTACTGGACCTGAACCACTTGCCTACGATGTCCCTGGTACTGACCAGGGCAATGAATGGAAAATCACAAAGACTGTTCAAGCTTATGACGAGGATGCTTCTCTTTCGGTAGACACATTACTCGCAATGTCAACATGCAACGGAAGAATCGGCGCTACTGGCAAGTACTGATTTCTCACAAGGGGTAAGTATGTAGCTCATCATCTTTGCAGGCATGTGTCTAGGAGGTCACTTAGCATACCGTTGCGCTCTCGATCCACGCGTCTCTGCAGCAATTTGCTACTTTGCAACCGATATTCACAGCGGTACGCTGGGAAAAGGCAAAAAAGACGACTCGATTGCTCGCTGTAAAGACATCAAAGGCGAGCTTGTTATGATATTCGGCAAGATGGACACGCACGTACCACCAGAAGGCCGAGACCTGATCAGAAAGGCGCTGCATGAGGCAGGCGTTACCTTTTCCTTCTACGAACCAGCCTGGGCGCAACGTGAGTATACATGATCATGTCTGCTAGAACCTTTTTGGCGTACTAACCCATTCGATAGATGCTTTCATCCGAGATGAGCTTAGCAAGGGTCGCTACGATGCTGCGTTGTCGGGGATCTGCTTTGAGATGCTCAAGGAGCTATTTAATCGCACATTACACTCTGATCTGGGACCGAGGTCTGGGGGTGACGTCGAGATTGAGGACGTGTGCTAAACATGAACTTGGAGCTTGTTGCAAGAACCGATAGCTGGGTTGCAAATACTGCTCTATCTACGGTCCAATATTCATACTATCGAATGCAATGCATGAGTTCCGGCATTCGGCCGTGAGACTAGACTAGACTACTCTAATACTTAACCCGAACACTATAGGCAAAGCAAAACATAGCAGCCACGTGAATAGCGTAATTACAGGGGCATGAAGGCTAGGAGCCAATCAACATGTCAATGACGAGCATGCATGCCAAGCCGTCTAAACTGCGCTAACACCGACGATGTTTCTCGAACCTCAGAGGTTGACATCTTCAATTTGCCATCGCAACACTAATTCTACCACGTATCGCAAACACAACACCCGAACACATAACAACGACATCACAAGAACAACAAAATGCCTCGCCAACGCTCCGGAGCCGCTCCTCCTCGCCGCCCTCAAGTCCCAGCAGCCAGGCAAGCTACCACTGCGCCTGCGCCTGCGTCCTCGCGCCCTCACTCGACTGCTGCGGCTCCCGCCCAGCATGCTCCCACTCATGCGCCCGTTCAGCAGGCGCAGGCTCCTACGCCTCAAGGACCTGGTCTGTTTGGACAGATGGCTAGCACTGCTGCGTAAGTAGTCCCAGGCAACCATATTTGACTTGGATCGATTTGCGCCACGAATGCCAGGCACCCCACTTTGTAATTTGGACGCTTAACTGATATGCTTGCAGTGGTGTCGCAGTAGGATCTTCAATCGGCCACGCAATTGGCGGTCTCTTCAGCGGTGGTTCTTCCGCCCCTATCGACGCCGCGCCCCAAAATACCGAGTTCGCCGCACAGCACCAGGGATCCGCTCAAATGGTACAGTCGGGTCCCTGCGCAAACGACGTCCAGAGCTTCCGCAAGTGTATGGACGAGAACCAGGGTAGCTTGACTATCTGTGGATGGTATCTTGACCAACTCAAGGCGTGCCAAGCGGCGGCTAGTCAGTACTAGAGAGTAGTTTTCTCGTAGGAAGAGGATGAATTAAAAAGGATAGCAGCCAATATGGAGGGGAAGTGTATGAATATAGTGACACATTGAATTGCATCTTTAAGCGCACATAGTGAATATGGCATTTGAAGATTGCGGTTTCACACTGCATCATCTGGCCAATGAATCAATCACCACTTCAACATATGCTTTGATTGTCCTTGCATTTCCACAAGACGATTGAATCTCCTAAACATATTAGCAAATAGCATCCTGTACGTATGCCTTTTCAATCAATTTGGTTATCGTCTCGCTCCCAATGCTGATGTTGCTGTTCAGTGTTCAGTGAGCTCCGTATGCCAATCCGTGAAGAGCTCCTTCCGCAACAGATCAGTGAGGAAAACGCCCACCAGAGCAAAATGGCAGGAACCCACGAGCTCGAGGTAAACAAACCGTCGAAGCTTAATTGTGTTCTTCTGCAAGCTTCTCGTCACGACACACGTTACAGCAGCACCAGCAGCACCAGCAACATCACCATCTTATCTTGAAAATCGCTTCGTTCTCCAAATTGGAAGCAGATCGTTCTTCAGACGTAGGGCAACTTCATATTAACCCACGCAGTCAAGACGGCGTCAATCTAGAGTATCACCAAGTAATCGAACAACTCACTTGGATCTTCAATCCAGAACCAGTCTATCTACAAGCGCGGATGCTTCGTATCAATCCAGTCGACTAATACATCGGCAGACCGTCAGCAAGAACCTTTACCGTGGTCGACAGTCCCTGCAGAACCTGGACTAAGAGATATTCCCAAATCCATGAAAACTTTGGAGCGGACTCAAAAGCAACCACGCAAGTAGCATTTCAACTTATGCTTCCTGGATACCTCATTGTCCTTTGATTGACTGCCCCTAAATCCGATTGGGAGCGGCAGAGCGCCTCAGTCTGAGCTACCTTGGGACTTATATCTTTCGCGTCCAGCCATCACGTACAGTTTGCAGAGAGAGGTTTACTGAGTTTTAAATATAAAGCTCGGATAACGGGACTTGTCCGCTTGCTCTACACCCACTGGCCCTACACTCGCTTGCCCTCCAACCATCCGAATCTCTGTTTTAGCGCAATGCAGTTGAAGAATTCAAAATGCTTTCTTTTCTACGAAGGATCAAAAGGTGGCGCGAAGAACGCAAGCTCATCGAGAGCGTGGAGAAACAGGATAATCAAATAGCCCAAACACCCCTAGTCGCCCTAAACCATGAAGAGAGTGAGTTTATCAAGAACGTGAAGGAACGGAATAATCAACAAGCGCAAGAGCTCCTCGCCGCCTTACACAACCTGCAGTACACCATGGACCCGCTCATATCCGCTAAGGTCTATAACATTCGTTTCCGTCCACTTACTAGCCGGTTGCCAGATGAACTCCTCCTCTGTGTACTCGACTTCTTATCTGATGATGTCGTTACGCTATCATGTCTCCGGATAGTCTCGAGAATTTTTTTTCATAGGTTGGTAGTAAGCTGGTCTATGGGGTAAATCCGAAACCCATCGTATATCAGCCCCAATCACTCCCGAGGGTTCTAAGGTACCAATTTCGGCGGCTATTACAGCGGGATGGTCGGTGCCATAACTGCAAGCGTTGGAATGACACCTGTGACCCTCAATACTTTGATTGCAGTAAATTCGAGCCAAGAAGTTCCTGGGATGCTGATGATGCAGAGCAGGCTCGGCTTCGCCGCAAGCCCCACTGCTACGCCTGCGACAGTCTTCATAGCGTTTATGAATTTTCCTCTGAGTACCAGCAATCTTCGAGCCATCAGCCAGAACGACGGTGCCCAGGGCAGCAGGGATCGGTCAAGTTATATAAGCATATTCAAATCAATTGGGCCAGTATCAAAGCCCATATTGATGACTGGCGGCGGCAGCAGCTGTATCGCGGAGGAGACTGGCAAGCCTGCCTTGATAACTTCAACATCGAGTGTCACGATGCCAGCCATGACATAAGCTGCAAAGCCTCAGATGAGCCAACCTGGCCTCGAGCCCGTCTGAGCACTATATCCATCGACTCCATCAGCCCAGGCACTGTAGTCCTCAGTATAGAATGGGCACCTCATAGCCGCATTGGTACGATGGATCTCACTGCAGACGGTCGAATACCTGCACCAGAGCTGAGATCGCCATTTCAGAGACTTCGAGGTTTAGGCCCTGCCAACACTTTGTATCCTGCGTCCCATCTGGGCGATTCACCCGAGATGGCGTTCTTTGACCCACTTTCCCACCGTCGGCATTTTGTTCACTACCAGAATGGAGACGATGATCAAACAAGACCTCTACCACCCCCGCCCCTATATCTACCGTTTCAGAAAAGAATGAGTCTGGAATTGCTACTTATTCTTCAAAGAGGGCTTCATGGCAAGAAGCTAGATATGGAACTGCATTCTCTGAGAAATGATGGTGATACCTCCATCTCCTCATACTATCTCACACTTCATTACAAGACAGACATCATAGTCTGCAAGGTGATGGACCTGGCGGATCCTACTGTCAAGATCGTCCCCACCGACTGTTGGCTACACGCCATGGATACGCAAACTTACCCGCAGGCAAGCCATGTCAAGCCCCAGTGTAGGAACATTGCTTGTGTCAATTACTTCAAGAGACGCAAAGGCCGCCACTACTGCGAGGGCCGGTATTTCCTATAGGAAGGACTGGTCCAATCAAATGCTGTGACTGAGTGAGAACGCAAGGGACATACGAGTGGCGGGGGCGGGCCAGTGACAGGCTCTGCCAAGCCTTCCCCCTCCGGCTTCTTTTCCAAAGATGATTGCAAACTTTCATGTCTCTGCTCTATCGAAAATGTCGGTCCGATTAGACGTAATCATCGTGGGTGCAGGGCTGTCGGGTCTCGCAGCTGCGATACAGTGCGCACTTTCAGGTCATTCTGTCACAGTGTTAGAGGCCACGAAGGAGCTTGCTGAGGTGGGCGCAACATCCCCGAGCACCAGACAGGGTGACTGAATATCTTGTCAGGTCGGCGCCGGTCTCCAGTTGACACCAAATGCGACACGTCTGCTTCAACAATGGTCCGTATATGATACCATTGGGGATCAAGTGTGTGAGCCCACTACGCTCACAGTGTACAACTATCGAGGCGAGGCTCTCGCACACGAGGATAATTTCGGCACAAACATTCGTCGGAAATATGGCGCGCCGTTCTCAGACTGTCACCGCGTGGATTTACAGCAAACTTTGGTAAGAAGAGCAAGAGAGCTAGGTGTGCACGTTGTGCTGGATGCAAAGGTGAATGGCATGGACTTTGGCAGCGCTCCTGGCGACAGGGCACGTGTAAAATCATACCAAGGTCAAACTTACGAAGCTGATCTCATCGTCGGAGCTGATGGGCTCTGGTCCTTTTGTCGGTCTACCATGCTCGGACGCAATGACCCTCCCTTACCAACTGGAGACCTTGCGTACCGTATAGTCCTCAGCGTTGATCAGATCGGCGACCCCAAATTGAAGGAGATGGTGCAGACACCCGCATGCCGATTTTGGGCGGGACCTGATGCGCACGCAGTAGCATACAGTATCCGCGGAGGGAACATGTATAATGTCGTCCTGCTCGTCCCCGACGACCTGGAAGAAGGGGTGGCAAGGACGCAGGGTAATTTGGATGAGATGAGGAGGCTGTTTGAGGGATGGGATCCCGTGTAGGCTACCCCACTTGCCTCATTGATTGTACAAGCCACTGACACGTACGTTTTAGGTTAACTCAGCTGCTTGAATGTGTCGACAGAGTGGACAAGTGGAAACTGATGCACCGTGCCGAGATGGACTCGTGGGTCAGCCCACAAAATAACCTCGTACTAATTGGCGACTCATGTCACCCGATGCTCCCTTATCTTGCCCAGGGTGCCAACTCGTCCATCGAAGACGGCGCAGTCTTGGGCTTGCTTCTCGCCCCAGAACACTACAAGTCAAGGTCACAACTACCGGAGACTTTACAGCTATTCCAGCAATTGCGAAAAGCAAGGAGTGAAAGTATTGCGCGGGAAACATTCAAGCAGCGAAAAGACTTTCATCTACGTGATGGACCAGAACAAGCAATTCGTGACGCCACAATGCTTGGGCAACTAGGCAAAAGTCCAGAAGGTGCATTCCCGAGTCGCTGGACATGCCCCGAGGTGCAACCTTGGCTGTACGGGTATAACGCGACCGAAGAAGTCGCGGCTGCAATGCGAGCTCGAACGTCGTGATGGTGCGTTTTTTTTGGAGTGGCGCATGGACGACGTGAACTCTGACCTCATCGGTTGGTGTACAGGTATCGCAGCGTGTTATTTCCATTGAGAGAAGGCCACCAGCACTAAATAGTTGAGAGATGATGTTGCACCAGAAGCATTATGAAACGATGTACATGAGGAATGCCGAGGCATGTCGCATGGCCGACATGGGAAGCACTAGTAGCCCTACGCCACAGGGTCGCTAGATCCCTAGCTAATTTGCACATTGATCATGTCAGGGAGTTGGTTGCTTGGTGCATGATGCCGTTTCATACTTCCCATGTACTTTCTCAAACAGCATCCTCCAGAAAACGAATATCAAAGAGGAAAACAGCTTGGCTGCTGTGGATCGAGGAACCGATGAATCGTGGGTTTTATACCACGCATAGAATCTAGTCGTGCCTGTCATGGACGATATTTATGTCGCAAATTTTGAAGGTATATTACGATTCTTTAATTCTCCGGCAAGACTCTCTATTGTATGCATACTGCATGTAACGAATCACATTTTCTCGGACGACAAAGTAGTCCTTGCAATATCCATGATGAGATGATAGTCGCTAGCCCGCGGCCCGCGAAACAAACTATACCATAATGATTGGTGATACGCCCACCGCTAACATAACGGCAACACTAGTCCGCAGGCCCAGTGCCTTTCAGTGTGCCTATCAAGTCCCATGTCATGATATGTGAAACATGAAGATCAACGGCAAACCCGGTCGTATACACAAAGCCTAGCGAAGATGTGTCGATCCGCGGGGACAACAGCTACCACATCCCATGCCAAATATCAGGTAGTGAAGCCCTGCAGCAAGTGCCGACGTGGTGTGTAGTACTCCGCACATTCCCTTCATCACCTTTTTCTTTTCTCCACAGAGAAAACGAATGTTTCAAAAAAAATCGTACCAGCAAATGATCTGTCATCGGAACAGTCGGTCCTCGGCACATGCGTATGTACATACTGTATCTCTCGCCACGTCGTGGGTATAAGAAGGGTAGTGGTGTAGCCCCCAGTGCTAGAGAAGGCATCGACTTTCGATCCTACATTCACTTCTCTGCCCTGTTTCTCTCGTGCAGTGCACACCTCCACCATCTTTTGCTTTCTCTACAAGCCTTTTTGTCGTTCGTTCATCGGGATAGCCCTTCTATCTTTCACAAGCAGAGAACTCTTTTTTGCCATTTCGAGATTTCAGACCATCTTTGGGATAAACTCGGTTCAATATGAAGTATCACGCTGGTCACGTTTTGGCGCTTGCGAGTGTCGCGGCTGCGTATCCGTATCCTCAAAAGTTGCCTTCTACCACTGAGCCTGGCGCGGGCTCTGATACTGGTGCTGGCACCGGCACCGGCAGTGGCTCTGGACTCGGTGGACTCTTTCCAGGTATAGGCGGAGGATCAAGTCTGCCTAGCCTTGGTGGGGGTTCTGGTCTCCCTGGGCTTGGAGGAGGCTCTGGTCTACCTGGTCTTGGGGGTGGTTTGACCCTTCCTACCAAACTCCCAAGCCTTGGAGGAGGTTCTGGCTTTCCTGGTCTCGGAGGAGGTCTCGGAGGAGGTTTTCCTCGACCTACTGGCTTTCCTAGTCTAGGAGGAGGTTCTGGTTTCCCGGGACTGGGTGGTGGATCTGGTCTTGGAGGAGGCCTCACTCTGCCTACTAGCCTGCCCAGTCTAGGTGGAGGTTCAGGCTTCCCTAGCCTCGGTGGAGGTTCAAGCCTGCCAAGTCTCGGAGGGATTGGATCTTCACGCAAAGCTGCTGCTAGCGACACTAGCATTGGCACTGGTGGTTCCTCGTGGATGGACTGGCTCAGCGGATTGACTGGAGGCCTTGGTGGAGGCACTAGTGCTGGCAGTGATGAAACTACACCACCCGCTTCCCCCGATACCGAGACACCAGCAACTCCAGCGACTCCAGCGACTCCAGCCACCCCTGGAGGAAACAGCACTGGTGGATCTGGAGGCACTGGAGGAAACTGCAAACCGCAGCAGGCTTCTTCCGGCCTTCTCGGAGGATCCGAAAACGGCATCGTTGACAAGAACTGCTGCACAGACATGACAATCATCTTTGCTCGTGGAACAGGCGAGATGGGCAACGTAGGCACTGTCTCCGGGCCACCCATGTTCAAGGCTATCCGTAGCAAGCTCGGTGCCGACCGCGTTACTGTCCAGGGTGTCGACTATCCCGCTTCTGCCGCTGGCAACGTCAACCTTGGTGGCGATGGTGGTGAGAAGATGGCGGCACTTGTTAAGCAAGCCAAGTCTCTGTGCCCCAATACCAAGGTCATTGTTTCTGGCTACTCACAGGGTGCCATGGTAGTCCACAATGCGTTCAGCAAGGGCCTTTCGGCCGAGGATGTTAGCGGCGCAGTTCTTTTCGGAGACCCATTGAAGCGCACGGCCGTTGGCAAACTTCCCACAGACAAAGTAAAGCAGTTCTGTGGCACTGCTGACCAGATCTGCGGCGGCGGTGGAGATGGTGGTGCCACCGGTAGCCACATCAGCTACGGTAGCAGTGCTGAGGCTGCAGCCACGTTCGCTATCCAGGCTGTCGGTCTTGCTTAGGTAGATTAAGTCTGTGTTGTCAGTATAACGCAGTATGGATGTTTTGGTCGATGGGTCGGTCGCTTGGTCACAGAAGATACAGGCAGGGACTGGATATTTTGTGGCAGACGATGGTATACTTTCGTTTCTACACAGTCAGCTACTCGATTTCATGTATCTAGTTCCCTTCATGTATATATACGTATCAAACTCGCTCTTTTCCCCAAAACCACTTATCAGGCACCGTCAAACGGATTTCTTTTGGCAGTATTTACGTGCCTTACGTAATAAATATGACTTCAAGAGACATGATGGTTGACGTTAAAGTGATGAGAGTTGATAAATCTAGCCTGAATCCATTGTCAAGAATACTAAGATCGCAACACTGAGACAATTGCAACAACAGGTGTTGCGCGATATGCGCGTTTTTCGGTCGTCCTTGTTGTTCACGGACTCCTGGTGTTCCTAGTATTCACGTAGTGACAATATCGAAATCGTCTCCTAGTGAACACATTATTGTTAAAGAGAGTAAACACATGCTATTTCAACTACCTGTTGCCAAATTTCACCAAAACCGTAATCGTTTGCCTAGAAATCCTGAGGTTCTGAAGATAACCTTGACGAAGACGATGATGAAGACGACCAAGTCATTGAGCATGGCAGCGAAGACGATGAATGGGAGTGCGATGACAGGTGGAGACAAGCTTCCTTTCTTAACAAGGAAATGATGATGCTATTTCATTGGACTGTTCCTTGTAAAGTGATGTTGGGTTTAGCAAGAATTCCTAGCCCAGTTCTATCCATGGATTCTTCTACCTTTTCTGACATTACTTTAAACTGGTGACAGCGAAACGAGTCGGAAGGTTGCAAATGCATTGATATTCTCCTTCTACATGGTTCATCAAAGCAAGATATAAGAAGAAAGGTAAAAGAAGAACTACATAAGGACAAAATCAAGGTTGTGACCAAAGAAACTAGTCCATAGCTATTCGAGTCAAACGATATCTATGTATTCGATGCATCGACTGCCCTTCAGCTTACCGAATGCTAATCGTATGATATACCTCGAGTCATTCTTAACCACTGACAAGAACCCACCTCTCTAGAGACAAACCGAGCCGAGCCGGCGCTAATTGATCATACGCGCGCTTGCGCCTGTTTCACTTGGTTCTGTTATTCCATTTGTTGCTTTCCTTTACCCTTGCATATCTTACGTCATCTTGGCTTTATCCCCAACATCACGTGATGATTACCCGACATGCATAGTAGCAATTCCAGTGTGGAAATGAAGCCATGCAATGAGGCGGTTAGTTGAGTTACATGAGCTAATTGAACCGTGCTGGGATGATGTTTGTGCTGTTGTGATGACGAAAGCGATGCACAACATTTCTCCACAAGTATGTTTCATGTTCCTGGATTGCCGTAGTTACGAGTTCTATAATTATCACTCTCCCCCTATTTTCTCGCTAGGCTTTTACACAGTAGATTGAACAATTATCCTACCGCTACAGTGGAGAATTCAAAAAGGAGGTAGTACTTTAATGTTTGCTAATGCACCCGAGCAGCACAGTGAGGTCGGGATCATCCCGTTGCTCGACACAAGGTCTCGAAAATCCAGTGCTTACTGCGGGCCTTTAGTGAAGAGAGAATATCATCGTAGTAGCTCATAGCGGTTTCAAGAAACCCCATTCTTCCTTCGTATAGACAATAAAAAATTGCATTCAGCATAAAGAAAAGCGTTATTGCTTTTCTCGCTATCTTTTACTAACTATGGAGCTCCCATTTGAGGTTCAATAATGTAAGCTATTAGAGGTAGAGTTTATCTACAGTACGTCGTGTGATCTCCATACGATGTATTTTCTCTACATGTCAAGAGATTTCAGAGAATGAGAGTACTCAACACATCACAGATAAAAAGGCCTAGTAGCTACCAGCATTTTGAGAGGTGATTATCTCGCTTGTTCATACAAACCTCACAGCTCGATACTTAACCCTAGCCATGGCTTCTGAAAGAGATATTTGGGTATAATAATGATGATATTCGAAGCGTACATATATACAACTTATCAATGCTCAACTAGCAGTAAACCTGTCATAGATGGTTCATAGATGGGAGCAACCATCCTCGTTCGTTATGTCGGTTGATAAGGACGTCATGAGCTAAATCCTTAACCGATCTTTGACTCTCCTCAAGCAATTCGATCTACCCTCCGGTATGTTGATGGTGCAAAATCGATCCAATCCCTTAGTCGTCCCTGATTATCTGACTTAAGAAGCGATAGCGCCACCGGCACCGTGCATCTTGCAGTAGTATTCCCACTCATCACCGCCCATGTGCCAGTCATAGGAGGTGCAGATGGAAATGCCACCCTTGTCTGCCTGTATGGTGTGTTAGTTATACAAACTCATGTCTTCCTTTCGTTTCTGTTTCTTACCATCTTGCAGTCAGGACACTTGTCCCATTTTTCGTTGCCAGTATTTCGCCTGAAGTACGAGTCGCAGGCCTTTTGTGTGGCGCCTTGGTTGTAGGTTGCTGCACCATTGGGCCAGTCAGCACAAATGCCACCGTAGTGGAGGTCTGCTGAAGCGACATTCAGGATGGCAGCGATGACTGGTAGAGTGATGGAGAACTTCATGATTGCGGATAACCGAAGAGATGATTGTCCTTGAAGAACTTGGACGGGTAGGAAATAAAAGTATTTATGCGAGAGCTATGTGTGTATGGGGTTGGTGATGCTCACAAGTAAAGTGCGGACGTATGGTAAATAAGTAGAAACGCTTGCTATGATGAATCTCTAGTTCTATCCGCTGTTATCGCTGTGTAGACATGATTCACGACCCCCAGTTCCCCACTGACCATCTCGGTATGATTGTGACTAACATTCCCACCCCTGGAATGGCCGCGAGGCATTACAACGACAATCCTTCCGGGATCCTGCCAAGGACAGTGATCAAGGTCATCCATTAGGATGAAGTTTTTCCGAACTGGTGCCATAGGGTAGTATTCTTAGTCGGAAACCATGACAGTTGGTAGCCCTTTCATGCACAGGGCACTGAGTGGCTGGCACGCAAGCGTGCTTCATGCGCTTCGGGCCGAACGTTGAGCTCGTGTTTGGATGAGGATCCAATCGGCAGTGTTCGGGAAAATTGGTTGCCTAGATAATCTGTTCCTGCAAGGCGAAACAGTAATTCACCGAGCATGCTCCGCATAGTGACCTGGTCCTTGCATCACAAGAACCCCTGTCACCAGAATTCATCACGAAATGACAGCTCCGGATACTGAGATTTGTCTATCTGCACGAATCAGGTTTCCTTGCAGATCAGTACTCAGACGAGTTAACCAGATCCAATGCTGCTCCCTGTAGTTTTCCACGTCTAAGATAACCATCTCAAGTTCATGATACTATAAAGTTTTGAAGCATCCGGCCCAAATTTAGAGGTTCCATAGAGCATCTACACTCGTACTTTCCATCTCTGTCCTTCTTCAGCAGGCCAACATATCGGCTATTGACTATCAATCTTCACAATGCATTTCACTCAACTCCTTACCCTCGCAGCCGGCGCCACACTGGCAGCCGCTGCTCCTGCTGCAGCTCCTGATGCTCAGCCTGCCCCCCTTGCTGTTGCAGCGGACGACATTATCCTCCATGGTAACGGTCGCATCCAAGTCATGAAGCGCTCAGAGTTTGATGAGCGATTCCCCCTCGACAAATATCCAGTTGGAATGCCAAACCAGTTCGATCCCAACTTCATCACCTACACTGGCCCAGAACTTGCAAACTTGACCAGGAGTCCTTTGTCGAAACGGGACATCTCGATCGTTATCCCTGGAAAGACGACCACGTTCACTGGCTGGGATGTCCAAGTCAGCCAGGTCGTGAAAGGTGGAATTGGCACAAAGATCAGCGTAGCAGCTGGCTACAGTATTAGTAACAGCGTTGCCGTTTCCGCCGGTGTCGATATTACACTTGTCAAAGACTTCCTCAGCACATCGATGAGTGTCATCCGAACATGGGAGACTACCAACAGTCTGACCCAGACCTTCTTCACCGATGTGCCAGAGGGCAAGTACGGTGCCTGGGTCTTCCGACCTCTCACCACGCGCTTCACTGGTAGCGTCTGGAGTGGCAAAATGGGAGATACCGGCTCTGTGAAAACATGGCAAGCGGACTCGTTCCAGTCCAAGATGTACCAGGACATGTCCTGGGTCGATGGTTACTTTGCGGCATGCTTCCAGGACAGCTTCCCTATGCCCAGATGCCAGGGAGAAGGAACCCTCTAAATGCCGAGCCTATGCTGATACATAGCTTGCAACACTCACAAAGGAAGACTGTCTGGATCAATGAGTTTTGTTCTACGAAATACGGTATGGGTCTATGAATGTATATAGTTTGTGGCATCAAACGAGGTCATCTTTAGGATCAATGGAGTTTACTATTACAACACCTTACTTTACTGAATTTTGGTGACCACTCTTTGGATATGATTCACACTCTTTTTAGAAAGACTATGCTGCTTCATTGTGCCATTAAGGTCTCAGCCCTACATATCCCTACTTGGGTTTGCTCTTGCACTTATTTGTCTATTGTCACGGGAAAATCACTTGCACTCCTCTCAATCAGTGTTGATTACTCTAAGGTTTTAATAGTGAGGTTGGATTTCATCATGTATCTAGGAGAGTGACTACCTTAGAAGAACCACGACTATGCAACAAGGCTTGTAATAATAGAGAGAAATCATAATAAACATAAAAGAGCATTCATGTCCAAGGCTAGCTAACTATAACACCACTGTTATTATCAAGGGTTTCACATTATCACGATGAACTATAAGAACTTCTAGTACTTAGTAGTACTCAGGAAAGTGTACACATAGTGTAAAAAATGCGATGAACCATCAGACTCGGAACAAGCAACAGTCTCGGAATTCTGTCTCCTCCATGTCGAAGCCACAATCTGTCCGCAGCCTGTTCGAGACTCGGTATAACGGCCCATCTTCTTCATCAAGTCCCCAACCTTCAGATCATCTGCCTGCATGCCCCTCCTTCAATCTCACGTATACATCACCCAACTTACGATACACAGGCGCTGCCCGGACACTAGTGGTCGAGATAAGACGGCGCTCAAGCTACCACGACCTGGGGCCGAGCACGGCGATGACAGTACGGCCTACCCCGTCTGAGCACTCGTATTTCCCCAGCTGCAGTGTCATCCTTGGCAAACCGAGTTATCTACATGGAACATGTCACTCCGCCCACGTGGTTGAGTAAGAAGTAGTAAGTTCATGGTGTGTCGGGCAATCGGCCAAGATGCGTGAGAAACAAAACGGTCCTGTTCTCGTGTGCACCTACTGTGGAGAACCATGTCCTAAGTGCCTAGCGGGATTATTAGGAACGTGATATAGGTCTACACAGTAGGGATGGACAGGTGGGCATGGTTGCGTTGTCTTGACCCCGGGTACCTGTGTTGTTAAAAAAAGCGGACCCGAAGTGTCGGGTTGCCGCACATATGCATTACTTACTTAGGTAGATCGATCGTGGTGGCGCTTCTTTTTTGATTGCGCAAGCAGTCAGCAAGGCACGTTGCAGCTAACATGAGCGGTGATTGGATGTGCACAGGCCAACGGGGAGCGAGAGATAGCGATAAGGGTAGAGAACGCAAGGCGGAGTGTTATGCGGAGAACAGGCTTTCCGCCATGGTGTGTTAGAGAGAGCGTGGAACCAGGTCTCCCCCTTGTTTCCCCCCTTCCCCCTTCACAGAACCATGGCGGTGGGCAGTCGGCAGGTTCTCAACCCAACTCAAACGGACCGATAAGGTAGGTAGGTTGTGCTATCCATAGCTGCCACCAGTTTCAGGTATGACTACCAGGAAGGGGATCCTGGCACCATCAGCCGGCACATTCGAGAGCCGCTGCAGAAGCCCTACGTAAATAGTAGGGAAGTACACACACTCATCAAATTCGGGTGTTGCCATGCGTTCTAGTGTGCCCGTTGGAACGTTTGCGGGTATTCCCACCCCCACCCACCGCACTTCATATACATGGAACTGCGGCAAATTGCGATCACCACATCTATTCTGCACTTGTTGCGCGTACAACAGAAGCCAAAACGGGTAAAAGCCCAGAAAAGGAAAGAATAGGATCATACCACCGAGACGCAGCGGCTGATAATACGTAAATCGGAGCGAACAAACGGCATGAGCGGTTCAACCTTCAACGACATGACTAAGTATTTGCTCGACTTTGACATTTTCACCGTCCTGATCTTCCCTTGTGCTTATTTTCTGTGGGAATTCCTGCTACTAGTAGTAGTGTCCTATGCAGTAATTCCGCCTATAGAACTGAACATATTATCCAGACCTGCGTTAGCCCTTACGGCCTTAAGGTTGATAACTAGGCGCGACAATAGTGGGCGCGCACACAACTAGCCCAAGTACGCGACTAGCGTATTTTCTCGTCGATGTCAGACGTCGGTGTGAATAAGAGCCTCCTCGTATTCAAATTAGCGGGGTTGGAATTTCTCATGTGTCGTCATGCGCCCGATTCCTTGATAGGCCTAAGTCGTTCACGCTAATAGACGCCCGATAAGAAAAGAAGAAGACGGAATAATTCACTCAATGCTAGTGATGCTGTGTAGGATGCGGAGGACTTGGAAAAGACTGGGCGTTTGTCTGGCATACAGTAGGATACGCCCTCCTGGGCCAATGGGCAGTACACGACTCGCCGACCCTTGCCCTCTTCTAGAAACATGACGTGCCATGCCCGGCAGCTTATGGCATCTCTCTGCACAAATTTTTGATCCCTTGGTACAGTTAGAATGGCCGTTTACCACGCCTTTGCGTTGGTTGAAAATTTCCAACTTATCAATTGCGATCACATACCGCTTCATGATTGGGATTGCGTGTAGCTCGTCGAGTTACGAGATTTCTTCGTTTTTTTGCCATTTATAACGTATCACTCCATGTTACGCAGCACCTTAATTTGCGTACTTCTTTCCATATTTGAATTCACCATGACTATTCAGTGCAAGTGATGTGTTCACAGTCCGAAGCAAGTCATGTCTTATCGGCCCCTTTCCCTACACTGCCCACTCATACGTACAAAGTGTCAATCCAAGGTTTGAGCGCACCAAGCCCAATGATAACAGCTTCCTCTGTCCGGATGGTCCTGCTGCCCTGTCGTGGTACTAGATTCACCCACACGTCGAACAACTGGTGTGCTGTAGATTTGTCTAGTCCTTTACTAGTCAGTTCCGGATCACTGGCGACCGCTGGTTCTATGCCCGCTTGACCGCCGAATACGATGAGTAGGTGGTTGAAGGATTCCGGAGCCCCAGAGACGGTGGAGCTAGACATGTCACCCGGGGAAACTCCACCGGTATTTGAGAGAAATGAATACACCGACTGTCCGCGCTCGGAGGTACCAATCGACATGTCGTAGCCACCAGGGTATTCGCACTCGGAGAAGACTGCACCGAGCGAGGCAGCGCGTCTTACATTGTAACCCCAATAGTAACCGCCTTCCTCACGCGGTAAACTGGCAGCACACGCCGTAGCTTCTAGACTGTCACAGTCTTGTTGTGAGAGATTAGGCCAACCCCTCGGCGCTTCTTGATTAGCAAACCTTACAGTGGTGCGCATTCCTTGCTCCACAGGCGCCTCTTTGGGTATGGGTACGCGGATTGGGTAAGGCAGACCGCACTTGACGTATGCGTAGTCTTCTCGTGCTACCTTCTTGGACTTGCTGCCGCCTGGGGGCGGTGCAGAGCCTAGAAAAACACCCTCGCGGTACTGACACCACTCGTGGCTTCTTAAATGATGAGGCATGTCCATGCTGGGGAGATTACCCACCCACTTGAGGTTTTGATGTTCCTTGAAGATGCTCAACCGCGGATCCTCTCGGTCATACCTCAGATGTGGTGGGCACTCTGCAAAAGCCAACAAATGGTACAGGAACTGATCAGGATTCTGCCATGCTTCGTCTTGTTCGGAAATGGAGTCTAGAACCTGCTGTTTCGTGCGACCTTTACGAATATACTTTTGCTCGACTACGTTGTGGTCAATGTTACTTGGGTCGTCGTCATAAACCACGATTTCGTCGACACAGTAGATGGCTGCTGCGCGCGCAATGCGTCCAACCTGGATGGTTTTGTGATCGGGCTTCTTTGCATTCAGAGTCCAGCTGCCGGGAAGAGCAATTGTCACCGTCCAGTTGCGGCCCTTGGTAGGATTGAAAACGGCAGTTGGTCTTGACGTGTCGATATCTTCAACATTTTTTTCTTGGACATCACCCTTTCTCTTCTTCATAGGGCTATCCTTGTCGCCGGGTGTCTTTCGCTTCTGCCATCGTGTCAGTCTCAAATTAATGCTGAACTTACTTTCACACTACCTTTCCATTTTCTTTCTCGTTAGATTTTGCATTTTTCGAGCGCGACTTGCTGTCGACCACAATCATATCGTGGTCGTTACCCATGCTGGCGCTGTTTGATAAATTGTTGTTTCTTCTACTCGCTTCTCTAGAAGATTGACTAGTGATAGTTTTCAGGTAATACTTGTGCTGCTAGTTGTGTAATGGCAAGTGCAAGTTAAAAGTTGGAGAATAAAAACAGACGAAGCTGTCTGGTCCTGCATTAGCGCGATCCGCGCCGATCCACCCACCACATCCCTGCTCAACATTGAGGCACCCTGCCGCTCTAGGCAACGAACATCACCTTTACCTTACTACTGTTTCTCTCTCTCTCTCGCCTCTAGCAAAAATGGAAGCTCCAAAGTACGCCTACCATCTCTGATAGTGCCACTACTCTACTGACCAATTGTCCAGGTCCTTCTTGTCGCGCACAACCAACGCACTCATCGTCTTCTTCGCCCTGTACTTTACCACCCTCTTCTCCCTCGACACCTGGGCCGCTGCACGAGGATCACCATATCGCGCGCCGGGTAGCAGCTCGTATAATAGGCCTGCGCCCGTGGCCCCATCGCGACAAAGCTACCAGGGCAGGATGCATGGTCGAGGGAATGCGGGGCCTGGAAGCAGTAGCGGTGGTGGCAGCCGAAGGGTGGCACAGGTGAAAGATTCAAGACCGCCCATCAAAATGGGAGGTTCAGCTGCCTGTGGTGCTTGCTTGATCTAATAGTCGACATGTATGGTTGCGTAAACAAAAGTCACCTACTGGCATTCATCATTTCATGGGTAACATTAGTTCAAGATTGGCAGTAAACTTTCATTGCTCCCTTTCGCGCCATGCTACTCAGTGATGCTGACGAAATAAACTATCTCATGCGCCCCTCCTTACATTTGTGCTCATAAGTGTAATCTTCTTGCCCTTCTTCTTCTTACCACCGCCCTTCTTGGGCGCTTCTTCGCCCTCAGCCAACGACAGGGCCTGTGCCTGGGCAATCATGTCCTCCTCCCCAAGCAGATCCTTCTCCCAGCCTTGCAGCCACCCGTCGTCACCATCCGCATGGTCGTGTGGGGCTAGCACGGGAGATGTCCCCGCAACGACTGCAGTGCCCCACACAGTTCGAGGAGCCGACGGACTGGTAGAGGGAGAGGCCAATGAGGCGAAGCCATCACCACGTCGTGCCGGCCAGGGCGGTGATGTCGAAGTATGGTCACCGTCTGCAGCGGGCTGTGCGTCTGTTGCACTTCCAGATGCCAGAGGCTGGAAGTCATCCGCAGAAAACCTCTCCGTGATGCTTGGCCGTCTTCTGCGTGCTGACGTGAACTCGGCATACTCAGCCTTCTCCGCGCGTTGCCGTGCCTTCTCCTCCTTTGTCTCCTTCTCGGTATGCTTCTTACGTCGCCTCTCGATTTCTGGTCGGAATCGCTCCAGAATCTCAGGGGCAACAGTATCCGTCCAGTCGCACTCGAGAAATCCAACCTCGCAGCCATATGGCAAATGTGCTAGATATTTTGTACGTTTCCGTAGTTCATCGTCTACAACATGGCCGGTAGAGACGTGCTCCACTCGCGGTAGAATTGTTGACGGGAAAGAAGCAAAATTACCAAAGGCGGCCTTTAAAATGCGAATGTCTAATGGTGACAGATAATAATGAAGTAGCGCTTGGTAGAAGAAATACTCGGATGGCGTTTTGTGGTGCTCATGGTGTTGTCGGTTACGCAGCTCAGCGAGAGTCAAAGACATGCTATGACTGGTGGCAGATGAATGCGACGAAACAGACATGGCCCGATCTTTGGTACTCGAAGATTCGGGTGCGGGTTGCGGTGGTGTGTAATCTTGGCCAGACTTGGAAGCGTTCTGGATGTGATACATGTCTGGTGCGGCTCCCTCGTCATCAAAGACAATTGGAGCTCTTTTCGTCTTGGGTTCTGTAGGCTTGACAGGCTCTTCAGGAGGGTTTCCGATGCCCTTGAATTTCTCCTTGAGCTCTCGAATGTTTCGTATTGCCTTCTTTGTCCATTCCATGCTGTCTTCAGCAAACATGACCTCGTCTTCTTTGCCCTGCTGCTCGAGTTTAACGATTTCCTGATCCAACTGTTCGAGCATGTAGTCCTCCCCACCTCGCATGACACGAGCATAGTCTGTTACCTCTGCCGCATGGCACCAGGGTATGTCCTGGTCCTTAGGCAGAGCATCGGCGCCGTCGCGTGGCATGGCTAATGTACTTCCAGCTGACCTCACCACCAAGCGCAGGACAACATCGCCTCCCTCTCGTGGAGCCTCGCCCTCTTGCCCAGTGTACCAGCGGACAGGTCGTGTTTCGGAGGCATAGATGGTGTCGAAGCATAGTGGGCATTTTTTAGATCGCGCCTTCTTCTCTGGTGCTTTTCCGTCGTCTTCAGAATGCATGTAGCGGATGAGGCAGGGGAGACAGAAGATGTGACCGCATCTGGCCATCCTCGGGGCTACTGGCATCCCGAGGCAGATGGGACAAGACGCTTCCTGGGAGATTTCGGATGCCAATATTTGCAGGACATTATTCCAGTCCAGGTGGATATCGGCATCAACGCTCTGAGCGCGATAGTCGCCGCGAGGATCGACGATGAAGCGGTAGTTGGCGTGCACATATCTCGGGTGGGTTAGCGAAGGTAGGTCGGGATGAGAAGAGCACTTACCGGGCTTTGTCGACGGCGTGGTAACCAGACCCGAGGCCCCATGTGGGATTGCGCCGGTAGTTCCTTCCGTAGCCGTGCGACTGGTGGTGGTTGGACGGGCGTGGGGGAAGGCTAAAGTTCATGAGGTGGGTGATGGACGTTTGGCCCTTCCTGTTGCTGAAGGGGCGCATGGCGAGTGATTCAGCAATGGCATCCTCATCCGTCTGGCGGAAGCGCTTGGAGCCTTTGTGCTGCTTCTTCTGCTGCTGGCTGTTGCGAGGCGTGGGCGAGGACCGCGCCGACGTTCCGCTGCCCCGCGGCTGCGCAAAGAAGCTACTGGTGCTGATGGAGGGGGCCTGGTTCTGGGCGGGAGAGACGGGTCCAGTGGATGCAGAGGCCTTGGACGAGGACGGGGCGGGTGGGTTGCTAGACATGACTCCCAGCTAAGGGCTCACGATAGCGCAACAGCACCAGCACCAGCACCAGCGACGACGAAGACGACGATGATGACGTTAGTGAAGGACCGGGGAAAAATGAAGGACCGAAGATGGGAGGGAGCGAGAGAACAGTGGGGGCGATAGCGGGTGGTGGATGTATATATGGATGGTTTGCGGAAAGTCAGGGTCCCCAAGAGGGTGCGTGGTCGGGGACAAGAGGCAGAAGGTAGGGTGGCGGATGGCGGCGACTTGGGTTGATGACGCTGGGGGCCGTCACGTTATCAGCCGGCCACTCGCCTTTGCATCGTGGAGCTGCTGCAGCGCCGGGCAGCCATTGACTGTTTCTTCCCGTGGCACTCTGCGTCTGTCCAAACATTTAGAGGCGCACGTCTCTTGTTGCGTCTGATCCAAAGCTGCTGTCATCCGGTACCATTGGCCTTGTTGGTCTGCGTGCTTCTCCTCTCTACCATCCCATCCCATCCCTCTCTCTGCTCTGCCCAGGGTCTCCGGCCTCCGCACAGACTGCAACCAACGCCCTTCCGCAGAGCGACTCTTTGACTCGGTTCGAGCTTCTTCCATTGCCGCCAGGCCCAACACCACGCCGCCGCCCTCTCCATCCATCCCAACCTCTCTCCCTCTTTGTCGCGGGCAGCCTCTGCTGCGCTCATGTCGTCCTGATACGATGACCCCGCGATCGTCGACGAGCCCATCCGCACCGCATTCCTCGCCTACGCCAGTCGCGCGACGCCGTTCCGCATCCGAATAAATATCCTCCACCACCCTGCGCGCCTTGCTCACACCCGCTCCCGCTTCCCCATCGCCTTCGCCCCCGCCAATCTCTCCCGCCCCGTTGCCTCACAAGTTGGCCGCTTGCTCCCTAGCCGGCGCCGACTGTCGAGGCAACACCGCGCCCAGCCCTCATGATGCCCGGCCCTTATATGCCTGGGAGGAGGCAGGCCGAGCAGCAGTACTACCACCACCACATCCCCCCACAGACACACTCGCCCGTCCACCATAACCCCTATGCCGCGCCCTACCACCATCTTCAGCAGTATGGCCCGCCTCACGGCTATCCACAGCACATGCAGCCCATGCAGCAATGGTACCCCTACCAGCAACCCCCGCCGCCGCCTCAATATGCCATGCCTCCGCGCCAGTTCCAGCCTCAGCCGCATGCCTCGCCCGTTGTAGTCTCGTCGCATCTGCACATGGTCCCGCCAGTCAACCGTGCCATGGGCCAGACGCCTCCCATTGTCCATTCACGCACCCCGCCTGTCCCCCGCATTCCTACCCCCCAGCAGGCGCCTTCAATCCCCTCGGTGCAGCCCCACGTATATATGCCATCTTCTTCGACGCCCCAGCCAACTCCTACTGTCGATAGCCCGCCGCCCGCTGTTGAGTCAAAGCCCACGCCACCGGCTCCGTCCACCCCACAATCCATCACGTTTAAGCCGTTCTATCCGCCTCTGCCCTGGCTTTCTGTGCCAGAATCAGACTTTCCAGTGCGCGCCTCGCGTGGAAAGAGACGGCGAAGGGCCCCGGTATCCACAGAAGAGCAATCTTTGGCTTTGCCCTCACGCGACCAGGCTGTCGAGGAAGATGCCTCGAACGAGACTGAGCAAGACACAGAAGGTGACAGGACCCCCACGGAAGAACCAGAGGAATCTCAGGCATCCACAATTGCCGGTCCATCTGATGCTGAAGTCGACACCCCCTCCACCTCACACCCACCTTCAGAAGTCGATCTAGCCCAGTCTACAACTCCATCTACTGCTACACCATCAGGTTCACAACAGGCTGCCCCCGTCACGGCTGCTGCCAAAAAGCATGCCCGCAACCCTACCATACCTGCCGTACCCCGCGTCCCGATCAAGCCCGCAAAGGCGTCCAGTGCAGCTTCCACCACGCAGCAGTCCATCAAGTCGCCAGCTGCGGCTCAACCAGAGTTGTCGCAAATCGATGATGCTGCAACAGCCTCAACGACTGAGGAAGCCGCGCCTAATGCCGAAGGAAAACCCAAACCAGCTGCGCCAAAATCATGGGCAGAGCTACTGAGGGCAAAGAATGCTACCAAAGCAGCCCAGCCTATTGCGCCACCAGCCACCACCCCTGCGCCAGTTACCAATGGACCTGTTGTGCAAAAAAGCAACACTCTCGCGGATGTCTTGGCATCCTTCTCAGTTGATTCGGAAAAGAAGGTCTCTTTCATTGAACCGCGTGGTCTCGTTAACTCGGGCAATCTTTGTTACATGAACTCGGTATGTCTTGATTATTTGCCATTGCATAAAATTTTCTAACCTGAGAGTAGATTCTTCAAGTCCTTCTTTTCTGCGTTCCGTTCTACGATTTCCTCGACCAGGTCGCCAAACGCGCTGTGCACAGTTTCAAATCTGAGACCCCTCTCATAGATGCTATGATTATGTTCCTGCGAGACTTCAAGCTCATTGATTCTGCGGCTACTGTTGAACAGCTACGTCTACGACTGAAAAGCAACGACATTGAGCAGTATGGCGATCCTTTGGCTCCGGAATATGTATACGACGTCATCAAGCGTCTGCCCCGCTTCGATAACATGAAGAGAGGCCAGCAAGAAGACGCCGAAGAATTTTTGGGTTTCCTACTTGCTGGACTGCATGACGAATGTGTCCAAATAATTAAGAGTGGAAAGCAGAGCCAACCAGCAGGCGCAGTCACATCGGAAAACAGCGAACAAACAGGCTCCGTGGATGGTGGCTGGGAAGAGGTCGGCCACAAGCAAAGGACAGCCGTCACTCAGAATTCGGGAGCTATTGACATCGAGAGCCCCATCACTAAGATATTCGGTGGCAAACTTCGCTCTGAGTACAAGAGGCCAGGCGAGAAAGCTTCAGTTACGCTTGAGCCCTACCAACCGCTCCAACTCGACATTGGCGAACCAAACATCAACAACATTTCTGATGCTCTCAAAAACCTTACACGTCTAGAAACACTAGACGGCGCCGCTCGCGGTGCCAAAGCATCGACAAAGCAAGTACACATCGAGTCTCTACCACCAGTGTTGATACTTCATCTGAAGCGTTTCCACTACGATGAAAAGGGGCCCCAGAAGATTTGGAAGAAGATTGGCTATCCGCTTGAGCTGGAACTACCCAAGGAAGTGTTCCCGCCACACAAGCGAGGAAGCTACCAGGTCCAAGGCGGCTTCCCTCGGTACAGACTTACTGGTGTTGTCTACCACCATGGTAAGAACGCTAGCGGTGGCCATTACACAGTTGACCTTCGACGCCAAGAAGGAAAGGAGTGGATTCGAATGGATGACACCATCATCCGTCGCATCCGCGCCGAGGAAGTGGCCGAGGGTGGCGCAGAAGAAGACCCCAAGGTCTTAGCTGCTGCCCTCGAGCAGCACAAGTCCGACGCTGGGAAGAGCAGGAACTTCTTTGCCCAGATCGACATGGACGAGGAGGAGCCTGACAAAGGTGGCTGGAACCAGGTGAATGGATCTGAGAAGCAGAAGGATGGCAACAAGAAGTGGAGTGGTATTGTTAACGGCGCAGCAACACCTAGTTCCGCGGGTAAGAGGACACCGCTGCTTAAAGAAAATGTGCGCGACAACAAGGTGGCGTATATCTTGTTCTACCAGCGCATCGAAACCTGAGACCAGGGAGGAACTTTGTATGTGCGCGGGAAGGAAAGAGTTCAACACGATATGATTTCAAGAAAGTCATCTTGTAATGACATTGAGAAGAAAAAAATTTAAAAATTAATAGACGAAGACGAAGAAGAGAAGGAGGAGGAGGAGGAAGAGGAGGAAGAGGAGGAAGAGGAAAAAGGAGTAGGAGCAGGGGAAGCCAGGTGTGGATGGTCATGACCCAAGCCATGAAAAGTCACGACTACCAGTATCGCTTTGGTGCGATGTATAAAAGAGAGGGAGAAAAAGTATTTCGTGTCGGTTGATACCCGCGTGGGTGTTGGGGATAGCACGAATGATGACGATAAAACTTCATACTTGCTTGGTTTAGTGTGTGTGTGTGTGTGTGTGTGTGTGTTTTGATGTGATGATGTTTGTGTGATTAATCCGCTGTTGCATGTTACTCGAATAAATCTAATGTTGATTGATTATTGTAGTATGTAAGGAGTGTAAAGGTAAAAAAACATCAGGTTTATTGAGCATGTTTCCCATTACATTTCTAACCTCTAGCCGTTGCCAAATTGGCACTTGGCTCAAACACTTGACTGGTACTATCGTCATAACTCCCTTATATCACCCGCATAATGGGTTCTTAGGTCTACAAGAAACCAAGGTGAACCGCATACCTTGCGAGGCTTAAATCCTTTGTGTCCATACTCCGTGGCGAAAATGTCCGTCCATCGACTTGTCTTAGTTTGCAAAAGTGCAGACCTCTGTATATAATATGTAACTATATAGTTAGTTATATATGTATATATATCCATTCTAGTAGACTGATGCAGGAGCAGCGGCAAGTCAAGATTCTGATCCAAAATCCGTCTTGTTCGTGTCTTATTATTTGGACAGCGTGACACTTGGAGAAGGCGGTCGATGTGGAGAATGGTGGGGGAGGGATAGGAACATCTTTGCGCCCATGATCTTTTAAATGTACGTCAGCATTTTATAGCCGGATCCAAAGGGACTGTCTGTTCTTGTGTGCTTGGTGGTGAGGAAAAGAAAAGTTACCTCTTGCATCATTGATGAAAATGGAGCTGCTTCTAATAGCTCTTGGAGTGTCTCTTCAGCATGCTTCTTTGGCGCAAATGTGGGTGGAAGTTGGAGTCCCGGACTGTGGGTTAGCTCTCTGTTGGTATCTGGGGCGGCTAGCTCGTCTGGATCTGGTGTTATGGTCATGCCGTCAAGATCGATTACCGTCGTTGTGGATTGATTGATCACGGTCGGGCCATTAGGGGAAGGTGATGGCTGAAAAAAGTCTGTCTGGTCAGGGAATTCCGGTTGGTCAAACCACTTCTGCTCATCTTCAGAAGTCGTACGTTCGATGGAAGTTGACTGGTTCATATCAGGAAGTGGCGACGGCTGCGGGTCACGATCAATAGAAGTGGTAGGCGGCTCAGGTAGATTGTGGCCTACCATATCGTATGAGCGGTCGTATCGAACTATCAAAGGTGAGGGATAGAGACATACATACCGACTGCTGCTACTGTTGGCGAATAGTTTGCGTCTTCCGTGCCAGGGCCAGGTTTGGCTGGCAGGATGTCTTGCGAAACCACATTGATTCCAACAAGGCTCTTCACGCTCTCGATGGTGTGCTTGAGCTGCTCATTCTCTGCTCGTAAGGCATCAATCTCAGACAAGAGAGTAGCTGTTGTGTCATTACGATCCTTGTTCCGTAATATCTCTATTGTGCGCTCAAGCTTAGCAATGTGTATCTTAGTCTTCTCTCGAAGGGACCTTTGAGCCTGGCGGTCAACGGCGCGTTTTCTTTCTCGACATTCCTGTTCAGATGCGGGCCTATTTCGCTTCTGTGTAATGTATATTTGGGTTGGAGCAGCGTTTTTTGGCTCATGGTCCATCATGACAACAGTTTTGTAGTGTGGAGATAAGACAATGTATTCTCAATCACGTCACGTAGTAGCAATACGGGTCCAAAAACATAGAGTAAATGTACATGTGGTTGAATTGTTAATAGGCAGTCTCCGGTGTAGCCGACCCTGGTTTGCTCGGCCGAGGTGTCTAATTGCTCTTGTGAGCTTCTCACGTGCTCGACTAGCCCTATTTGTTAGCTAGAATGCGGGGGTGATCGTCGCCCTGCTTTTAGCAAGGGGATTTTCAGCTATTTTGAGTATAGTGCAGGTGTCGTCCATATGTGCATATGTATGTATTGCCGATATGAAAATAGGGACAGCACGATGATGAAAGATACTGATAAACGACCGAGAACCCGATGTGCTACTTCGTTGTTTCCTGGAGGAATTGGTTACGCAGTGATCGAGTAATTAAAGCAGTCTTTTTTTTTAAGAAAAGAAAATCATAGCATCTATGCCACTTTTGAGTAAGCCATGAATCCCTCTTGACTCTCTTCATTTTACAGAACTACACAATGTGTGAACGAACCATTACAGCTTGGAAGGTTGCCAATTTGGCTTCCGCTTCTCGGCAAAAGCCCGGAGTCCTTCAAGAGCATTCTCGCCAGTGTTGAGTCCATGGTTGTATTGTTCGATTACTAGTTGAGTGGCTCGCTCAACGCTTCCAGTCTCCCAGGCCTCTCTCAAAGCTGCTCTGGTGACAATGGCCGAGTCTGGTGAGATTGCAGCAATCTCACTTGCTAGCTTGAGTGCCTCTTGTACAACCGTTTCTTTTGAGGGGGATATGCGGTTGACGAGGTTGAGCTCTTTGGCTCTTTGAGCGGTAATGGGTTTCCCTGTAAGGGCCATTTCGGATGCGATAGGTAAGCCGACATTGCGGACGAGTCGTGGCGGGCCTCCTGCACCAGCAAAAATGCCACGGAGAGCTTCTGGGAGACCGAATGTCGCATGTGGTGCTGCTACCACCATGTCACTGCGCAGGAATCAGTATTTGATTGTGTGTGGAATACACGCCTGGAGGGGTTTTTTTTTTAAAAAAAAAAGGTGGAACGTACCAGCCCAATACAATCTCGAAGCCGCCTCCGAGCGCGAATCCATTGACGGCTGCAATGACAGGCTTCTTACCCATGCGCCGACTTAGCCCACCGAACCCACTAAGAGGATGTCTCATAAGACCTGGGGTGGCCTTTAGCTGTCCGCTCCGGATCTTTCCTAGCTGTATCAAGTCCTGTCCTGCACAGAAACTCTTTGTGCCAGCCCCAGTAACGATGGCGACGCGTAGATTAGGCTCGTGGTCGAACCAGTCAAAGACCTCGCCCATTTCGAGATGTCCCTCAAAGGGGATGCTATTCATCTGCTTTTCTCTGTTGATGGTAACGAGGAGGACATGGTCGGCAGGGTAGGATAGGAGGACGTGTGAGGTAGGAGGCGGCGTGGTTTGGGGCTTGACCGACGACATGTTGGCGGTGTTGGTGGCAAGGTTGGCGGACGACTTGAGGTGGCGCGAAGAGGCGAGACAGGTCGCGGGCCTGTGCAATGCTAGACGGAGGTTACATGGCGGGTAGAGTATTGCCGGGAGTAAGTATTCAAGGAGGAGGGTAAGTTAGTGAGGGCGCGCGTTGAACCGAGGCATGTTTCCCCGCACAGCTAGCCGGCAACTGCGTTAGTGCCATGGCCATCAGCGACACGGGTGGTGACGAATCATAAGTATATTTAGTCTACCTAAGCAGTGATGTAGGATTCCCACGACAATTTGGATTCAAACAGGCCATTCGCAATAGTAGTAGTACATAGTTTTCCGAGTTGCTCAAAACGACACGTGACCAGCAGCAAGCGCCTTTTATTGTCCTAGCCTCGTCCTGGGTGCGGGCCTGGGTGGTGCGGGTGGCCCAGCAGCGGGTTCACAGACAGAGCAGAACACACGCCCCATGCAAACACTGCGATGACCAGAAACAGACCAATCAGATAGGGCACCGTCCGACGAGCGGGTATCAAGCGGCCATGGCCCTTGATGAAGGGTGGATAGATGTAGTAGCGTCGGCCAGGAGCAAAGGGATGTTGCATGGTGCTGGCTGGACTGACTTCGATGGCCGAGTCGCGAGAGGAGGCGGCGACATCGATGGAGCCATAGTGGGCGTGTCGGATGGACGAAGTGGGTACTTGTGTGGTGAGGGGGCTAGTCTGGGAGTGCGTGTTAGCCAGCTTCATGGGGGGAGAGTAGACCATGTCCAGGACGCGAGTACAAACCTCTTCTGCCATGGTATATCGCATCATCCGCAGCTGCGTGTCTGCAGATGGGAGCAAAGGTGAGCTTCGACGGATCGGCCCAAAGAGGCCAAAACAAAGCCAAGCACGCCTACACCTACGCCTGCTGATGGGCGGACCGTGTGTGGGAGATGGCGCGTGTCTGCGGCTCAGCCTCGTCGCCGCCGCTGCTGCTGCTTGGTGTATCCCTGGAGTGGCCGAGACGGAGCTACGAAGAGTCTGGCTTCGTAGGATAGGCGGCGGTATTCTTTTCCCTCGACCTACTGTTTATTTAATACTCCGAGTGCGCTGGCTGCTCGATTCACGACGTGCATGGCGCCACCTACCCCAAGCCAGGGATAAAGCAGATTACCGAGCGCTGTTTAGTGTTGCGATGCTCTCCACAGAGGGTCCCTTTTCCCCCAGTGCCCCCAGTGCCCCCTCCCATCGGTCTAGACTGATTGGGTAAAGGATGCTGGGACCGTCTACACCTAGGCTGGACAGAGCCGGGCAGCGTGCGGGTTAGTCGTGTAAAAGGTACTCCTGCTCATGGATGGGTTTCGGCCATTGCAATGCAAGGCCTGTGTTCCACAGTGCGTCTCGCCCTCTAGCCATGACAGTAAGCCATGTGTCGTGGTGGCCCGGTAGCGCGTGGTGGGGCACTGCAACTCGTGCGGCCGACGCAGCAAATGTGCAAAAACGAAGAACGAGACATACTACATATATTTGCATCATCAACCAACCCTCCAACCACGCCGCCCCCCTTCCTTTTCCTGTCGTCTACCTCTCCCGCCTCTCCCCCTATGCTTGTGTAACCAAACGGGCTCGAGCTGGGCTACACAGCACCTCTTGCCCATCCATTTACTCGTGCCTGTCCGCTCGCCCTCGACCTGCTCACCTGTTTCATCTCCCTCTATCTTCCCATCACAGCCCCCTGCCCCTTTGGGCTACTTGGGCTACGATTGACACTCACTAGCATCTTGCCCAAACAGAAAAAAAAAGAAGCGCCCCGTCCAACTCGTCTCGTTTGGTGCCGCATTCAACCGTTGATTTCTACCGCGACCATGGCTGCTACAACTGCGCCATCTAACCACACTACTACTATTACTACCAAAGCCGAAAATAGCCCCCAGCCACACCTGCCCAGCATTGGCGTCGCTCCACCCCCCATGGAACCTCCCCTCCCTCCCCTCCCTCCTCTCAACCCAAAAGACCCAGAAAACTACTTGAAGCGCTGCTCGGGCTATTGCAAAAAGACAAACTTGCGCTGCAGCGCTGCCATCGGCAAAAAGGCCCAAAAGGACACGCGTCCCACCTACCTTCCCACATGCGCCCTTCACCGCGATCAACAAAGCCTTGCCGGATGGTGTCAGTTCACCAGCTCGGATGGCCGTAGGTGTGCAAGGCTGTTTCGATGGAGCCCCCCGCACTTTGAACTTTGCGACCATCATCGGGGCCATCCTAGCACACCCTGTTATTTCCTAAAACAGCTACCGCTCGAGCTTCGCCATGAAGTATACCGATATCTCATACCCACCGAGCCCATAGATTCTTCCACTGCCGCCGTCCACGACCGCTCCAGCCAGGAACCCGACCAGCGAGCAAGTCGCTTATCCGTCCTGAGTTACCCGAGTCCCATGCGCGCAACACGTGTGCTCAGGTCCAAGTTTCCAATGAGGCTATTGGACCTTCTCAGTGTCTCACGCCAAGTCCATGACGAAGTAAAAGACCGCCTGTTCAGCACAGTAACCTTCAAAATCGACATCCGCAAAGATGGCACCTTCATGTGTGGACGCCGCCTGCTCGAGCCCAAACGAGCAGACGGCTCTTCGCACTTCTTGTTCGATGAGGCCGACCATGCAAAGAGGAAGTTTCTCAAATGTTTCGACTGGGCTTCCGCCAAGAACTACGCCGTTGACATATTGCTCGAGAATTGCCCAATCGCAAACCCGCACCATGTGTCCAACACGGCCAACATGACTATGAGATCTCGCTGGGATGAAGAGGTGGAGATTTACGACATTAGAGGTGAGTCCATTGTTCCATATTGGAGTACTGCTTCTGATACCCGTAGATTACATCTCTGTAGTTGTTTCTGGTATCTTGGCAAAGGCAAAGAATCTTTACAAGTTCCAGGTCCGTCTTTGCCTAGCCGACTTTGTTTGGCAACAAGAGCAAATCCTTTCCAATTCAAAGCTGCTTTTCAGCCCGTTTGAACGACTACGAAATGTGCGCCAACCAACTCTTGGTGGCGTCTTCACTGGAAGACCAGATAGCAATTCAATGTATCCCATTGAGCGCGCAACTAGTCGATATCCCATTGCACCTGGAACCGGATGTATACAATCAGCACTACCCGCCTACTATGAACTCTGCTCTGTGCCCTCTTTACCGACCGATAACCCAGTATTGCTACCCGGTATACCGGCATTTGATGCCTACGCCACTGAATGGAGGCGCCAGATCTCTTCCAAGGCCACTGCGAATGTTCTACAAGAGCCGCTCATCCGCAAAATGTTTACCGAGTTTCGCAACTTCTATACCGAATTCGCCAACCATGTGCCTGATATAACTTTGAAAAGCGGAAGGCATACATTCCTGCACCGAGCTAGGGTGGCACGTGAACAGGAAGATGTTATAGCTTTCAGAACCATCAGGGCAGAGCTCCTCGATTACTGGACCATGCACTTGGATGACCAGGAGCGGAAAAAACGTACCATGGAAACACGTATTGCCAAATTCCTTCAAAGCGACAAGTATCCGTCACATGTCTGGGAAGAGCAAATCCCAGCACAGTCACCCGACCCGATGCCCACTCAAATCTCTAAATCTCCTGTCGCCTTAGACACTGAAATCATGGCCAGAGACGGCATACCCATGACGGGTAATCTGATACGACGTAGCTGCCCTCCACCACCCTACCGGCAAATGAACCAACAGCCAGGACAACAGAACCCGTGTGTGAATCCAAGGCTAATAAACGAGATGTCGGAACAATATGCCTCTATGAAACGGCGACAGCTTCAACAAAGGTTTCTACAACAGCAAGCTCTGCAACAGCAGCTGATCAGGCAGCAAATGCAGCTGGCACGATTGGAAAAAGAAGAACAGTACTCGCCTGCTGCTATTATGCTTCAGCAACGAGATTACCTGCTCAAGAGGAAAGCTGCAGATGAAATGAATAAGATATATCAACAGGCAAACTTTGGAAATAAGCGAGATGAAGACGAAACAAACCTGCTGAGGAGAAATTCAGATTCTTCGCATTCTTCACAGGAAGCCCCGCCTTATGCCATGCCGTCATACAACAAACCAAACGCCACTGAGGGTCCCAGCATTTGCGCTGAACCTCTTGAAACGAGTCAGCGGGCAAATGATATCGTATCGTTCTCCTCAGTGATTGGAGACGGAGAGCCTGGACCATCTACCAAAAGATGCCGCACTGATTCTGGGTACGATGGCCAACATAGACCCTTGCCCACTGAAGACAACATGGAAGAGGTGAAGCATCAGGGCCAGGTTAGGGCAACATGGAGTGCCTCATCTTTTGAGTATGATGCTGATGCTATGCAACAACCATTTACTGGCAAAGGAAAGGAGAGAGTATGAAGTGTACAGGGATGGATATATCTATCTGGACTGTTTTCGAAAAGAGGAGCAATTTTGCAGTCCATCTGGCGAATCGTGTAGTTTGGTTAAAAAGACAAAAGCGATGATGGACACGATTGATAGCCAAAAATGAGACTGGAACACTAAACCTTTGGTCTCAGCCACTACTCATATCCAATACGATAATGAAATCAGAGAAATACATGTTACACGTCGGTAGATGACGTAAAGCAACATCGTATAAATCGGAAGAGGCAGAAAGACGAAAAAGTGACAGCTAGCTGCGGCTCATTGGTGTGTTCTCCGCTTTCTCTGCTCGACTGTGAGATTAAAGTACTTTGCCTTAACTCCGCATCCCTCGGATCTACGACGCATCCATTCATCAAACAGTCATGTCTGTTCATCGACGCCAGAAGCGCTCCCCCATTAGTTGTGAGCTATGTTGCATACGAAAGATTCGCTGCAGTTGACCGTGGGGCCCTTCGCCCTGCGAAACGTGCGTGCGGAGGCACCTTGCATCAGAATGTCACTATGCCCAGTACCATCGCATTTCAGTGTCCATCCTTCGCAACGCACCGCCATCGCCAGTGTCTGAGCAGTCGACACCAACAGCAGCAACCTTCCGATCGAACAAAGACCTGGCTGCACATATAGCCAACCTGGAAGCGCTCATACAGGCACAAGATGCAAATGCGCATTCGTCTTCTGCAGATACGATTTTGCCTTTAGGGAGGACAAAGGGCATGTTCTTGACGGCAGAGACTGGTCATGTGCGTTTCATGCCCTCTGCAGCCTCAGCAGACAGGGATAACTCTCCATATGATCCCCACCAGGCTCTATGTCGATCGGTAGGTTTGAGCGCTGGGCCATATCCTCTTGGCAAAAGAAAGATCGAGATAGACCAACTACTTGATGATCTTCCATCTCGACATCACTGCAGCCAATTGAAAGACATATTTTTTAGCTCATTTGCTTCCGTACGCCACAATGTGTCACAAGCGCTGCAACCATGGATTGACCTTGGTACCACAGTTGTTCCATATTCTGCATGATCCCATGTTCAACAAACAGTATGAAGACTTCGAACAGGCACTCGAATCAGTGTCTCTATCATGGCTAGCCCTCCTATATGCCATTATTGGGACATCTGTAATGGCTTTGGGACCGTCGAGTGGGCTTCTCAATGATCTCTCACGGAAAGAGCTTGTCGCTGACCAGATTGCCGAGCTCTCCGAACGCTATCGTAGCGCAGCCTTCAAGTGCTTGCAAGCTGATAACTACCTACGGCAACAGAATATGACTACGCTCCAGGCGCTTATCATCCTAATATATAGTATCGATCACAGCCATGGCCAAACCTGGATTTTGCTCGGCATGTCCTACCACATTGCCCTCTCCTTGGGTTGTCATATCGACCCAAGCGAGTTCCGTCTTGACGTTATCAGATGTGAGGAAAGGCGCCGCTGCTGGGCTGGCATCATGGTGCTATATATGATTCAAGCCATGTCCTTGGGTCGTTTGGGATCGGACCCATCAACCGCATCTAAAGGCGTTCAAATGCCTTCCGATCTAAACGACTTGGACTTGATCGCCGATGAATATATTTTGCCCATTACCTTCAACCGTCCATCACAAATGTCGTACCTCCTTCTCAAGTTTCGCCTGTATGAGATTGCGAACGAAGGCTCTTCAATGGTTCGAACTTCTCTGCATACTCCCTCTTCTCTAATCAGCAGATTGGACCAAAGGATACTCAATGAACAACGCAGTTGGCATGACAAGTATCTGTCGCAGTCGGGACTAGCTGCATTACCTGTATATCATAAAGTACATTTCAATATTTTGCAAGGTTGTTCGCATCAATTGATGTTGCTTCTTCACAACCACGCCTTGAGACGTTCCGTGGTGGACTCAGAACAATGCCGTCTATCGGTATCCAGAGTTGCGCATAGCGCAGAGAACACACTGCATATGCACACCGAACTATTTACCAAAAAAATCTTTTCTCCATTCAGATGGTATCTTCGAGGCATCGGCAGTTTCCATGCGTACCATGCAGCTGTATCACTCATCGCCGCCCTGACCGAACGCTCTTGGGGCTTGACTCACAAAGACGTTCTCTCAATGGTAAGGCAGTGCGCTGAAAGATTTGGGGCACTCACCGAAACAAGCATTATATGTAACAAGGCTCTGCCGGTGCTGCGACACGTGTTGTAAGTTTGTCGTCGCGCGTTAGATTTTTGTAACGAATGGGTTTCTGAAGACCTATAGGCATACAATGGACACGTGGACGATACATGGTGGGAATTAATCCCAGGATGACGGACTGCAGGTTTAGGATCAAAGCGAATACGCCTAACGCGTAATTTTCCCGGAGCCAGTATCTGATTCTGATCAATCAAGAAATGGATGTGGGCTGGATGAGACTTGCCACACTGTATATAGTCGAAACGCTAGCATGCTGGAAGACTTCAACCCCCAATTTTGGCTGACACCGTTAGGAGTCCTTTCGCAAGAGGTAGTAGTATCACCACTCACATCAAGATCAGCAGTATGACATGAGCGTCCCATACTGCTGCACCAAGATATTAAAAGAAAGGGTCATAAGAGAGCAAGAGAGAGATGAAAACAGAATACATCAGACAAGGTTGATAATAATGAGTAACCGAAATCATTGCTGGAAGAGAAAAAAACTCGGCTTGAGATTACAATGCATCTTTCCAGACACCGTCCGGATATAACTATGTATTCACCAATGTTCTTCCAATAAAAGTGGTACATGAGTTAAGCCTGAATCAATAGAGTTTAGAATCGATCTTCTTCTTCTTGATAGTTGGGAATTCTTGATCTGGCACGATGACATACGAATCGTTATCCTGACCCGAAACAGGAAGCTGCATATATTCCCTTTTACCAGCCTTGTGCACCTCTCCATTGATGCATATCACGTTCAGCTTATCGTGGTCTTGTAGGACGGTTATATCTTTGAGCGGATTACCATTGACCAAAATACAGTCGGCGTAGTAGCTCAGTTGAACTTTGCTTAGGTCATTCGATTGTATAAACAGAGCTGTAACCCCAGTAGTCGCTGCGATGATGGCTTCATGCTCAGTGAAGCCGAGGAGCTTCACAAAGTGCTCGAGATCCCGTGCATACGTTCCATGCGGTGTCCATGCAAAACCATAGTCGCCACTAGGCAAAATGACGATACCACGGCGATGCATCTCCTGCAGCCCGGCAATGGCAATATCAAGTTCGCGTTTGTAGCCAGCTTTCTCGGCCGCTTCTCTCGGATAGCCAAATGATTCCACCTCATTCAACGTGCACACCGGCCAGTTGATCGCTGGAGCAACAATATGTTTTGCCTTTGCTTGCTCGAGCATGTGCATGCCTCTATCGTCGATGTAAGAGGCGTGGTAGATTGCTTCGATTCTATGTCTGACCGACATGATGACGGAGTCACGGGCACGGGCGTGTGAACATAGACGCTTGCCATGTTTATGGGCTTCCTCCACGCATGCCTGGGTTTCTTCGTCGGTGAAGTAGCAGTCCTGGGCCGATCGTGTCTCCATAATCTTCCGGCAACTGTTAGCTTGAAGTTCAAAATGGTAAAGAAAGCACGGTTTCACTTGCGTCTTCCCCACTCATGCTCAATTTGATGTTGTCAACCCCAAGCTGGGCATGGTGTTTGATGACCTCTCGCATCTCCTCTGATCCGTCTGCAAAAGCTGTGATTCCTCTGACGGGCTCACCTCCCCGTCGCGTCATCTCTCTCCCGTTAGCCAGATATCTAGGACCAGGTATATCTCCAGCATTTATGGCGTCTCTGATAACGTCGAGTCTCTCTTTCGCAGAAGCAGCGCCAAAACACATGGTGTAGCCAGAATCGAGAAAACATTGTGCACTCCGCATAGTAAGGAGTGTATGTTCCTCCACTCCGAAGGTTCCCAATTGCTCGAGATCACCGCCGTTCCAGGTAAAATGGGTGTGTGCGTCTCCCAAACCTGACGTTAGCGCTCGACCTTTTCCGTCGAAGACGCTGACACCGGCTTGCGACTTGAGCTGTTCTACATCTGATACTTGACCCACCGCTGTAAATCGTTCCCCTTTTGCATAGTTATTAGCTCTACCTCTCGGTCAATCGTGTGAAGCGTCGCAATGTTTACGAACCTTCAATCAAAACATCTCCGCCGAACGGCTCCTTACCAGAGGAATCAAGGATGTTCACATCAAGAAACAGAATCTTCGATTCCGGATGTGTACCTGAGATTTTGTATCTTGTTGGTTGGAGGTTGTCTTCTCACTTGAGATTCTTGATAGACTCAATGTTCCTAGGAGGTCCTTGATAAGGTTCTGGCGCCACATCGACTGACGGCCAGGACCTGCTGTCATAGCTAGTGCCAGAATCGGTTCTTTCAAGAGTTATAATATTACTACAGTAATGAAAGATAAGACTATGGATCTCGAAAACACTTGCTCAGAGTCTACAATATATGATTTCAGAAAAATATAACACATGAAAGCCTTTCATAAACCCCCACGGTCGGCTAGAATGAATGGCGTTTTGAGGAGTTGGTGATTCTCTACCTAGATGACGCACTCTACATGGATCGTGAGCATAGAATGAGGTTTTCCCGCAGACTGTATGATCACACTTCGGTTTCCACCATCTCCGCCACCCCGCGCTTACCCAATCCTATCCTGCCAGCCAACCGTTGGTTTCCAAAGCAATTCCGCTTACTTCCCCGCATGCTATATGACACTTGCACGAGATCACTCTTTCGCTGGATTGACTAGCAGCCAGACATTGCGACCACATTTTTTCTTTACCTGCAAGCGAGACTCGACATACGACATGGGGTGGCTGAGAGCCGTGCACGGTGAGACAACTGAGTTGAAGTCCAATCAGAATCGATTAAGCGTTGAAGTAAAAGGAAACCAAGAGTTGGACAAAGAAAGTACCTCTAGTACTAAAAGGGTTCCCATTAGTGCATCCCCGCACCCGCAAGAGTTACAGCCCCTTCCATTCGTCTATCGTGATACCCCCAATTCTGAGCTGCCTTTTCTTTCTGCTGCTCAAGTTGCTCTCACTTGCTAGAAATACGGAAGCAATCGGAAAGAACCATTGTATATTGTTGTGGATGATATAGTGTACAATTGCACGCAATTCGTCCGTGAAAATACAGGTGGTCCTCGAGTGATTGAGAACTTCAAAGGGCAAGTTTTCTCGTGGCAGTTTTGGAGATTTCATTCAGCAAAGAACATAGAGGAATGGGTAAAGCCGGTGAGAGTTGCGCGTACAAAAAATGTAGGGAACAGATGGAAGGAAAGGCTGAGATGGGTGGGGTTGAGGAAGCTTGGCGCGGTGGAGGAAGGAAGTTGGTGATTCATATACTTTCTCGTCATAATACATAGTATTGGAGTTTGCAGCTTGATTGATCGTTGGCGTTTCTAGATCCATCAGCGAGAAAGAAGGATACAATGTATCTGTAGGTCGAAACAGGGAATACATCAATAAAGCAGTGACCTTATTCAATCATTACTGCCGCCGTAAGCTCCAGCGTACGGTAGTCAGTTTGAACTCGTTGTTCCTTTGATGCGGCGTGTTGCGAGAGAAAGGTATTTCCTAACATCAGACATTGTGGTCATGTTGGATTTCTCGTTAGTCCGATGATGCTAAACGCTATATCTAGGGTTCTGTGTTTAATGTTACAAATGGAACTGGAGGACTGGTAGGTATTGACTCACTGTCTTAGATGCTTGCGCTACTTACCTCGTTTGCAGCAGACATAGGTAGATAGCTCCCAATCAAATATAAAAGAAATGAAAATGCATAAGGGCCTAACGATGAAGCAACTGAACTTGTAGTGGTTGGGGGTTTGCTGCTGTTAGCTATGAAATTATTGGCAAGAAGCAGGAGCTTATTTTTGAGAAAAAGTAGCGGAAGTGAAGAATCTATGAGCTGCTAATATTGGCGACAGTGGAGATAGCTCCTTGAATGAGCCAGAATTAGCAGAATGACTTCTGGCCGCAATTGCTTCGTCGCAATGCCGGTTTATGCCTAGAAAGTTCAAGCATTGCTCACCATCCCAGATAAACAGAGACCTGGATATACACGCGATTATGCCCGTGTCAGGAGTAAAAGGTCACAGCCGACCAAAAGTGAAATGTAGCATACGACGGAAATGCAGCTACACCAAGAGTATTGTCAGCTACAAACTCAATCATGCCCGAGATGAAGTTGCACAATCTGCCGAAGAATAAGAAAAAATAGATGAGAATACCAGAAGTCTTGGTGCCATACGCTTCGTCTGCGGGAAGAGATACGTAGAAGAATCTTTCTTGTCAATGAAAACAATCTTAGTGGTGCTAGAATTGCAAGACTTTTGTGCATGATAAGGAGAGATGGCCATTCTGACCTAGTAACACATCCACTCACAGTCGGGAAGGGCTCAAGGCAGTTGTTAGACGGCTAGCTTTCTCTTATATCGAGAATATCGCATCGTTGTGCATATGCCGTACTTGATGAAATTGCGTAGTATGCAACATGTGAAATGAAGCGGAGAGAATGCCCTCTAAACAGTAACCTAATCACAACTGATGGACGCCTTCCAACCTGAACTTGATGTTGAACAGCTTCGTAAGTTGGCTTTTCACTCGGTGCTAGCTTGGCTTTGGCTCATCCCAGATCTCACGAGAAAAGCATGCGTGGTTTTTGCACAGTTATCCGCCGCGCATTGAGCGACGCCAAGTCTGCAGCGGGAGCCCCGCAGTACGTACCCTCTCTGCTATCCCCGCCATCTCCGCGATTCTCCCTCCGCGAGTTCACTATTTCCCCTCTTTACCCGTTCCACGTATTGGCGCACATCCAGATAGTTCGTATCAGATGTGACATTTGCGAATGCGTATTCTTGATTTTATTCTATTAATTGAGCGATTAGACGGCAGCTTGCATTGCCAACCTATAATCTTAGGATCAACCAGCAAGAAACATTGAATTTGCATTCCGAACCATGTCTTCCACCAATTCAGAAATTGGAAGCATGTCCCTGACGAACTATGTCTTTCCAAGATCCGGACACAGGGCGCACCCGTGTTGGCCATTATGATCTCGCGAATGCATCTATCCAACCATTGGCCTTCTTGTCCGGAACGCCGCTAGACAGCATCTACCAAGTGATTGAAGTTGGCGAATCCAACATCATCCTTTCGGGCAAAAATTTACCGGCTTCCACTATCAGGATCTTGCCACCTTTCACCGGCCGCGATATTTTGTGTGTTGGCAAAAATTATGCTGAACACGCGAAGGAGTTCAATAGCTCAGGTTTTGACAGCTCAGACAAAGTAGACACGCCGTCCCACCCGGTCATTTTCACTAAACGTTTTACTTCTATTATCGGAGATGGCGAAGAAATCTTGCCGCATTCGGGCTTCACGGAGACAGTCGACTATGAAGGCGAGATTGGTGTTGTCATTGGCAAGGCTGGGTTTCGTGTCTCAGAAGAAAGCGCAATGGACTATGTATGGGGCTACACAATTGTCAATGACGTGACGGCGCGTGAGCGTCAAAGGGATCACAAGCAGTTTTACATTGGAAAGTCCCCCGATACATTCTGCCCCATGGTAAGTTGATGTGTACTACCAGGTGTGTTCAAGCAGTGCCTGACTTAGTACGGTAGGGGCCGATTGCTGTACCGGCGTCCAAGCTAGATAAAGTACTGCAGCTTGAGACATACGTCAATGGCGAGCTACGACAGAAAGCCACAACAAAGGACTTGATATTTTCCATTCCCCATCTGATCAAGACCATGTCCGAAGGGCAAACACTCATGCCGGGCGATGTTCTTGCTACTGGAACAGTAAGTGCATTCGTTGTTGAGTAATTAAGCGTACTGACCTGCAATAAAGCCTGCAGGGGTTGGTATCGGAAGGAAACCACCAGTCTATCTCAAGCCTGGTGACACTGTCGCCGTATCTGTCAGCGGTCTCGGTACTCTGACAAATCGCATTGCAAGTCCAAACTCGAACAATCCGACCATCACCAAAGTTGGAAGCACGTTGTCTTACATACAGCCTTGTAACGCGGCCAAGAGCGTCGACACCACGTTGCTTACATACATCAACAACAAACCACTCTATTACAAAAGTATCGGCATACAATCAAAATCACCTATCGTTTTCATCCATGGTCTTGGTGGCACCTCTGACTTCTACACTCCACTAATCCAGTCTTTGGGCCTCGAAATCACACACTCACTACATTTGTTTGACCTGGAAGGCCACGGGCTCTCACCATCCTCGCCACTTAGCAAAGTCAGCATCGACTCCATTGCCAATGACGTCAACGGCATATTTAAGAAGGCGAACATCACACCGGATGCAATACTTATAGCTCATTCAATCGGATGTCTTGCAGCTGTTCAGTTTGCACTGATACATCCAAACAAAATATTCAAACTAATCCTGATCGGGCCACCACCGTCACCTCTACCTGAAGCAGGGAGTGCGGGTGCTCACGCTCGAGCCCAGACGGTGCGGAGCAAGGGCATGCACGCTGTTGTCGACGCTGTTGTCGACGCTGGTACTTCAGAAAAGACCAAAACTACAAATCCGGTGGCAGTAGCAGCAGTGCGCATGTCCTTACTTGGTCAGGACCCGGAGGGGTATGCGAAGGGATGCACAGCACTTGCGGAGGCAAAGGCGCTCGACTTTGCCGCGATCCAGCCCAGAACGCTCATTATTACAGGAACTGAAGACAAGGTATCGCCGCCTCATTTGTGCGAGAAATACTTGGAAGGGCTAGGAGATAAGGGAAGTCTGCATGTGGTGGAAAATGTGGGGCATTGGCATGTTCTAGAGGACTTTCAAAGTACTGCGAATGCTGTGAAGGTATTTCTGTAGATGGTTCTAGCTATGCTTTGAAGTGAATATCTGCAAGGTTGAAAGCTGTAGGTCCCCATGGCCAGCAAAGTTTGATCCGCGGTAACTCGCTGGGACCATGGCGTCCCACTTCGATTTATTCTAGGGTAACATTCTTTTGGTCATGATGTCAAGATTTTGTATTTTTTATATCATGCAGTTGCAGGATCTTCATATTTGTTTTGCCCCCTATGGATAATCCGATCTGGGTATGAAATCCAACGCCCATTTCAGAACTATCTTCGCTACAACCTCAATCATTTTTGGTGCATTTGGAATTGTGTACATGTTATGAATAATACTGATTAAGGACAAACTCCAGCACACCACTCACTTGGCAGCAGAGTACACGTTTGTCAGATATACTCTTTCTCTGTATAACCCAAAATTCATAGTTTGGTAGTTATGTCATGAGGATCAGGAGCGATGCATAGTCGGAACACCGTTAGCAGATAGGAACAGGCATCTTCGCAAGCTTTGTATCAAAGATAGTCAAGGAAGTTAGGAAATAAGTATGTAGGATATATGTACTGACGCAAAAGAACTTGATGTCAAGGCTAGGACTGCAAAACAGATATGTAGAAAGCTTCATATCGTTGGATTCACGAAGTACGTTCCGTTGAGACTTTTGAAAAATACGATGAAGGTTAGAAATTCTAACATGCAATTCAATCTCGTTTATTCTTTCAAAGTTATATGGGTGGCTGGGAGACCATAAAACCGCTGAGTGCAAGTCTGCCAAGCGTCAATCCTAGCGAAATGTTCATATAGAAGTCAGATCCAAGCGTTGCCGCTGACATGGCTTACTCAACGTAAGCAGCGCGAACCGTCTGTGACGTAATTCAAATTCATCAAAGACCGAGAAAACTACCGTTATGATAGACTAGATCCCAACGAGCAGAATCTAGAGAAAGGACAGTGTAGCGACAGCTTACAGTACACCATGTCTGCAATCGTATTTTCTCCGACGATTCAGCGTTATTTGGAACCGAAAGTCCCCATAATAAAGAAGATCAAGCTAATTGAGTAGTGAAGCCCTTATCTATAATTGTCAAGGTTGCCATTAGGGCAGCAGATCTGAAAACTAGCTGTGTTGGATTTAGGAACACTTTCAGATTGACGTAAGAAGTGTTTGCCACTTTGTTGTTATGATTAGGGTAAGATATGATTGCAGAAATGGTGTAAGTACAGTTGGGGCGGTTGGCGAGAACGTAGCTCGAAGAGCTGGGGTTGTGGCTGCAATTTTCCAGATTCTTGATGTGTCCTTGCTTTAGACCCAGAATCTGTACGCCCAATTAAAATTCAGCCAGGATAGTAGCTAATTAGTGTGTACACGCTGACTGCAGTGGTGCTGATAGACTTTTGCAACAAAGGTTCATCGCCGAGAATGTTGGGTATTACCATGTTAGCGGTGAAGCCGAACCTCTAATTCTGGGGAGCGATAATATGAGGGGCTGCGCTTGGGGAGCTATGGTGTGAGAATCTTGGCCCACCAAAACTACATGCATTCTCGTTGACTCGGTGTTTGCACCTGCATTTCTTTTCTACTAACCCTTGGAACACTATGCGCGCCCCGCAGGTTTAGATGTTTATCGTCGCTCACTATATGGAGTAGAAGTCAAGCATGATTAAGTTACTCAAAGGAAAAGGGAGATAAATTGCCTGTCGAGCTCCATCAGAGCTCGAACGCAGCTTCTATCTACATAGTCGGAGATGTAAAGTACCACAACCTTATGTGTAACTCCTATCTGTGTTGTATATACTTGGCATGATAAGATTGATCCATGTAAGCTCCGTCACCTTCAACATCCGGACTCAAGCTTACTTAGCTTCATAGCTAAATAAGCTTTACCGCGACACTATGTGACCCACAGTTAACCCCTATTAGCAACGACCTGCACTACTACAGTCATTCGCCTGTAAAGACCCTCTGAAAGTAGCACCTCTGTGAGAAGAAGGGCAGCTGCCAGAAGTGCAGCAGCCAATAGTAAGTGCAGCGTTCGAGCCAGAATTGTACCAGCAAAGGCTGTCTGCTGAAACTACTGCTGCTATCGCAGACAGAATGACCAGGCGCATCAACATGGTCTTTATAGACTGGTAGAATATGTAAGTTATTTTGCTATTACTTGAACAATACCTTTGAGTACTTACAGAATGATAGAATTGGTAACAAAGAATATGAGATTTTGAAATTTAGCGACAGCGGGCTAACTTCAACCAACTCAGATAGTAAACGTTAAGAGGAGTTGAACAAACGATAATTGTTTGTGTGTAATAGTAGGTATGGTAGTGAAGTTTTAGAATGTATGAGGAAACCCCGTTGATTATATATGCAATGGTAAACCTAGGCTAGAGGTAAGATATGGAGAAGGCTTCTAATTAGAGTAGCCGGTAAATCATTACGGCAAGCTATTCGGAGCGATAGGGTGAGTTAGTGCTGATGCAGCACACCGTGCACCTGCGCTAGTACCATCTCTCGTCTGATCTTGAGTACGAACTAACGATTTTCAGAAACCCGATGCGAAGTACTGGCAAGGTTGTTCGTCATCCTATAAAATAGGATTCTGCATTGGTGGGGTTAGCTGATACCATTGTAGTGTTATTAGTATCTTACAAGATCGCAGAAGCTGTCCCTCTCTGCATCACGAAAGCATTCGTGCTACAATGAGGTAAAGAAATATCTATGCAGCTTTGATACTTCAAGGAAACGTTATGTCATAAGATGCACGCTTAGAATTACATTATATTGGACAATAATATTAAAGTAAAGCACTACATGGTAATATCATAACACAAACTCAGAGCGTTGATTAAGCCGAAGCATAAGCTGTTACCGGAAACGTAATCGCAGAGGATGGTACCAGAGCTGAAACCGTACGTAATAAACAGCTACAAGGTTCATGTTCTATGAAGCGGACACAAGACCGTTCGAGGCATACTAGGTGTATTTACTCAGTATTAGGGGTGAGGACGTAAACAGCTGCTAATGTCAGTGGAAAGCTTATACTAGGGAGTTAACAGAACCTACAGTTAACATTGTCATTGACGTTGGAGGGACCCATGGTGTTCTTCAGGTAGCATTGACCGGAACCTGCTCCACCAGTGAACGAAGCAGCCTCGCAATCGGCATCAGCCGCACAAGCCTGAGTGCAAGCCTCGAGGCTGTCGACGTACAAGCTGCGAAGGTCGAAACCGTAAAAGTCATTGCTGCAGGTCAAAACCAGAGTGCGACCGCCAGATGTGAAAGCGCAGTCGTTATCAGTAGGGCAGGCAAAATTGACGGGGCAGGCCTTCCTTGGCTTCTTGCCTTGATCGGTAATGGTGGTCTTCTTGGAAATGATAGCGATGCCAACAGAGTCGGACCTGATGTTGTCAGTATGGCAATTGTAATCTTGGCGCTGATTCTTACTTAGATATGGCAGCGGTGAGGGTTTTCTTCATATAGCAGCTGTTTCCGACGTAGCTGGCAGCGACACACAGAGAGGCGGCAGCGCAGGCTTGCATGCATTCGCCGATGGTGGAAGTCTGTCGAAGTTAGAATAGTAGGAGTCAATTGTAAAGAGTAACTCACCTCGGCACGGATCAAGTCTCCGCCGTAGTAATCAGTTCCGCAGGCAACCTGGAACTTGACTCCTTTGATGTTGGTCACGCACCCACTGTTTGCAGGGCAGGTAGGGTCGGCAGGGCACATGGTGGTGGCACGGAGTGCAAGAGCAGCAAGAGCAAGAAGTTGAGGGGCCATTGTTGCGAGTGTTGGTGCTAGTGAAAGTACTGAGCAATTGTGAGTATGAAAGACTGAGTAGTGTGGTGGTGATTGTGCTGTAGTGAGTGGTGAGAAAGATACCTGGCAAGACACGAGGCCTTATATACAAGTTACGATGTATAGTCTCCTCGGCCTCAGCACTATACAGCGCATTCTAGGCTGGCGTTCTACTATCGTTTTAGGTAATTAGAAAGTATGTGTACCTTCAGCCTCGTGGCAAGTTCCGCGCCACAGCTTGTATCGCTGGCAGTAGGAGTAAGGCGGGATGCTCAGAACAACAAGATCGGGCCATGACGATGTCAGTCGCGATCTGCTTGGTAGGACAACATCCCCTGCAGATGCAAAACATGGCTGCACTAAGCCCAAGCGAGCTGTTTCACTCAAGGGCTGAATGCCCCCACATTCCCCATTGGAACGCCACAATACAAATGCACACCGCCGCGGATTCATACACAGCCAGACTATTCCAATTCGGCTTGCCACTTATTCAATAGCGACAAAATTGACAGAAGTGAGAAAAGATGCTGTACACTAAGTTTCGTGGCGTACATCGTAGCGAAGTGGTCAACGTGGTCCAGACTATTGAGCTTCGCCTGCCAAGGAGCCTGGATTCTGCGCCCACCCGTCCTCAGCTCAGGGTGGATCAGCCTCACGGGTCCAGCCTCACGGGTCCAGCCTCACGGGCTTCTCCCCAAGCCACAATTCGGACGCCACGCGACAAGCATTCAGTTCATCCACTTGGTGTTGTTACTTATCGCGGAGATTTCTCGTTTGCAACTAGCTTTCCCTCCTCGTGACGATCTTGGTTCCGCCAATGGGCGCACGCGAGTGACAAACAAGAACTCACTGCACGCGCCCCAGTTCACCGGAACATCAAATAAGCTCAACAACTAGTTTGTGAACTTGAAAGTTCCATAGCCGTGCCATAACAAAAGCTTTTTTCGCAGTAACTAGTACATATATGTTTCTGGAATAATGCACATGTTGCGACAGGTTTGGCACGAAGGAGCAAAAATATCAGAATAGTGTTGAGTCGAATCCTTGTAGTTCATCCCAAACATCAGACGGTGGATTTCATTGTATGCAGGTCCTCAGCATTACTCGCCCGAGAGATACCTAATCGAGATCCAAGAGTGGCCCTTAAGGTATTATGTATAAGTCACGTGATACACAAAGTATCGAAAAGCTTACCTGTGCCTAGAGCTAACACAACAATATAAGTGTATGAATTTATACCAAAGTAACTATTGCTCTAGATAGTCCGAGTAGGTATAGAAGACGAGGTTGTAGACGAAGTTCCTTCGTGTTCAATCTACTTGTGTTATGCTCCAAGTCTTGCAGTGGCCTCCTTGGCAGACGCAGAGTCCTTCGAGACCCGTACTGGCAACAATAAGTCAATTGTTCGACCACACATATATTTGAAATGGTAGTCACTCACAATAATCTGCAATATACCCAAGGGTCCCAACAGCATTCGCGCAGCTAAACACACCAGCTGCGATATGAAGCTAGCAATAATCCAGTCTACAACGAACAAGATATTTGGTCTGCATGAAACCTGTACGCAATGTTTGCCCTCACTTTATGGGAAGGGGAAGGAGGCACTAGAACACACGGAGTCTTCTGTTCGGATATCCGGAGAATTATGTCGATGCTAGGCATTCTCTTCGACTAGGGCCTTAGGATCGCCTTATCCCTGCATTCATTATCTATATTTGGCTTGGTTATCCCGCCTTATCCTTAGATACACGACAAACATATGGACTTGTCGAGCTATCTAAAACTATAAGGAACAGAACATAGGTTCTTAGCCTAACATATAGTATATGAACGCAGTAGTGCTTACGCTGTTATGCACATACAGCTTACGCTTTGCGCATACGGCCTAGTGGTCAGCCCACGCGGGATATTAATACACCGAGTAGGCCCATACCAAGAAAAGCTTATATTTTGTAGATATCAAGCATTCGTTGATTACAACTTTAGTCCAGTAGAAGGCTACCACTCTTTCTATTGAATATCTTTTGCAGCCACCACGTCGATGGTGCGCTCGAAAATCCTGTTCACAGCCCTCGCAGGCATAGTTCGATATGATACAACGTCCGTGTTCATACATGTTCCTTTGGCTCCAGAAACGCGACAAATACGTCTCTTGAAGCTCGACACCAGTGATGACCCGGCCGAGCCACCATGCACTACCGCACCGAACACTTCAACTTCGATGCCACGCCTGAGTACATCGCCTTGTCTTATTGATGGGGCGCTGAGCCCCTAATTTTGTTATCGTCGTCAACGACGGCTCGTTCGAGATTCGGCAGGACCTTTCTCAGCTTCCTGCAGCGGGCAAAGCAGACGGAGCGCATATCGTCCCGCTACTTCTAGATCAACCAACTATGTATCAATCAAAACGACGGAGCCGAGCAGGCGAGCTAAGTCGCCATAAAGACAGATATATCTTCGAACGCTCTCTCGGCATGCTGAGTCTTTTGGTTCTTCAAGATGCGGTGGATACCCCGCAATGCTTTATGTTCACGAACCTTCTAACTAAATTTCTTGTTAATCGCAAGCTTTCGCTCTTTTTGCGGTGATACTGCAGTATTGTCTGCCAAAGGAGCACTTTTTAGCAAACCGCGTGGAGTTGAACGCCTACCCCCGTTGAAGAGTTTGTCGAGCATGTCTGCAGCAGAGGCTCGTGCTTCCAGGTCAACGATCGCCATGCCTTGGACGCAGCTGAAAGAACGATTATCTGCAGCCCCCTGTACTGCAATCATAGACAACCAAGGCGTGTCAAACCGCTTCTCCCAGAGCCCGTCCACGTTTAATGCATACGCTAACGTTACATAAAGGGACCAAATATCTACTTTATATGCTTGCTTGGCACCCGAAAAGAATTTGGGTGCTATGAATGTTGGAAATCTAACGAGGGTTCGGGCATCTGCAATGGCACTGCAAACGCCAAATTCCGTGAGTTGAAAGGTATAGCCGCCGTCTGGTAGAGCTTGGTAGAGAATGTTCTCAGGCTTCACACCCCTATGCATAATGCCCTGCGATGCAAGGTAATCAAGCGCTTGAAGCATCTGACAGAGAAGATACTTCACCAATTGTGTGTCTCTTGTAAACACCTCCTTCTTAATTAGATCCGCCGTGTCGCCTTCTCTGAAATGTGTGAGAATTTCAAGATCCGTTCCTCCAAACCCTTGCGCTGATATGAATTCTACAATGTTTGGCTCACTTACATGTCAGCCAATGCTTAAGAAAAGAGCTTGGAGCTGATATTGTACATGAAATATCGGCGCGCAAATCTCTACTTCCCGCTTCAATTTCGTGTACCCCTACCACTGGAGCCCGCACTTGGGCCATTTTACCCGTTTGGGCGCGAAAAATTCACCTTAATTAACATTAACAGTTTTGTAAACCTCCCAACGTGAGCTTCCTCCAATCTCTATTTTCTTATAGTACCTGATCGTTTTCGCTAACCCTCGGCAGCTACGGGCGTGAACAGCAGGAGTGTGGATTCGTGTGGAGGGTAAAGCGGTCGGTATCAGGTCATCGACGGTCCGGGCGAAACGAGGATGGTCGTCTTGATCCGCGATCTTCTTATAAAAATTGGATGGACGCTTATGCCGATATATCTCGAACTGGAAATATTTGTGACCTACACCACCGAATCCGAATCGGTTGTTAATCCCCTCAGTCACTACAACTTGGCGGTCGGGGCGCTTTGACTCAAACTGTAGAGCCTTTGGATCAAAATCTTGAGTCGACCAGGAGCTTGATCGATTGCAGAGGAGCATCTCCTTTGTGTCCTTATGGGTCTCGAAAAAACACTGGGTCCGGGAGATGGGAGAATCCCCGTCAGTGATGTCACCGGTACGTCCGATAGTTGCCAGGGTATATCTTGTCTTCGAGCTGATTTGGAAACCAATAATGATGCCCCGTGCAATTTCTCCCGGATTTAGGGGGTGTTTCGTACGAGAAATGAACGAAACGGGATGACGATTATCTAGATGATCGATGTACGCTCAACAGTTTGCTTGTTCAAGGGTATGAGAGAAAAGAGAGCACAAGGTTGAGGCCGTTCGCGGGACTTAGAACGGGACATAGTAGTTCCGCGTTTCGCTTGTCAATAGATAGTAGGAATGGTCATGATAAAAAAGTTCTAATATAAATGGTCTTTCCTTATATGTATCCGAAAGAAGTGTTCGGGTTTGACTAAACTGAGGAGTGGTCATATGGACACTGAGATGGGCCCAGCCTGGCCGAAAAGAGCATCTCCACAGAATAACCATTGACATTCTTCACACGAGAACACAGAGGGACCGAAACCTTTTGGCCGCTGGCTGCATGAAAAGAGGCCCGATCCTAAGCTGCCATCCCCTGAAAAAGCACCCAAGCCAGAGACCAAGGCGACACGAAATATCTTTGCTCGATGAGGGGAATAGGATCAAAGTACTAAAACGGAAGAACCAGGATGTACCTCTGCACTAGGTATCATCAAGACGCCAATGGCTACATCTCAACATGATACTTCAGCATCTCGTCTCTACCAGCAATTTTTCTTTCAACTATTGAAGGAATGCGAATGGATAAGGGATGAGGTTCAATCCACAACGTCTTCTGGATCGATTGGAATTGACACTATGGCTTACGAGAGTACTAAAAAGAATTGAATTGAAGACGAAGTCTGGAATCATGCCATGGGGTGAACTGCCCGGGACTACCTGGATGCATGAAGATCTTGAGAAAAAAGACGAACGCTGAACGTTCAAACCGCAACTCAATGCAGCCAGCAAAGAAGAGAAAGCACCCCGTCTTCCCAGCCCAAGGTCTTCCATCCCGGAGCCAACGCCTGGCGTCTATGACGATGACATTCATCGCAATCATTTATTCACGGTCCCCGGGGAGGCTGATGTCCTTTAGAGAGTCACTGCTAGAGCATGGGGTAAGGGGGTGAGGATCAAAAGTACCTCCTGGCTGCCTGCCATTAGGGAGGTCCCGCGGTCGGAGAAAGAGTCGACAGGCCAAGTCTTTCGGAGCGTGAGTTTTTCCAAAGTGACATAACCGAGCGAATCGGGATCTAACTTACGAAGCATTTGTTTTCTGAAGCAGAGTTACCGCATGTTCGTGCCTAGTGAAATGTCCAATTCGATTCCGCAAAACAGCACATCACGCACACTAGAGAACCATGAGACGATTTTGCAACATGGAGGCGAGCAATCTTTTATTACAAGGCCTATCCGTGATAGTAGGCGGGTCTCTCTGGGACTAGCAAGATCACAGACGTTGGAAGCGAAGAGAAGAAGAGAACACCAGCGGTTTCTTGATTCTAGTAACAAGCATGATACTATACAATTACTGTCGGTCAGAGCACCCAAAGATACCCAAAACCAACGTCCTTTAGTCGACGGTCAGACAATTACAATTAATATACCCCGGAGAAGCGCGCGCACAGCTAAAGTAGTGTTAATTAAGCTTATATCGATAATACATAGTTACTAAGTTAGATATAACTAATATAGTTTACTTTAATCTATATAGGTCTAGAGAAGATTAAAAATTAGCTATAGTAGATTATTGGTATGAAGTTGTAGTCATATTTGTTATGCGTATAGGTTTTCTAACTACTAAAGATCAAGATACTCTTTGTTTCTTTCGGCACACAGGGTGTCTTGTTGTGCAGGGAGATACGTTAACAACCTTGATATTGAATTTGCCTCGTATTGGCCAAGATTTGTGCGTCCGAAAGACCCACTCAAGGCTTCCACTCGAGATACAACTCGATGTTATCGCTGCATTGTCTGGAGGAAGCCAACTCTACCGCTGACCGAGTCTCATCCTAGTACGACATTTCGATATCGGCTTGCTTGTGTGGCTTGATGTTTGGATCGTACCAAACTACGCAGATGATCATCGTGACCATCATCGGGAGGAAATCATAGAGGTAGAGAGGCCATTCGTGGGTGGCGAGGTATCCGTTCTGTAGACAGATGTTAACGTAGCTTTCATCAGAGAGGGTATTTCAGACTATATACTCGACCCATAGCATACTCCACTACACGGCAGGTGTTTCGAACTGTGATACAAGCGCTTGCAGCATACAGCAGCCTGATATACCTCTGCCATGGAATCTCTGAAACCCTCGTCGATGCTATTGTGTAAGCCTCTAACCTATGGTGCCATACGCCGGCAACCACAACGAAAAAACCGAAGACCAAGATCTGAAGCATCAAACCGCCAAGAATGATGTTCTCGCCTCTCTTAACGGCATCTTGATCCTTTGCTTGGACAAGCATACCGGCACCACCAGATTGTATGAAGAAGCAGAGAACATCGCCCGTGACAAAGATCTTTGTAACGCGAGACGGGCGAATGATTGAAAGTGAATCGGATTCAGTACGTGTAACAAGACGACTTAAGATCATATAAACTGACGCTGCGAACAGGATGGGTGCGATAAGGATGAGGACAGATTGAATGATATACGGGTTCTTGTTCTCGAGGTTGCTGTGAGCTGCAGTACGGCCGGCATAGCCGATAGCTTCAAACTACATTAATCATTAGCTATGTTCATTCAGTGTTGTAGATGCGTAGGCAACTTGCTAGCCCTCCAATAGTAAACGGTATACAGAACCAGGTACGATTCTTTATGAGCCGAAAACAATGAAATCCAGTGAGACAGAAGAAGGCAAGAGCACCAATGATGCCGCCGGCTACGGATGGATTGTAGTGCCATAATTGGTACTTAATGGGTTCCGAGGCTGACATGCTGGAGGAGGATGTATTCAACTTTCGGCGACGCTTGTCGGTCGATGTGCTTAAGGAAGGAGTTTGTAAGGTTCTTTGTGAGCTTGGTAGAGGAAGATGTTGGACAAAAATGTTTATAAGTACGACGTGTAGATTCGTATTCACAGTTTTGCAGTATGCGAGTCTTCAAAAACACTGTGATCTTAGTCTGTAAGTCTTACTATTTAGCACTAGACGCATACCAAGTTAGCTATTCCTATTCAGTTACAGAATGATCACTTGTGAAGAGGTCGGCAACAATGATTGGAGGGCATGAACGCAAAAGTCCCACCAAGCGCCGGTAACCCTCGTCCATCGCTGATGCTTGTGCCCTCACGATGTTGTTTCAGGCAAGCACTAATTAGTTTGAGCCTAGTAAAGCGGTAAGCGAATACGCGTATTCATTGCAATGGTGTACGAGAGACTAGCTACCATACGAAACAAAAAGGTGGAGAGAAAAGCATGCTAGTGATACAAAAAGTGGGTATCTACATTATCAGATAATAATAATAACAATCTCAAGGAAGTATTACTAAAGTGATCATCATAAGCGAGCGAATACGCGTACTCTCGTATTGCAGGGGTGAAAACGAATTTCCGCGTTTAATCGGTCGTAAAAAAAAGAGAGAACAGACTGCGCAGAGGGTCGATTTCGGGTTCTCAACGGTTTCCGAATAAGTGTCGGATAAGTATCAGAACATGAGTGTCTCCCGGCCGTTTGAGCAAGTTAGCTGTCCCGTCTATGACTGTAGGATCGCGCTTGACACATACAAAGCATTTATTGTAATTCACAAACAACGCCTTTTTCGACATAGCGGATGCATTCAATATGCCGTCTAGAACTGGATGCCTATGGTAAACGGGCGATACTCTATTAACGTGATGGTAGGAGCCTGCTAATCCTTCCGTTGCCGTGGACAGCAAATGTGCTTGCCTCCTGTCCGATACTTTAAACATTAACCGGTCCCATCGGGGAGTTTGCAGCCCCAATTTGCTCTCTAGGCCAATCCAACCAAGACTTCCATTCGCTGGGGACCAGGACGTCGGCAATGTGGAGTATTTGCTGTGCAACCCCCTCAAAGAACCAATAATGCCGAGCCCTGTAGAAGAGAACAGCGTAATGCGCAAAGATGATCAAGGCGCCAGGTTGCCGATCGTTAAGAAGCTCTATGAAGCGTGGGGTTATGAAATGAGCCCAGATTTTCAACAATGAATCGGATGGTGCAGTGCCGAAACGAGACGATGCTGCGAATATTTTCTCCAACAGCTGGATTGCTTTCGAGTAAGCTTCGTTGATATCGGGTGGATATACATGCTGGATAGCCTCCGAAAACATCCTCAATTGGATGAGTTCAGTCTCCGCTGGTCGGAGTTCATGCTCCCAGTCGGTCTCATGCGTATCTCGTGGAACGAGGCGGCCTATCTCGGAATGCAACATAGGTTGGTAGAACTTGATGGCGAGTGGACGCGTGCTTCTTGTAAGACTAATATTCTGAATGATGCTGTCCAGTATGTATTCCGGGTCGTCCTGAAGATGAATGTGAAGTGCCCACGTAAAGGGGAACATGATGAATGTGAAAAGGAGCACCGCTTGGAAGTTGGATTCCTCAACGTTGTGGACCTCATTCCGAAAATGAGCAAGCGCAGCATCGTGATGACATTCGACCTGGCGTAAGCACTCCTCCTTCAGCGACTGATCAAGCCTGCTCAGATGCAGAGCAGCTAGAGCTAATACGGCGTGCATAAGGAATGGAAACTCGAACGCGATATTGATCATATATGACTGAAGAATCTTTTCGGACCCTGGCTCTAGTGATATCGTTCGAGCGGTTACCGTGGTAAAGTGATGGAGAAGACGAAGATGAGCCATATTCAGGTCTGGCTGAGATTCAATGGACACTGCATTTTGTCCTGCAGCGTGGAAATCGGAAACCTCAGCCGATGAAGGTGTTGACACAGGTGCAACTTCGGAGGCAATTCGCCCTTTCTGTGTGAGATATTCACATTGCGAACCATATTTATCACAATTGATGCATATAGGCTTCAGTTCGTCACACTGCGTACTTTTAGCGTTACTCACGTAATCATTCCAGAAAAGTTACTTCGTAATAGGAAATATTTGCGGGACGACAGTACACATCCTTTCTACTTAGTCTGGCGTGTTTCCGAGGCGTGAACAAGTGAATGATGAGCTTACCCTCACATGCCGAGCCTTGCAAGGCAGACAACCATTGCGGGATTTTTTGTGTGGCTTGCGCGACTTCATTTCGTGTGTTTTCTCCTTGTCAACACGTAGGCGATTGTTATGGTTCGTAGACTTGAGTGAAGCGTGAGTGGGCATCGGCATATAACGACACACTAGAGATTCGGCCTTTTACTCGAGATCTGAGCTAAGCCGCTCAATTGGGTCCGTACATGATAGCTGAGTATACCTATAGATAGATAAATAGATTTATTCTTCTCGGTTTCAGCCGCGTTTTCTTCGCAGCTATACCTAGCATGGCTAGCGTAGATAACAGCTGACGCAGCGCAGACGTTAATCTGCGCCGCCCTACGTCACTTCTTTGTATAAAAGAGAAAACAGTACCTGTAGTATAAAGGGCAGAATTTAGGTAAGAATTAGAAAAATCTTAGAAATAAATTTTTTTTTCTCGTAGTTATTCTATGTCTTATAGCTTCGCGATTAAAAAAAGAGATTTCTTTTATTATTATTTGTGGTCAGTGCGTGCAATAGTCCAGCCAATGCAACACTATCTACCCTATTAAAATATCTACCCATCATTTTTAACACGCGATATCTCTACCACTATAATAGCTCTCGTAAAAGCGATTGCGGCAATCGATTCGTAAGATTTAGAAGGTTAACTTTCGCATTGCATAGCTGTAAAAAGGTTTAGTATTAAGATTATAATACTAACGCGCTAGCACTAAAATAAAACTTAGTTGTGAATAGCCGCTGCTAAAAAATGTTAATTACTTACTCTACTATAAGAATCTAAGAGAGTAAAATATATAGAAAAACTATCTAAACGCGGGCTACTACCTTCTAGATTAATAGTAAAAGATTATATAGCAGTTATTACAGAATAGAAGCTCTCTAATAGCTAGGTGTGTTACAAGTAACAAGAAAGACTCTCTCCTTGACAAATGACGAGATGGCTGAAGGCCTAAGGACGTCCACGTCAGAAGGTAATGATCAACGCGGGGCGTCGATCACGTGACTTGGCATCCCGCCAAGGCATGGCCTCCGGGAGGCCACCGCATAAAGGGAAGCCAACGTCCTCCCAAACCTCCCGCCAAGATGGGATGTCGGGAGGACAGGACAAGAAGCAATGAGGATATAAGGATGGATGGATTTCATTATTTACTCTCGTTGTGGTCAACTCAAATTGTACTTTCTTACTAGTATCCTTACTTAACAAGATTGTCACAAGTTAGTCTATCAAATAGATTAGTCTTGTCAAACCCTCCTTAAGCACGCCAACTCCACTGCATCGCCAGACAAGCCTCACGGAACACTAACGTAATACTCACCTGCCTTAGTGCGGACCAGGATAGAGAAGTATAGACCCTTACCCCGTGTAACAAGGTGTAACGGAGTTACATGCCTATATATATTATACTACACTAGAATA